TATTCTAAAGGCGCTAGCAGACCTCGAGGGCGACGATGCCAAGTTTGCCTTTCCCGCAGCTCACTTGCTGGACTCTGTTGACGACTATGGGAGCCATGCGTGTCCAAGCACATGGATGGTCAGAAGCTACAGCAGGGCAACCTTGTCTTGAAGGAGGCTGGTACGCACCTGAGAAAGAATAGGGACGGTCTTCAGCTTCGCCACGACAAATAGCTATCCCGGCTGCGCTCTTTTGAACAGGCCTTGAAATTATCCTGGCAGAGGCTGATTAGCGTACTCGATGACTGGAATCACCCTTTCAGAGTTGATCTGGCAGGGCCCTTGGATAACGTAAGCGAGGAGTGAGGGATCAGCTATTCAATAAAATCAGGAATGTCAAGAATGGCGGAAAATAGTTCATTCGATGATTCGAAATTAGATTGAGAAGAAATATGATCTCTAGACATCTGGACACCCGACTTATCTCGGAACATTGATCAGAAGCACCTCTCTCAATTTTTGTCCTTTGCTCCATTTGTTCAAAACGACTTCCTGAAGGGCAAGAGCCGCAGTGTAGAACCACTTTGTTTGCTCCTGGATAGAAAGACCTTTTGATAATAAAGGTGGTGGAGGTATTGGACCTCCACGTCCCCCCCAAGTCCTAACCCCTCTCCCCCCTGTAAGACAAATCCATGAATACATGTAGAATGCCTTCGGGTGGAATCGACGTAGCGCTCCCGATTTAAGTTCAGAATGTTGGGTATCAGACAATCCAAGAAAGAGACCCATTGCCTCAATCACCACCCGAGCTCTCCATATCCATTTTGCTTCACGAATAGGCAAGGATCTAACCCAATGGCTCACACGACCCATCCGCTTTTCATGTTCCCCTTCTGTCTCTGTAGGTTCCTTCGCGCGTTCGGCATCCATCTCATCCTCTAGAGCGTTCTGGCGGGTGGTATGATCTGGCACTTCGAGCTTGCGAACCGATTTGATCAGATTATAAATCTGTTCAGTGCTTTCTTCCGCTTCTTCTTCATCAAGAACGTAGTCTGCAAGTCGTATAAGAGTTGTATCTTCATCTGGGTAGCACAAGCTCAACAACAAGGCTGGGAGAAACTCGATTTTTGGCTTCGCGGGAACGGTAGACTTGGAAATCGTGCCTTTTGGGCCTTTGAATCTTTGAGACGGCTTCTTTATGTGAGAATTGAGTGTGACATTTTTTTGATTGCGAGAAGATGCCTTTTGGCGGGCCTGTTGGCGTGTTTGTGCCATTGAGGTGGTTGAACAAGGTTTCCAAACTGATAATTTTTACCAAGACGAAAAGGATGAATGGGTTATGTAGACTGCAAAAACTGGGTTGGCGGCTTAAATAACTAAAGGTAACACAGGTATTAGTCATAGCTATCGGATGATTCCATAGAGATAGACTATACTCCTAGGAACGAAATCTAAATAAATTCCATGTACTGTGGGTCCAAATCTATGCACTCGTCAGTTGGAGTCAGCTGCCAAGATTATTGTAAGGCGCTTGAGCAAAGGAGAAAAAGAGCTATCAGACTAGGCTAGGCCAGGCCATGGGTGGCGCCACTGGGCATCTAGTGTGTAAGACGTCGTAGGATTCAACATTGCAAGTTCCGTTTCAATTGCCAATAGCCTAGATTTGAGAAATATCATAGGGAACAATCAAGCAAAGAAGCCCAAGTACCTTCATGTCTGAGCTTGAGTTATGATCTACATCATATGGTTTACCTAATCAGCATAGTATTCTGAGGTCTAAAGAACAAGAGACATACCGAGAATGCTTGACAGAATTTGGGACAGTTAGCTTAGCACAAGAATTCACAGGTATGCTTTGCCAAACTAAAAAGGCGGGTACAAGGAGTGCTAAAGCCCTTGACAATATATGAAAGGGTACCATTACCATAGTATCTCACGCAAGTCCCAGAGACCATTTGATATGAGGGTATTGAATACATCTGACAGCTACCTTGGGATGGGGCTTGTGAGTGGAATCGATTGAGAGGGACCTTCTTTTAGCTTAGGGCAAGGTTCCTCAGACTGTTATAGTACCTCCAAGTCCATGAGCCATAAAAATTGCGAGCCCCGGCTTTAACACGATGAAGCACTCGGAGGTTTGAAACCAACCACACATGGATCTTTCGATGTGCACGGAATCTGAATATTGCTGCGCCTTTCAATATCTGCAGTAGCAATTTTGCTGAAGAGAGGGAAGGGGAGGGAGAGATTTGGGGGTGGGAGAGGAATGACTGCGAATCTACGTGGAAATGAAGAGCCCTTATTACCGATTTTGAGAACAGATACTGTGAAACTGAATCTGGGAATGAAAATACTATCCCCAGAAACATCAAAAGCAACTCTAGGAGCTTTTCATCTTCTGGGACCTCCTCCTTTAGCTCCTAGGGCCATTTTGTTTCTAGGAAACTGAGGTCCACCCCTGGGATCCACACTCTACGATCCTGGCAGAATATGACTTTGCTCTGGGAACAGATTGGCTAGATCTGGAAGCTGTTTCGCTTCTAGGACCCTAATAAGGCATCCGAGAGTCAATATTATGCCTTCTGGGGTTGCGGAAAGACCTCACAAGATACCTTCACCAGACCTGCGCACAAATCTGCGTAATTCGCTACTCCTGGAAAGGCACGCTATAGCCCCAGGAACCGCACCTGAGGTTCCAGGAGTTGATAAGACTGTCAACAGGAACATGACTTTGGTTCCCCGAGGTGGAGGTACAAGACCCCAGAAGCTACTTTGGGCTTCCTGGGGGCTACTTGGCTCCTGGAAGCGGCTTCTTTGCCCCCAGAAACCGCACTGAAGCCCCTGGGAGCAAGGTAGCTCCCAGGGCCAAGCCATCATTTGATGCTGGAGGGGGAAGGCGCGGTGGATAGGAAGCCGACATTTCTTGGGCACATCTTCGATCTAGACGGGATGCTTAACCTATTAACCTACAGCAAGCCTTTGGCAGTATTTCATTCGCTTGCTGTACAGTGAAGGTGCAGTAGCGTGAGGGTATCTCAGAAGTTGCATTGCCCACTTTCCTGCGATATGATTTGTGCAAGGCCGTTGATGGGAAATGTCAAAAAGAGCTGTGGGTTATATATTTGTCTGTCCGGATAGACAAAATAGTTCAATTTCCTGTAGTTGTACACCCGTTGTTGAGTCCTGGGTGCGAGGCGTGAGCTTGAGAGAAGAGATGAGCCGCTGACTGTCAGTTTTAGGGAAGTCAGGCTCACCTGGGTCACCTACTTTCCACCTTTCCTAAAGAATCCAATCACGGTAGTCCTGCTTGTCTCATGCCACCATCAGTCCTCCTACCATCAGATACAATGCATCCCCTAGTTGCAATGCCACTTCCACTCGGTTTCTCTTCTGCTATGCTCAAAATTACTGAATCATCCAACTCAACCCCAACTAAAGCTCTTCGCGCCTGAGCCTGAAAAGTCTTAGCCATCAAGATATGACATTTTACTCCGAACTTTGGCTGGACTGGCTTGGAAGTTATCGTTTGATTGCAATTTGCTGGTCCAAATGATAATTATCAGGCCCATCGAACTACTGACCTCTCCCATCCGTCTCTTCGTCACACGATCTCTTGTCTTTGCTCGACCAAGATGCCATATAGGACAAGGGTCAGCACACCACCCCCATGTCATATGCTTCGAACAAAGGGTTCCTCTCAACGACCGGTGGGATGGTTTGGTGTGTCCTAAAGGCGCTAGTCACACCCCCGGCCAGAAGCCCTGCGGCTGCAGTGGGAGATAGCTCGCGCGTTGTTGATTCAAGATAAGTTGAGGTAAGTCCCATCTGTTTAATCTGTCACGTATTGTACCATACTCTGACTCTATCTCTTCTGATCAAAAGGATGTCGCCGAATACCCTCAGCTGGAATCTACGCCTGTCCAATCTTCAACCACGGTCTATGATTCTTGCCCACAGAATATCCATACCTCACAAAGCCCGTTCCTCTGTCCTCCTACTCCGCTGTGTAGTAGAGCCACTCCGCGATGCCACTCCGCGATGATACGACTGACAAATTAAAGGGGAGGGGCGAAGGGCTATATCGCCAACCTCTCGAAACACGTTATTCCAGAGGTTGATCTTCCAAGGTCCACCGCCTCGGGACTGAGCTTACTATGGAACTATGGGAGAAGTACTCTATCACACACTGCACGAAGGTGGTAACATATACTTCATATCACGCTGATTCTGGAGGCGCTATAGCGTGGTGGTAACAAAAGCATTGACGGGGGAGGATGAAGCGTTTATCCCATGGTTAAATCGATCTTTGGATAGAGTCACAGATATCCAACATGTTGCTGATAAGCCAGGAAGCACATTTTCTCATGTCGATATTGTCAACTTCTTCAGGCCAAATGTGCATCCCGAGGCATTTCTCTGACTTGACGGCTTGAATCCCGCATAGGTCCCGAACAACAAGGTTTTCATATCTCTCTTCTCCATATCACTATTTGCTTTATGCGCCCTTGCTGACGGCAATTTGAGTTAGGCACTTCGTAACTGTCAGTCCGGGTTAGGCTGATAGCTATCCTGGGTGAGGTATAATATTGGCCATAAAGTGAGTTCTACCCGACTGTGCGGCTAGACGATGCAACTATCTGCCATATACTGGAAACTAGGATATTTCTTCGGTTTGCAAAAGCCCGAAGGCAGAACATTGTATTCTTATGGTGAGCGGAAAACATCACAACAAGGCAAAGTTTCAGTTTGCCACAACATCTCCCTATGCTGAGCTGACTTTGCATCCTCACCCAGCTCATGTTCCTGACGCTAGGACCGACCATGACGTACACGCTTCACACACTCTCTCGTCCAGCAACACAATATTCCAGCAAAATTGACTTCACAATCAACTGATTGATCCACAGTGTAGATTATCTGTGACACAATTTATTGGCGCCACGAAGATGTGCCGCGTTATTCCACTTCTCAAGGAAGCGCTCAATGGCCGCAGTGCGAGGTACAGTACCAGGCATAAGGAATTATGTGAACACCTGGTCATTGTCCTCACGCTGAGAGCTGGTTATAGTTTGGAACAGCCGAAGTAGCGGCTGTTGCACCGACTCGCCGCGCTGTTTGAACTCGCGAATATGGGGCTGGAGGAACGGAATCCCAGGATGCTGATCGAAGTGCTGGCGGTATGAAACGAAATCGTGGCTCGGGTCTATGAGAGGCAGGATTTCGGGTGGTATCAAAGAGGCAGGAATAACGGTACGACTGGCGGCGAAATCACGGAATGTATTAGATCCGACCGCAATATATTTGCGAAGGCCGTCTAGTATAGCCATTAGAGAATAATAGTTCCGTGCTTCATAAAGCTCCTGTGAGAAAACAAATTAATCTTCAGTTTCTTGGTATGTTCGATAGTTGGAGTCCTCACCAATGTGCAGGTCTGAAGGTACGGGACTAGGTCCGACAGTCCAGAGCAGCATTCCAACACAGAATTGCTTAGCCTTTGCCAATGGATGAGGGTTTCCGAAACCATAGCATCTTCCAATATAAGTGTCTCTCGCGACAGTCTCTCAAATAAACATTTATCGGCCTGTGTCAAGGCTTTTGCCAAATCGGTCGCTGATGAAGAAAGGCAGTCTTCCAACAAAGGAAGAGAAGTTTCGAAGGGTGCGAACCAATTCATCTGGTCGGAGTGTCTGTATGCTTTCTGGAAGCGTACACTAAGGACACTAAGAACCTTGAATATAGTTGATAGGCTGGAGGAATGGTTTTTGAAAAGTTGCTGGATTGGGGCCGCGATGAATAAAAGTCCTGGAGTATTATGTGAAGGCATATTGTGCTTGCCGTCTGGCTGGATGACCATGATGCACCGGGAAAGGGCTTGATGGGCAAAGGGACTTCGATCCCGAAGATGCTATGTAAAACAATTAGTCGATTGTCCTATGGCGGAGTATGCAGATCATCCGTTTTGAGCTTCGTGGATCACCAACCTCCTCTACTTCTAAATAAAGCAGAAGTTCCTCCGGGTACATGTGTAGATAATCCACAAGAAGACCGTATAATGATGTGTGTTGCTGAAAGAACCACTCTACGGACACGGCTTTGTGTCCAAGAGCGGAGCGTACGATATCCTCAAAGGCGATCTGCTGGAAATGACGATGGCTCTCTCCCTCAATTTCTAGAGCGATTGCTCCAGGGTCCGATGAACGTCCTGGTATTGTAGGAAACCAGCTCCATGTAATCAGTGGAAGTTGCTGGATACTCGATCGAAGCAGGATCTCTTCCACTTTCTGTGGATGTGACAGCTCAGATAGGCGGCAATGCTGGTGCGGCTCTGACGCCGCAACGAGGAACGAACTGATGAACTGCGTATTACGACTCCGCAGTGAGCTTCGCGGAGAATCTTCGTCGTGGAATAACCCCAATCTGATCGCTTGACTGATATCTTTGAAATCATAAGCCCATAGCATATTGATTGCCTCATCTTCCCACCATCGATATCCCACAGAAAACTGAGGAATCTCCACACTAGGCCGAAAGGCAAACGGGAATGACCTCATATCAACGGGGGGAGCGTTTCTTGTTGGGCTTTGCATCATTTTGGACAATGTCAGCAGTGACTTGGTGATTTCCTGGAGGTGGGGAATATATTGGTGTCGGCAGACCCAGGGGCAAAGAAAGCTCCATCCATCTATCTACCATTTAACTTACCGCTAGTGTCACTTTATGTATAAGAGTGGTCTGTATCAAAAAAATACTATCGATGACCACACGGGCATGATGTGGCGTTTTGACAATGTATGGCGAGACCGGAGAGGGGCGAGGAGTTAGGCAAGGCAAAGTCCACGCCCCAAAGTTAGCCAGAGCGCCCGCCGTATTGAGCCAGTATTCCAAATAGTTGATCTCATATCAGGTTCTCATTAGCACATTGAGGATGGTATGAAATCTGAACCATACCTGATAGGGAATGTCCCCCAAGCCAGAATTCCTCAACCCCTTGCGAGTTACAAGCTCACCTTTTGATTTTTCACAAGAACCATAATTCCTTGTTTATTTTTCTCGGATATCAGAGTAGAAGGGAACCTCAAGATTCTTGGATAGGTATTTTGCCCCCAGCATGTCAAGATCCAGGACCAATGCGCTTTGCCCGCCCCGCAACGGGTGTTATTAAGTGACTTGCAAGCTTATGTGATAACCGAAAATTTGTGCTAACTGAGAGGTTGTATTAAATTGACAAGTGGATGTAGTCGCGCTTAAGGAATATAGGATTCCACTTGGAGTTGATAGCGTTATTTGATTCCTAGTGTAGACTGTTGATACACTGGCGAGAAAAACATGATAGATATTAGAGGGCTCAACGGTCAGTTACTAAAGCCAACGAAGGGAGAAAGCAGCCCACGTAGTATTATTGTAAGATTGTCAAAAGACATTCATGTCGTTGAGGATTTTGGGCCCCACTATTACTATTGTAAGATCTCTTAAATTTAAGTGACTTGTATTGACACCATTCGCATCATAAGGTAGCTTGTATTGCCGCACCTTTTCGAAACATAGTCATCGCGTCATTGATCATTTCAGGGCTACGGCTAATGCGGAATCATTCATCTAAAGTCGACGTTGGTGGCATGCTCATGGTCAACGATGGCTGATTTCTCTGCATGCAGTTGACTTTGGGATTCCATCTGTTCTTGTAGAAGCTCTGGGAGAATTTGGCTACCTCATCAATCTAGGGAAGAATTTACAAAGGTATCCGCAATACATGAACACCAGACCTGGAATGCACTTTCTTGGTCCTGCATCGGATATCGCTACCCGGAGCTTAACCTTGGCTAACGTCGTGATCAATGCGCATACAAGTTACGATGTTGAAGTATATCAAAGCAGCCCTCCAGGGTGCTGATGGGCTCTTTGGTTAATTTGAAACCCACTTCCTCTCGCGAGACCATGTCGACATGCACGACATATGCCTCCAAGTGGATCATTCCAAGCAGTCCTTCTAACATCACCCAGCACAATGTCCAGGTTGCCCTCTGTGGGGAGAGAATGTAAATTAAAGTAATTCGTTTGCTGTTTGGGATTGTTCAAAGGATGCCTAGCTCGACTCACTCGCTTAAGAGTCACTTTCAACCACTGAGGGACATTGGCGTCGCGCACCACGCTAGGGGGTGTGCGTGGCGCAAATGCAGCGGCAGAAGATGGTACTAAGGCTTGGGGCATTATTTATGTGAAGCAAATGCATGTTTCTGCGTTTAATAAATGTTGCCCTTTTAAAACACGTAGACTTCGGCGAACATTATCACCATGCTAACACTAGCACGCTTCCTCGGCCATACTTTCCCAAAGCACCGGGGGTAGCAATTTACAAAGTCAATTTTGAATGACCTTGTAATGGCGCTAAGTGGGACTGCATTTGACCCGTAATTGGATGCAGGCAGGGGTTGGCGTGTTCCCTTGTAAAATTGAACCTTGGGTCATGGACTAGCCTAGTTGTGTTGAAAAAGACATGTAGGCGGAGCGAACGTTCGGACCAAAGATTCGAGGCCGATCCGGGGAACATCGGAACATCTGGTTTAGGCAAGAGCTCCTCCTATCGGAGTATCCACTGGCCCCTTACAAGGTCGTCTCCTGGGATATTTCTCTTACGATGGGCGCATTTAATACCGTCTTTTAAGCCAGAAGAGAGAATCAATCCCATGGGCAAGAATACAGATAACGCCTTCGAATTCGTTTTGATCTGAAGGCAGGATATAAACTACTTCCTACTCGTCAGGTCTGCTGCGTGAAACTGCTTACAGGTAACTTGATCCTTGGCCTACTTGGGCAATCAAGACTCTAACCTAACTAATTATTGTGGCAGTATGTACCATGACGAAAACCCATTCCATGGCATCACAAACTACCCATTCGTAGGAGTCCCAACAGACTACCCGTATGGCCCAACATACGCTCCGTCGATGGACTCGGCTCCTATGATCAACCCAGCGAGTAATGTTTATTGGAACTTTCAACAAGCGCAAAACTGGATGACAGCACCTGCGTCGCCAACTGCCACTCTGTCTCCCCGGTCAACTCCGAGATATCGAGAAATAAGACCTCGACCGCCACATGGATTAGCGCCCACATTCCCCCCGATGGAGCTTAACAAAGAGAAACAGCACAACCAGCACCGGGGTTTAGGGCGAGGGAAACACTCCAAGCGCCACAGACAGTTAGACCAAGGATAGGTGATTCAGAGGACAGCCAAAAACGCACGTCGAACGGTTTCTGAGGTTTCTGATATGACCGAGAAGCCAGTGAGAGATAAAGAAATTAGGTATGTATGGCTGTACTCTCAAACTGGTATCTTGCGCAGTGGCTAAGTCGACTCTTACAGCACAGCGAAACCACCACCAGCTCCGAGACACAATTCAGCTACACATGCCCCACGCTCTTGGTCGCCTGATTACCCTTCAAATTATCTGGAGGATACTTTTCAGCCTCCAGTAGAGGCTCTTCAGAGAGCCTTGAAAATTCAGATACTACAGTCACTCAGGGTTTTGCGTGAGATCGCCAGGCAGTTCCGTGCATTCAACTTGGAACTTGAGATGATTGATGTTTGGGTGACAGAGATCAAAGAAGTTGACACAACACTGATCCCTGTTCCATCAAGCACCGCGGCCCAGGTATTTGTTCCTTTCGAAAGCCTCAACTTTATCCTCATGGAATGCATTACTGCTTCAGGACCCATGCGAGGCTTTATTATCAGGAACCAGGCACGGGAGTTGTTGAAATATATACAGACCTATACGGAGGAGTACCACCTATTTCAGAATCCACGGGTTTATTTTGACATTGGTAGATATATAGAAAGACTCAACCCAGGCAAATATGACGAGAAGGCGAATGATGTTGTTCTCCCGGGAGGTCGCGAATAGTCTTTTGCTCTATACATGCCATTTTCTGCCTAGTTTGTCTTCAAAATTGAGCAACTCTCTTCGAAGTGTTCATTGTATATGCCACATACTCAAGATGTTTAATGCCGTTCTGTCCGTATTGGAGACATTACTGATGCTGTCCATTTCCTAAAACAAGTTCTAAGCCGCAGTTCCGGCGGTTTCCCCCATTTGCTGTAACTCTAGGCCCAGTAGTATGCTTCCCGTATATACAGGCTCCGTCGTGACGGGCTCAATAAGGTTGAACGCCTCCGCATCCCAACACTGCCTTGCCGATATGGTAACAAGAGTATACTTGTTGCTCGGTTTCATAGTTCGCACCTTCTCATTCGCACGGTAGAGGGTAAACTAGGTCGAACCGACTTGTTCATGTAAACACCCTGCTGGAATGTCAAGATCATTGGCTCGTGGTTTTCACTTTAGGTATGCACTGTGAGGCTCAACAGACTTGATTGCGTTAGGTCTCCCTTGCACAGCGTGCCATCTCATCTGGCGCTCGTTGAAAGGGCCGCCTCGTGCTCGTTTGGCAATTGGGTAAGAAGATAACTCGTCGTATACAGAGAAGGAGGCCAGCTAGCTTTAGAGATATGTAAGTGAGTCTGCAGCAACTGCACGGATCTGGGAAAATGGAAAGGGGAAGTAAGACTCGGTGAAGAATAGAAAGTGGACGTCCCTTGAGAGTATGAACACATCGTCAATTAAGAGAGAACACTCTTGACTTCCTCCACAGCAAGCCGTCTACCAGTCTTTCATTTACTGGCTGTGCAGGAAAATTGTAGTAGCCTGAAAGGATTTCAAAAGTTCCTCACTTGCGTAGGATGTGCTTCGTAGGCGTCCGTTGCTCGGAAAAAGTCAAATGGTGTTTTCTATTATGCAAGTGGGCACTTCAAAGAAATTAAAGGCCTTGATTCGTTTGAGTTGGTATATGTTGTTGAATAATCCTGGGAATGCGAGGAAGGAAGCTCGGGGAAAGGAGAAATGCATCACTGACTGTCTGTTTTACCTAAGGCAGACTTGGGTCCTCTGCTCTCCTCCTTACCCTGACGCGAGCACCTGAGTATTCTGGCCCTCCTTTTCTCTTGCCACCACCAACTCCCTTACAACCAGACACAGTCCATGCTCTCGCTGCAGTTTTACTTTTTTCGGTTGCCTTTTCAGTAAGTTCGGGCTCGCTGAATCCACAAAACTGTACCGAGAAAAGCTCTTCAGACTCAAGCTTGAACACTAGCCACCGAGACATTTTGCTACCAAATATTTCCTAGGCTGATTTAAAACTCAAGCTGATATTGCATTATCCTAGTTCCAACAATGGCAATCCTCAGACCGACCAAACTCCTGGCCTCTCCCATCCGTCTTTTCGTCACACGATCGCCGTGCATGATTGCTCGAGTTTGTTCGTCCGAAATACTGTATAAAGCCAGTTCCAGTACACGATATCAACATACTGTTCTTTACTTCTCCGCCACCGGTGCGGAGAATCTGGCGTGTGCTCTTTTAGGGCTAGTCTGACCCGGTCAGAAGCGCAGCGACCGCGCGAGAGCACAGCTCTCGCGCGTTGTTGCTTCAAGGTGAGACCCGTCTGACCAAGCTGTCGCATACTTGACTCTGACTCTATCTCTTCTGATCAAAAGACAGTCCCTAAGTACCCTTAGCCGAATGCTACACCAGTCAAATCTTCAACCAGGTGTGTATGGTGGCTTATGAGAGGTCCTCGCAGCAAATGAGGGCTTGTAACGACTTCACAAAGGGGAACAATAAACGATAGAAGCGTGGGAATTTGCCTAGGCTCTAAGACTAATCCGTCTTCTTGTTAGGCAAAAATTACAAACAGTCCAAGATTGTTTGGGGGGCTTAGTTTCCGCAACAAGCTCAAACAAGGTGAGTGTATCTTAATCGCCGGAGTATATATAGGGTATTCAGACACCACCAAGCCCATTCCTCTGTCCTCTTACTCAATCCGCATCACCTACTCGCTTTACGTACTTGCTTGTCATTTGGCAGTCGTTTCTCGATGATACGACGGAGAAATCGAAGAAAGACCCTAACACCGGTTGCCTCTTCAAACGCCCTATTCCGCCGGGTTGTCCTTCCATGACCAACTCTGATCTGGGCTGATTATTGATGATATGAAGGGTGTTCTATATCACATATCATGCAGAAACCATGAGAAGTTTCGTTTCAACAACTTTCTGGAGAACCTATGCTGTGCTGGTACTCAAGGCAATGACAGCGGAACCACGCCACTGGGGATACCACAAGAATACGTTAATGGTTTAGACGCTGACCGGGGGATCCTGGGAGGCGGCTCCCAACTTTTGGTACATATCTGGTGTTTTGCGAATCTGCTTTAAAGTATATTAAGGCAACACAGAAACAGCTGCGTGAATCTTGGTATTTGATCAAGTCTACTACATCTTCCCACAAACTTCTCTCAAGAACGTTCCTTTATCCATCCCACCGTTGACAAAAAATGCTCGACCACTGTTGGAATCACGGAAGACCACCGTATTATTCATAGAACCTGCACCTCCGATAATCCCCATGCTTGTGCCATCAAAGGTGCAGTCTTTGAAGGTATACGTCCTTTGATTTTTTTCTTCGATATCCTTTGGTGTCCCTCGAGGGAAGATGGTGGCTGATGCAAGTCAATACCCAAGTCACGTACTCAAATGACGCATCATAGATACCTGAGTGTCTCTGTTCAGCGGAATCGGAAAGACGATGACTGGATAAGGTTCCTTCATGCTGGGATGGTTGCTCGCCAAGTGGGAAAGAAGAAGGCTCAGTAAAAGGTGCTGTGAGAGAGAATGCACTCTCGGGCGAGATTTAGATCCAAACTTACCTGATCCCGATTACGCTTCATGGATCTCGACATTGGCTTTCTGGAATCAACCTGATGGCTTTGGGGCTGGGGCTTGTAGATTTGTCAGAAACAGTAATGTCTGGGCGAGAAGGCCTAGTACGAGAATATGATACCAATTCTTTGTTCTCCAGATGTGCTTGGGTAGAGCCATTCACCAATGTCGAGGCATCACCTGAATCGGGGTTTTGTTGGGATACTGCACCTTGACAGCCGTGCTTCAGCCATCTGATGGTCATGCTGGAAGTTAAGTATTTTCTCGGAAGACAAAATAGCGGAAAGACGATAGATGCCCTGGAATGAGATAGTGAAGAGAAGTCAGAATGTGAGGGGGAATGGATCGACCATGGCCCTAATTGTTAGATTACCCCTAGTAATGTCCACGTACTGTATGGCTTGGCACTTCGTGTGCTCTAGACGTTGGTAATATTGCCCCGTGGGTATCCAGTTTTGGCACATATATCATACGGCTGGCCGTGGAAACAAATGCAGATCTATCAGGTTGCCGCGGGGCCCTGGGAATAGTGCTCAACCATTAAGACCTGTTTCATGTTAGCGGTTATGTTTCAGACACAGACAGTGACGCCACTTGCACCTACCTCGGACCAAGCAGCTCACGCAGTATCAAAGTTTGGTTGGCCTTGGCTATCTCCCAATAGAAATGAGAGTATGGGAACATAAAAAAAAGTAGTTAGAGGCCCTCGCCAAGTACAATGCCTTGAGAGCGAGAAAGAAACGCCAAACCCTTCCCCCCAATCCTCGATAATAAATGCCAATCCTACTCCCCGGAAAAGTGCAACCATCATTCCATTTTTACCCACCATCAAATATACCGTTCATTGTTAAGGAAGAACCTGACGTGGTCTTTTCCCCATATACTTGGGGAAGCTGACGGGACCATTGGAAAGCCTCCACTCTGGATCAAGATGGGCACCCAAGTTCAGATCGCATTTGGTCAGATGAGTTACCCAAGTTCATATATCTCACCACAATACAATTCCAGATAACCTTCGGTAGTGGACGACAGGTTACTTGAGGCTTGCTCTCAAAACTACGACTTCGTTTACGAACAACATCCTCTAGCACCCCTTTTGGCAGCAGCACTCGCGCCCTTTCCCTCTCCCACACCCTCGCCCCCCAACTATCCACGATCCGACCTCGACTCAATGAATACGGCCCCGACGCCGAAAATGCGAGGACACACTGCAATATAAGCCTCGGAAACGTCGAATAAGTGAAATGCACCGGTAGAACCAACGGCTGCCACAAGCGAGAAGCGGCGAGTCAAAGTCCGCCCAGCTAGAGGCGGATGACAACGTGGTCTCTTCAGCTAGACCCGGGAGAATGAGGTTCAAATTACCAATCCGTTTGATATTCCACATACCCAAATTCTGACTCAATGACCATAAAATTCAGTTCCACACTCTTCAGCCAAAATACGAATTCCGACCTCCATTCTAGCAGTCAAGAACCTTCCTTCGCCCCTTGTCCATTTCCACCTTCAAACAACCATACAAGTTCGGCGAGAAATCGCTCACTGCATTTGCCCACTGATGCTTTTGAAGCGCTTGTTCCCGGCCGGGTGAATGCAGCGTCACTGTCTTCGAAGTGCTTGGTGATATCTCTGAGGCTTTTCAATAGCAACACATATTCGAAGTCTACTCTACACAATAATCCAAGAGATGCTCGGTCAAAAAGTTGAAAGTACGTTTGAGTAAGAGTTTTTTGATTTCCAAGATTTCTGGCTTTCGTCGATATATTCCTTGGCTGTCACGTACGACATGGCACTCTTCCGCTGGCAACCCCTCACGCGCGTCTTTTGATATCCATCAACAGGACCAGATCACTTCTCGAGCATTGATTCCAGTCTTTGAGAACGCCGATCAATCGTTCTTGGGTCTGTTCCAAAGCCTGTTCAAAGTAATACAGACGAGATAGCTGCTCATCGGGACGAAGCTGGAGCCCGTCTCGCTCGTTGCTCAACTTGGTGGTAGCTTCCTTCGAAGTTTTGTCATTTTCGTCTGGTATCTCGCCTTCGAGGTGTTTCGGCACATACGAGGTCCATAGACGTCGATAGAGTCCCACGGTTCGAGCCGCTTGAAAGGTGAGTTTTGGATCATCGCGATCGAGATCTGCCAGTGTCTCCAATATGAGTTGAAACTGCTCGATCGCCAGGGGTTTCTTTGGGCTTGCTTCCTGCTGTTACGAGAGAATGTAGTGATCAGCCACAGTATAGAACGTGTCGTTGCACCTAGCTTACCACTGGGGGTTCGGAATCGGAAACAGCCTGTGTATAGGCCTCATCACCCTGCATAGGCATTTCACTCAGCTGGCGGTCTCCCTTATCTTGGTCGGGAAGTTGTTCCGGGGCATCCATCGTTTCCACTTGCAAAGATTCAGCGTCCAAAAGTATACTTTCCACCTGCACTGGTCTCTCTTATAGCCTGTCCAGAGTCAAACATTTAGTTCAACGCTGTTACAAAGGTGGCATAAATCGTTCAAAGCAATCTGATGACCCGACACATCTTAAAGACATTGTTGAACATCTACTTTCAACATGTCAATTTGTAACCATCAATTAATGTCTTTGGATAATATGTGTATTATTTGTAGTACCTTTTACTCACCGTTCGACGTGAAATCTGGGGGACCAAGAAAAAAGAAGCCCGAAGGAAAAACTGCTACGTTGATTCTATGATGGCCGTGATGACAATAAAGAATTGTCGAGGTCAGTACCAGCGTCCTCATTTTGCAACTGTTGAACAATAATAAACCCCGAGATTGCACGGCTGTTGAAGAAATATACTGTATATGTTTTCCGACCATGCGTGTTTTTAAACTGCCTCTTCACGCTATCTAGCGACCTCGTCTACGAAGAAACTGCCTCTTGGGTTTCGCCCAACTTGACCGCAGGCCAATTTTTGGTGCTTTGGGGTCGTTGAGTCAACGTTGGGCCCTCCAGTCGGTCAACATTTCTTCACAATAACATCTCTTCTCGGTCACCCACCAGAATGTGGTTTGAATGTGTCGCTTAAGCGAGTAGAAATAGAATCCAGACATATCAACAGGCCTCATTTTTAGTAGCCACCCTCACAACTATGCTTTAACATTTGACACCAACCAGAAGCATGCAAGTGACAAGATAAGCCGAAAAGTCTATAAATATATCTTCTACCGATGGGCTGTTGCCCAACAAGACAACTGCATGGCTGTTCCAACCCGAGCAGCTCCTACGTCCAAGACATCAGGCTAAGTTCATCCCAGATTTAGTTAACCGCGGGCATCTTCACAGTACTAACAAAGATAGAATACGTCGTGGATAACGAGTCAGGTGGTAACCTTGACGTGCTTAATCTGGCTACCCGTGTTGTGCCACGCCGTGTCAGCCGATAAAAGATGAAGTCGAGACGTTTGTCTGTCCTATGTACTGTACATATGCTAGGTAAGTTATCTTTCTTCCTGTACAAACGCATCCTGCCCCCAGGTTGTTACGCGAGATGAAAAGCGGGATTATTCATGTCGCAGGTATGTGAGGTGCCAGCCCAAGCATGTCTGATGCTGTACTGTACCGATATGGGATATGCTGCCGGTCACACACCCAGACCCGTATGAATTCGGCCGCTGTTAACGAGCACGACCTACATTGAGCCCACGTCCATGTACTTGGCGAAGGTCGATAGTTGGGACGAGAATATTCCTTGACCACTCGAACATGTAAGGCATGCAACGCCACTCCTCGTAGTCAACACATTGGCTTTGTCTATCTCTCTGGAATCATTTGCTTTAGCTTCAACCTGGATCCTATTAACCGGTGCAACCAAAGCCGTAGTGCCAAAAAGTAGTCTCTTTGAAGATCACCGTTGAGATTCCTCACCATAATCCAACGCTTTGTAGGTTCGTTTCAAATGAGGTGGTATATTGATGAGGTCTTGAAGCAGAATGCTTATTCGGATTGTCAGATTTGTTAGAATCGCTGCAAAACGAAGGAACAGCTCTTAGCACGTATGAGTACACGTGGAAGCACACTGACTATAATGACAATTTCCTTTTTTACGAATAAAGACAATCGCAAAATCCGATGATTATTTTCGAAGAATGAGGGAGGGAGGTGGAGTCCAAAAAGATGAGAGAGGTGCGACAGATAGGGTCATGCAAAATAATGGACTTTGATGTAGAGTTGCTAAGATAATTTACCAATTGATTTTCCTGATTGGAATCAAAGCATTCACGTCCCTGTTGACAGCTCTAACAGCATTAGGAACACACCTCTTTGCCCTAGGAGCTCTGTTGCTCCCGGGGGCTCCGAGTCGGTTTATGGGGGCATACAAGCGGCTTCTAGGAGCCACGTAGGCTCCGGGAAGCCCGACGTAGTTTCTGGGGCTTTTACCTGTACCTCGGGGAATCAACGTCATATTCCTGTTGATAGCTTATTAATCCTGGAGCCGTGAGTCCGGTTCCTAAAACCACAGGCTAGGCATCTGGGAATAATAAAGTGACTCAGATTTGTGCGTAGGTCTGGAGATAAGTTAGTACCGTACTCTGGGAGGCAGAAGATTGATTCTAGGATTCAGAAATACGGCCCTGGGAGTGCAACGGCTCCCGGGTCCAGGCAATGCGTTCCCCAAACCAATTTCGTGTTCATTCAGGAACGTAGAGTGAAGATCCCAGGAGTAGATTAGTTTCCTGGGATACACAGCTCCTATAAATGCTTTTGAGGTTTCCAGGATCAAGCTCTATCAGCCCTGGAAATGACGGCTTGGCCCTGGGAGCAAGGTAGCTCCCAGGGGCTTCAGTGCGGTTTCTGGGGGCAAAGAAGTCGCTTCCAGGAGCCAAATAGCCCCCAGGAAGCCCAAAATAGCTTCTGGGTTCTTGTACCTCCACCTCGGGGAACCAAAGTCATGTTCCTGTTGACAGTCTTTTCAATTCCTGGAACCTCAGGAGCGGTTCCTGGGGCTATAGCTTGCCTTTCCAGGAGTCGTTGAATGATTCATATTTGTGCGCAGGTCTGGTAATGCGTTCCTATCACTGCGTGTCCGCTCTTCAGCTGGTACTAGAGGCTGGTCAATGGTTTCGAAGCTTGCGACGACACTGGGTGCAATGTCCATCCTCGGTGGGTTGGTTGTCCTGAAACCACCTCCACGCAGACCTTCCACCTTCCGTTTTGAGAGCGGCGTATACAGTGAATGGCATTTTATCCGGATGCACACAATTATTCCAGGTGTCTGATTCGAGCCAGAGTGTGGTCATTTCAGTATATCCGCATGAACATTCAATGAAGACTTGTGGAAGGAGAAAGGGAGGTAGGCTGACCAGCGTCGATCCGGCGTTTTTCGTTCGGGGTGGGGATCAGCGGGACCGTAGAAGACAACGTCAAGACGGCCCGCTTGATGCTGGTTCAGGGTGCTTGCAACTACTTTGGGAACCACACTGTTGAGGTCAGTCCGCATCGTCGTGTCCGATGCCTGTCAGTCACACGGTCAGCTCCGAAGGGTCTCATTTCCTACAATGCGGATGATGCCGGACACGTTCTCGAGGATCTGGTCTGTTGTAGTTCAGAGGTGTGAATTGACTTTTTATTTCAGAGGGATACATGAGCCTATATATACAACAATTAGCCAAGTTGATTTCCAATCAACTTGGTCGTCTGTATAGACACTTCGGAGCTAATTCCGACGGTGCGGCTTGGTTCCTGATCTGCACCAGCCTCATATCACAACATGGTCGAATATGCGTTGATCCTCGATGGCCGGTACTAGAGCAGTCTCGAACCTCTCCTTTCCGTACCTCTCCTTAGAAAGCCTCTCCAGATAATCTTTCGGCGTTCGAACTGTTCCGCGAACATTGTATCCAAGTTGCAAAGGGGTATCCACAAAGTTCGTGGCAATGCTTCCAGTGGCAAGGATACGACTACCTGGGGGAGCAGAGAAATCTTCGCACATTCTATAAAATTCCTGCTGTGCTGTACAAACGATGATCGGTGCTCTTCGAGAATCAGAAATTCGAATTCTCGTTTTTTATGGTACTGCAATACAGCCGCGTTTGCCGGTACAATTAAGTGAAACGCAACCTCGGTCTTGGCAATTGTCGCCCGAAACAGGCGACCGCGTCGAAGACAGCCAGTGGCAGATTCTTTCCCTGACTTCGATCAAGGTAAGGTTTGCTTGAATTTACAGGCTGACTAAAGATAGTAATATGCGAATTACACGTGGTTGGAAGATCAAATCACGTAATAAGATTCAGGTTAGGGATAAAGTACAGTGTCACGAGAAGCAATGCGGGGTAAGACCGTCAGTACAGTTCCACTCACAATTCACTCCGTGGTACATTCTTGACACGTCAGGATATGACAGATAAGGATGTTATGATGGATTTCGTTGCTCTCCCCAAAATTGAGGTGAGTTATGGCCCCTTTGTGATTTATATCCATGAGCCAGTTGTCGGAACTTGTCTTTGTAATCGAGCACTGACTGAAATTGCAGCTACACGCTCATCTCACTGGCAGCATCTCTCGCCGTGTCTTGCATGAGATATGGCATCGGAAAAAGGAAATCGGAGAGACATTGCTGGACGACCCTCTGACAGTTATGCCGCAGGACAAGTACGATTTTAGTGTAGAGAGGTGAGCTCTAAACACCCTCTTTCCAGTCTTTGACATCCATTTGTGGCTTCAACAACTGGGCAGTGGTAATATTGCATATATAGCTTTTTCCCGCTCTTCAGCAGCTATATATATAACCTTCTCACGGATGAATGCTCCATTCGCTACGCTACAGCATCCGTGTTAGAGCATTTCCTCGCAGACGGCGTCGTTTACCTCGAACTGCGGACCACACCTCGAGCAACGGCCCATCTTTCAGCCGAGGCCTATGTCAGGTTACTGCTTGACACAATCGCCGCCTTTGAGGTGGGACACGCGGAGAGTATGCACACACGTCTGGTACTTTCTATTGACCGACGGCAGACTCTGGAATCCGCCGAGGCTACCCTCGAGCTGGCGACGCGTCTACGTATCGAAGGTCACGGTGTGGTCGGTTTGGATCTCTGCGGCGACCCTTCGGCCCGCCCGGGAGGAGAAGTCGCCCTTTTCACGCCCGTATTTGAGAAGGCATCGAGCGAAGGACTCGGTGTAACGGTGCATTTTGCCGAGGCAAAGGCAAGTAGCTCGCGCGAAGAGCTGAAGACCTTACTTGGATGGAACCCAGGTAGATTGGGGCACGTCATCTGGGAGGATGACGAGTCGAAGATGGAGATTGCTCAGAGGGGTTTGTGTCTCGAGCTGTGTCTCAGCTGCAATGTCCAGGCAGGTATGGTAAGTGGCGGCTTCGAAGGGCATCACTTTAAGCACTGGATAGGAGTCCATGGGCCAAAGATATCGCTAGCCGTGAGTTACCACCAACTTCAGATTCTTTATTCCAGCCAGAGGGCAAATCGACAAAGTAGAGAAGACTAACGGAGCATATGCGCAGACCGATGATGTTGGCGTCTTTGGCAGCCCGCTTTCAGAAGAGTACCGCCTTGTTGCACGTTACTTCAACGTCAACCGAACGCAGCTTTGCAACCTCGCACGACAGGGAATTGATGCCATATTTGGTGGTGAGGAGGAGAAGCAACGATTGCGGGATATCATGTGGAGTTGAGCTGTGCGAACTTTATGGAGAAGCGCTCACTCCCCAGTCAGTGATTCCGTTACAGCGCCAGGAGTTAACTCGCGGCTGCTTCGAAGCATCAATGTTGTTATGAAGGCTATACAAGCATAGTAGCTGGTCCGAAATAGTTATTATAGAGCACGTGGTATGTAAAAGCAACGCAGTTACGCACGGGGCATTGCTGGCTATCCACATATGCGAAGGCCTACTGCTTTCAAGACAATGAACGGTGCATCTGCGGTGACCGAAAAACTGTGACCCAAGCTCTGTGGGATTGTTTCAATCGGAGAGACCTGCGGCGGGAATTATGGGGGAGAGTTTGTGTGTATGTATATATGCATGTATATATGCATGTATGTATTGTATGTATGATTCCATTTACCCTAACCCCTCGCCGAAGGAGGAGGTACTGTAAGTGTTGTTCAATTGCTCTGGTAATTGATGGTGCCTGCTTACTTTTGCTAAAGGTAGACGAATTATACCCAGATTTGATTTTACGTTGATTTTTTTCCATCATTATCTCTCGTTGCATTATTGCCAAGAAAGTCGTTCATGCACATGTTCATGCCAAGCAATATTATTTGAAAGTTTGTCCAAGCTTCAATACCAAAGAAAACGTTAAGCAACAACGCTTGAGGAACTACAAAAGAAAGGCCCATGACTAGCGATTCTAGTGCATGAGCATCGACGATCACGAGAGATAAGAGCAAGTCGACGATGCATCCTAGGTGGAGAAAGGAGTTTGGTCCAAAAGCCAGAGGACCAATTTCCTATTCGGGTATTGTGGCTCTGCAGCTGGCTTGGTTGTCACTAACCAATTTTTGGTAACTATTGCGAGCTCACACGATATACAGTCGACTCTCGTGAGCAACCCCCCCCCCCCGGCCATCCATACCCCCAATGTGTGCAGCTTCTCATGTGTGGGGCATTGATTATATAATATTCACACTTCTAGTTAGTCCTAGCCCTGATTTCCTATTTAGGTTTGAATCCCATCTCCTCCAGTGTCTTCTGTTTCCTCCCATTTATCTGTAGCCTTGCGTGTAGCTTCATCAAAGCCTCAATATAAGACATATCCTCTTCTGATACCCCTTCCCTGTTTGAAGCCCATGTAGACAAATCATCTAGATGCCCCTTGACAAGCGTATTGGTCGGAATATCAAGTAGTGGTGGCCCATATATATCGTCCTCCTCTGCCAACGGATTGCTATCATCACCAACATTGACAATGTTATCAGATAAATCAAGTGGTCCAGTATCTATATTCTCGCCCGGCGGGTTGATGAATGCTTCATCCGGAAGGATTACTTGCGCATCTGCTTGATTCACCAGCTTTATAGAAACCTCATTATAAAGTGGCCTCAATTCAGAATCTTCCGTATATACCGGCGTGGCCGGTGGGGTTTCATCGTACCGGGTTTGTCCATCATGAAGCACCGTACTCTTGCGGAAGCAGTTCCGAATAGTATCATCTGATACACTAGCCTTCCACGCCCGTACAAAGCCAGCGAAGGGCATGGTTTAGATTCATCCGCGCACGTGGGTCAATGCCCCTATCCAGCATATTTATCATCCACACCATCCACTTCTTGCGGTAATGATGCTTCAGATTATTGATGATACCTTGATCCAAGGGCTGATAGATAGACGTGGCGTTTGCAGAGAAAATACCACCTCGATATTGGGCGAGGGTGGAGCTATTCGTACGGCTGCAACATGAACCGGGAAGTTGTCTAATAGCAACAATGTACGTCTTTGCCTACCAATTCGTAGGTAAAATGTACGAAGCCATTGTACCATGATATCAGATCTCATCCATGCTGTATCATTCTACTTCCAAGCACAGCCAATTGAGGCCATATTGACTCCACGCAATGCGCGCGGTGTCTGAGCACTGCCTATTACCCATAAGGGTAGATGGTCTGTGCCAGTCGCATTGCATGCAGCCACCACGGTAATACGTGTTTTATCCTTATCCTTCTTCTGGCCAGCCTGACCTTTAGTTGTAAGGCCACCATTCGGCGTAAGGCGCTAGAAAAGCCCTGTTTCATCCATATTATAGATATTATCAGGCTCGTAATGGTCGCATATAGTCTGGATAGCTTTCATCTGTGAATGAATTGATTCAGGAACAGAAGCCGCTTCGCCATGGAAGGTATGCCATGATATTGAATACCGCTTCTTAAAGCCAGTAAGCCAGCCATCAGAAAAGATAGGCTGTGGAAGGTGCTTATACGCATCGATTTGCTTCCAAAGCTGTATAGCCTTCATCCGAATAAGAGGCCAGGTGATTGATTGGCCTTGTTCTACAAGACGGTTTTGTCATTCGAATAAGGCTTCATCTAATATTGGCCAACGGGCAGAAGATTGCTGAGTCACATTACTTGCAGTACCATGATCTAGATAGTCATATCGAGATGAAAGGACTCGCGAAACAGTAGTCCGATCTATAATACGGCCAAGTTTATCACGAAACCATTCAACACATGCACGATGGGTAGGTGGAGGGCTTTAGGATGGAAAGTCCCGTAAATATTTGCGCTGAGCCACCGATATGCCCTTATTCGGCCGCTTAGGTAGGGTTAGCTTCGTATCGAGGGCAATAATAGAAGGCCGAGTAGAAGGCGTATTGGAAGGGCCGGTGGAAGAGCTAGAATGCTGCATTCTGATTGATCGGTCGGTGACGACTCAGCGAGAATAGAAGGAAAAATTCTGCATCATCGCGAGGGGTGAAGCTTTGGAATTTTACAGTAGGTGCCTTTGTTGACAGTATTTTTTTACTGAGGTTTGATGAATTCGCACACATTTTCTCTGACAATCAACGTTCCTTCAACGACGATGTTTCCATAGGCTGGATATCACTATCCTAGTATGACTGTAAAAGGTATTTCTCGTTGAGTAACCAGAACTGAGTAAGCTGAACCTGCAGTGAATTGTCGCGCAACATGAGATTATTGAGGCAGAGGTTCCAACATGCCTCACTTTGGGCAGGCATCCTCACCAGTCAGTGCCTTTCAACAATTGCCACGAACAGACGTGGCCAAACTAGTACAAAACGAAGCAGGTGGGTGACAAGACAGGCCGAGATGTCTATAAATACCGCCTGCCACCCGAGTCCCCTGTCATACTAAATCACTGCCTAACTTTGTCACACCGAGGAAAAACCTCTCAATCTAACGAGCTATCAGATGATATCCTGCCAGCGGACCCATGATAAGTTCTTCCATCTTTGATTTTTCCGTGCTCTTCTCGGTACTGACGAGAATAGAACATACCATGAACATCCAAGTCAGCCAGTTCCTATTAGGCGATTGACGCGTTGCTTTTCTGTCACCCCGTGCCAGCTAATCAAGAAGGCAAATCTCTTGCCTGGCCTAAGTGACTTCAGCATGTCTTCTGTGCGAAAACGCGCCTCTACTCAATTGCCCAACTGAGCTGATTCAATGTCAACACCCCACTAGATTGACTCTCTTGATTTTTGGAGTGCAAGAGACTGTTTGTGTGGCAGGTATGTCTGTTCTTCGCCTGACCCGGCCTGATACTATGCTGATGACAGATGCCGCGATCAGCCCGGTCTGTATACATTAAACCGCTGCAGATGAGCGCAACGAGCAATTCACAATCGCCTACCAGGCCAACATCAATTGCTAGCCGAGATCGTTTATTAGCCACCATATCATGTGAGCCGGCTACCCGTTCTCGGATCTAGTAGCTAATATCTGGCAAAACGTGCCTCAGAGCGAAACCCTGAGCGGCCGATTATGATGAATGCCCCCGATACGAGTTACAAAAACCATTTCCTGGATACCTCCATTTTCAAATCTACGCACACGTCGCCGATGTCTCTCATGAGTCGGAAACTCTGGCAGCGTGCCAACAACAAGACTACAGGTGAACTCCACCACAGCTTGTCAACTGAATCTCCATGCCACCGCTGCAGCTATCACGTATGAGGGTCATTCGTGGGCAATCAGGTACGTCCGCCAAGTGCCATTAGTCCAGGACCTTTGCCTCCGATCGTCGGCCACGATATTGTCGTGCAGGGTGGACAAATCTAGAACGGCCTTGCATACTGTCGCAATGAAGAGCATTCGTTGGTCGATCGTAATCGAGGTTCGCTGGCCGATTCAAGCCAAGGGCGATATCTATGTGTTGTCTCAGCAGTCTGCTGGCCACCGTGAGGTGCGTGGGCAAGGTGTCAACATAAGCGAAGATGAAGAATCGTGAGTATAGCCTCATATCTCCCGAAGCATACTGACGTATTTTGAGGAGCCGCTTGTCAAGTGATGTAAGATCGGCAAAGTCTGCTGGACATCGTGCACACCCTCGGACATGTACAGCACGCGTCTTGCACACCCTCGCCGCCTTTGCCGCGCGACGCGATCGATCTCTTGCCTGGGCCAGCCGCATTGGAGGTCGAAGATCCTGCCAACCAGGGTTGAGTGAGCACGCCAAGCTCGATATCCGGCATCCCTCATTCGCTTTTCAGCTGATACACAGCATCCTTGTGGGTTGTGTTCCGTTGGAGACGAGTTCTCTCTCTCAGGATGACTTGCCGCCAATCCCGACCTGGACGTCCTCGGAGACATCACTTGATGTTTCAATCGATTGGCCATGGTGAGCAGGCAGTTAGCATCGACACCATGTGACATCTTGCCTTACGACAAGCGGCTCACCCCGAGCGAGCGTCCAGCATCCTCCCCGCGAAACGAACCTTGTCTGCTGAGCGACTTATACCTAGCGAACTCAACTGGGCAGTCCTCTCTCTGCGCGAGTCTTTCTTCGCTTTCCCTCCACGTTGTTTTCACCCATTGCCCGTCAGCTATACGTACCCTTCAATGGCAATGGATATCCACGGCATCGGATCCTCGTCCCTGCGTTTTGTCAAAAAATCAGCGATCGAAGCAAGCCAAACTCCGAGTCTCGCTGAATTCTCGGTGCAGATGCGAAATCTATTCACCGACTTCGATGACTATACCAAGTCCAATACGTCAGATGATTTGCTCGCCTAACCCAAGCGACCGCTGTCGCTACAAGGGATACAAGCGCGACGGGCCCAACAGGCTCGAGGGTAAGTACAAAGATAGGCAAAAGACCAGACGGGTGATTGGTCGTGCAATCAGCGTGTTTGACATCTGCATATATGGCCGATTTTCAGGAAATGTGGCGCCCGACGGACCACGGTCGACCGCTCGAGGTGTCGTGGTGCTTCCGATGTTTCAAGGAAAGGAAGACATATGCGTGCCCTGATCAGATTTGCCATTCCTCCGAATCATTTGGATACGATGGGGAAGATGCGAAAGGATCTTATCCCTCCGAATTATAACAGCAAGTCCCCTTACTGAGTGATCTTAAACATGGTGGCTGCCGTCCGGAATATCTAGACCAGACACAACACTTTTAGATGGAAAAGTCCACAAAGCACGAGCGATGCATTTCGTAGGGATAACTAACCTGTCCGCTCTTTCTTTAATCGTTGCAGCCAGGAAATCTCTCACGCAAAAAGTCTCTTACTCGTGCTGCAAACGTTTGACAAATTCAGGTCAAAGATTTCTTTCGGGTCTCGGGGATTATACTTATGTCCGCTATTTTCCGGAGCCTATTCCTGGATCATTACAAGGATCAAACTGATCGCTGCTAAGGGGATGGAGTATTCCGTCTGCGCTTTGAGTTTCGTACAAACCAAACACTCTGGCTGAAAGGATGCGCTAATCATGCGAGTTGTGAAGGGTTGAGCGCAAGTGCGTGCATGCACGATTCGCAGCCAACTAGTGCTAGTAACGAGGAGCTGGTATTGATCCAAGGGTGAATTCTGTTCTGTTTGTGTCCATTATTCTTGCTAGGTTCAATCTAAGGCATGAGTTATCAAGTGATATACTTGCTTCTAGAATGACAGATATTCAGCAATTCCTGAGGCATTGTCGCTTCTATACTTTAAATCGATTTGATCATGACCCAATCTTCCAGCCTAGAATTTCCCAACGTGAATGCCATCTCCCCAGCCTTTAAGTATCCAGTGCTCTCATATAGGCGTTCAGCTTTGAGATTTGGCTTCCATGATGCGAGCCAAATATTCTTGCCTCCCATACCCCTCGCTTCCTTCTCTGCTCGCGCCAACAGACGCTTTCCGATCCCTAGCCCTTGGCAACTTTCACTGACATACAACCGCTGCAACTGAATCTTGTTTTCCATCTTGTCGATGCATCTCTCGGACGTACCGCGTCTGAGCTGGAGGAACCCGACAAGAGATTCGTCCTTCATAGCTACCACAAAAGTAACAGAAGGGTCTCTTAAGTCGGTAGCAATACTTTTTGGCGAATATGCTTCGGAGAGATAGGTTGTCAGGTCATTGATAGGCAGCAGTGGTGCGAAGGCCGATGTAAAAACACGCGCCCCTAAGTTGGCAATGGCCTCATTGTCCCCCATATGGGCATAACGGTAAGAAACCTGGCTTTCCGGCATTTTGAATGGTTTGTGGTTTAGTCACATCCGGGAAATGACCGCAAAAAACTTTTTTTGGTTTGAGACCAGTGAGCCTTTTATAAACACACTTCAAGACCCCACGTTTGATGACTCATATTCTCAGCCAATCAGGACTTCGCGCAGTGATGGAGCAGGCGCTCTGCGGAAGCTGAATTTCCATTCACACACGAGGCTTTCTGGGTCTTTTCGGTAACCTCTCAGGGCTTGGATTGCGCGAGATATGAGCGGCAGTCTGTATCACATTAACTACATCTCTTGATCCTAAGTCCTCGAACCATAGGAAAAGAGCTTACAATATGCACCAATCGCCGGATACATCGGCAGCCCGTATTCTACGCCATTCATCTGCAGTCCCTGTTCGTTTATCGTGCGCGAAGATAGGCCTGATTCCGCAAGCCGACAGTGGAAACATACTGTTCCACTAGTTTAGTTATCTGCATGGGGGAGCAATGCCTACAACGAGGATCCGCTGAGCTATATCCACTACCTGATAGAATAGCGAATCAACAGCGAGGCTGCGGTGAAGTATCACACCGCCAGACCGCCCGCACGCAGCCTCTCCAGGCTCATGTCTTCAAGGCCTCCCTTAATGAGAACCGGGCGAACTACCTAAGATCGATTCGTCGTCTTTGGGCTCGGAGCAGAGCACTCCAAATAGGGTGCTTCTGTGGTAGCGTATGGAGTTTAACTATAGTTTTTCTATACGCGTTAACGGAGACGAAGATGGGTTGGCATTATATGTGCCTCAACCTCGAGCGTGGATGTGGCCACTGTCCGAAAGGCCTAGAGAACACGGGTGAGTGCTCGCAGTAGCCGAGCAATCGGCGCTCGGAGAATCTCGGTCCGAGCTTCCGTTAGTCTCTTTTGGGATCAACACCCATGCGTGGGAGCCGATCTGTCGCAAGTGCAACAACGCGGGCGGCTCCCCTGACAATGACTGTCAAGGCATAAAACCTCCCTGCAATCTTCCTAACTTCCTCTTCTCTTCTCTCCCTTCCCTCGCTCTTGCTTCGTTGCTCTTTTTCTTTCCTAGGTTTCAACTGGATTAGAAATCTTTTTTCCGACAATCCACAGACGCTGGTCGTCTGGTTGTTCTCTCTTATGTTCATGCGCTCCGTGGTCGTTGGCTCCTGCTCCGTCCCTATTTCCTTGTGCCAACTGGCTTGAAACATTTTCCGAAATCGCTCCATCAAGACTCTCGTTGAGGAGATATGGTTGCATGGCGAGCAGCAAGAACCCATACCCAGCCTAAAACAAGTCAGCCGCCATTACTTGCCTTTTGCATCACAGGCGAGGTAATATGCATTTCGCAAGCGCTGCTATAGGTTTCCCGGATGTCAATTTGCTACATGACCCCGAAGTTGCGCTAATGGGATAAGATGTTTATAAGGTACTCTAAAACTTCCTTTGCTCTATCTTGCATGCAAACTTTCTTTTCCTAATTCTTCTTATCTCGCCCAAAATTTCATGTTGTCTATTATCAAAGCTGCTATCATCCAACTACCGCCCCAAGCGTTTCCAAGCTCGTTTTAGTAAACGAGGGGAGGATTGATTACTTGTTGGAGATGGAGCTTAGAAGTCTGACTGGTCAACACGGTCGCAGCCAACATAAAACATTTGTCGCAAAAGATTTCATAACACATGCTAAACCGCCTCCAAATTTCAGAAACTATATTTATCATGCTACCTCAAGTTGCAGCAGGTGCATGTACGCAGGATCAAACCCCTCGTTCATCAGATTGAGTGGCTGCCATCTTCTCGTATTGCGCTTTGCAAGAGATTCGCCACTTCTTGCCAAAAAAAATCATCGGGATAGTTAGCAAATTGCATCCGACTGCTAGACATCCAATTACCGTAAAGGTGCTATACAAACCCATGCTACTAATCCATGAATCAAGCGCAAAGATGATGATGGTCGCAAACATATATTGGGCGAAGCTCACCCCGATCAGAGCGGTTCCGAGAATCTTCACAAATCAGTAGCCGCATGGATAGTTTTGTGGCCCATTTCTCCTGGATAGAGCTACTCACTTTGTTATATGAGTCAGTGAGGTAGGTAAGGGCGATTGGAATGAGTGCAGCCATGCTGAACCCATATAGGCCGGATCCGAGACAGGGAAAGACCCACGGCAAGCCCTGTACGCATGTAGTCAATATCAATCACGGCCTCGACTCATGTAGATTCGATTAGAATAGGTACCTCCGATACACTGTATCCATACAGGAACAGACCCGCGGGGCCCACTATTCCGGGAACAAGGGAAATGTAAAGCCGCATTTCGGGCTCGTAGACACCTTCATTACGTCGGGCGAGGAATTTGATCGACCAATCACTCACAGGGCCGCCCCATACACACCCAAGGACAGATCCAATGAACGGCGGCAAATTTAACAGTCCGATGCCTGTCGTTCCAAAGTTATAGGGGGGCAAGGCGAGATATTCTGATTGCGTCGTGGCCACTACCGTGAACCACACCAAAGCGGAGCTATACTGTACCATCACATAGGCAACGGCTGGTATGGTCACGAGGACTTGAACTGGCCGGTATATGTGCTGCATAAATTGGCCAGGGGGTCCAGCGGTTGTCGTGAATAGCGCCAAGCGTTGGCGCTGGGTTTTCAGAGGAATAGAATGGTCTATCGGGAATCCGTCTCATGTGGCCCAATCGACGCCTCCGTGTTAGCTGTCGGCTGGCTGCAAGGGTCTATTGGGTCTGTCCTCTTGGAAAAGTCTCCCGTGTTGACAGTCCCAGTGCCTTGAGCTGTTGCTGGGGCCCTGATCTCCGATCCGGAAATGGTGTGGATCGAGAACTTTGTCTCCTCGAAGACGAAAATAAAGAGAAGCAAGTTCACAGCCACAAAGATAGCTGACCACCAATAGATCCAGGGCCAGCCTTGACTACCAGCTACATATCCAGCGGCGACGGGAGCGAGAAAGACCTGTAAGACAATTGCATCAGTATATATTCCAGCCTTAAATAGTGTATTTAATTTACACCAGTACTGCTCATCAACTGATAGACCGAGTTTGCTCGTCCTCGCTGGTGGACGAAGAATAAATCTGTGATCTTTGTATCTCTGTCAGGAACCCATGAACCAAAACACGTGGCGTTCGGAATTCTCACCGTGATAGGAACCAAGGTCCAGCCAACAGCGCAAGCTATCCCGTTAAATACTTGTGCAGCCATCATATTTGCGAGGTCCCGGAGTACTGCCTGCCAGATCGCGGTAATCAAAACCACCATGGCAGTCAAGAGATAAATAGGCCGACGCCCGAATGTCAAGGCCAAGGGCACAAGTATGATTGAACCTAGACCGAGAGAGACACAATTCATAGCATATTGGTTGTTAAGCTGAGGATATGAAATATGAAGAAGATCCTCAAAGTCTTGCCAAACCACCGGGCCGATGTCAATCCTGAATAGATCAGAACAGAACGCGCATGCGCAGAGACCAAGAGCTAAACTCACAGAGCAAAAACCAACATGGTGAAAAATGATGCGATAGCAAAGTTCAATGATTTTCGATGGAACGACCAATTCTGTATATCGAGGGTCAACTTAGGCATTCTCCACGACTTTCCTATCTAGGTGCCTCACCAACGGGTCGTTTGGGTCCGAGGTAGGCTTTGGTTGCAGAATGACCACACCGCGTGAAGAGTCTGTTCCAGCTGTCGAAAGGTATATCTGGTAAGATTGACCCACCGCAGCTCACAACGAACGCATTGGCCCAACTTACCAGGTCCTTCTAGATATGCGGTTCCTGGAGCATCAAACGTGATGTCCTTGATCCATTGTTGTTCTCCAGCCGTTTCAACATCGGTAATCTCTGCCATGATTGAAGTTTGAATGCCTGCTTGTGTGACAGGCTCTTTTGGTAAAAGAATACTTTCAGTACAAAACACACCCGTTGGCCGCTCAAGACAGGCCCCGATGCTTTAGAGCCCCTTTTATTTGAATTAGAGCTCCGTATAGATGCGGGGAAGGCATAAAGACAGGAAGGCTATCCATGACAGTACATTCTATCAATTGTCTATGATAAGGGATGTTTACGTCAAGTTAACCGAGTCGTTGCACTTGGACAAAGAGCGCTGTGCTCCAGCAGGTCTGTGCAGACTTTAGAGTGGGACAACTCGAGAAGACAGTTTCGGCGATTGAGCCAATATCCTCGATCCCTTTGATCCTTTATCGATGTCTCGGTACTCTTTACGAATGAAACGTCTCCATGGATATACTACAGCCGAGTAGGTACGGCTGCTTGGCGAACCAAAAGGGTCCATGCCCAGCCCACATGTATGCAAGAGGACAGCTTACTCGCCAGGACTTGCCCTTTTGATCTTAAGTGGGGAGATACGGCCCCACGGGCTTCGAGGTGGCTTTCCCCAGAGATCAATCTAGTTGCTATATGAGCCCGAGATTTCACCGATGGAAGATAAGACATGACTACTGAGGACTTTGGCAATCACTCTTCTCTAGCCTATACTCATACCCTCAACTCTCCGATATTTTGCAGCACATCCAATCGCCATCATGTCTACTATCAAAATTGCCATCATTCAACTACATCCCCAAGTATGTCTAGGGTCAATTTGTCGCTCGCCATCTATTTCTAGCTCACCTTTCACTCTAGCCTCACCAAACAGAGTCAAACCAGGCCCGTGGAATTGCCTTCATTCGAGAAGCAGCTCGTGCCGGTGCAAACCTTGCAGTGCTCCCGGAGTACCATCTAGGCGACTTCTTCCCCGACGACCCGAAATTCCGCGACCAATGCGTCAATTGGAAGCAATACTTGGATGTATACTGTGACCTTGCAAAAGAATGCAACATCTGTGTTGTGCCCGGCTCCGCAGCAGAGCTGTATCGCGACGAGAAGACTGGAGCGGAGACCATCTTCAACGTGGTCTACTTCATCGACAACACCGGTGCCGTGGCCGGCCGATATGAAAAGAAGAACCTGTGGCACCCAGAGCGACCCAATGTGAAGGGCTCACAGCATGACCCGCACGTTGCCTTTGACACGCCATTAGGAAAGGTCGGGATGCTGATCTGCTGGGACGTGGCGTTCCCGGAAGCATTCCGCGAACTGATAAGCCAAGGCGCGAAACTCATTGTCGTGCCATCATTTTGGAAGCTCACCGACTGCGCGCCGCAAGGAATTGTGCACAACCGGTATGCAGAGAAGGTCTTTCTCGACGCGGCACTTATCAGCCGGGCATGCGAGAACACCTGTGCAGTCATCTTTTGCAATGCAGGTGGTCCAGCGGAAGAGGACTTTGCAGGGTTGTCGCAGGTCACGGTCCCTTTCTTGGGCTGTATCGGGAGGACCGACACTTGTGAAGAGGTAATGAAGATCATGGATTTGGATATGGGAATCTTGGATGATGCCGAGTCCGTGTATAAGGTCCGTCAAGATATGGCTCGACCTGATTGGCACTATATGTATAGAAATAGTGCCCAGACTAGCTCTTAACGAATGCGTTGAAATTTTGTATACTAAACGCTCTCGTCATGAACATCCCCGGTTTTAAACACCCTCCCCATTCTACGCTTCCCTCATTTTCAAAGCCTCCCCCCCCCCCCATGCTACACGCTATGCTCGTTTTAAACGCGCTCGTCACCGACGCTCTCTTCATTTTTAAAACTTGTTTTAAAACGTCCTCATCTCTTTAACGTCCTACCAATACTAAATGCTCTCAAAATCAACGGTCTTCTTTTTTGAACCCTCGTGTTTTCAACGCTCTCCTTGTTTAAAACGTCCTCCTCAGCTCATATCTCTCCGCGTTTCATTCGTTCCCTTCGTTTGCACATTCTTCTCCTATTCAACGCCCTCCTCAATCCAACGCTCTCCTCAATACCCCCGACTTCAACACCTTCTTTCAAGAACCTCGCGTTTTCGACACCCTCAAACTCGACTACCCTCCGGTCTAAACGCATTCAATATAACCGGCTGGGCGGCTGAGAGAGTTCGGTTGCTATTGTTTCCTTCAAGTATGATCGTGCTTAACGTCCTGTTATCCAACGGTAATAGTCCCCACTGGTTAAATATCGTGAGCTCAAAGACAGCCGTCGAAAGCTAAAAGTTTAATCATTATGTACCAAAGTAGTCTCGTCTTACGGAAATATGCATCTCAACTGTTCTATTGCCAGAACCGGCACTGGGAGTATACATTTATCTGGTAGACTTTTGCCCAATGAAGTGGCTACTAAGCTCTACCCATGCAGCCTCATAAAAACCCCTAGGAACCGCTCACCAGGTGGTTTGTGCCATCATTACCACCCATGCGATAAGTTACAATGTATCATATATGTGAAAACGTCATTGGAAAGAGGTTTGCTTAAATTAGTGCTAGTGTTTGGGCAGATCTTAGCTTCCTCCGGATAATCAGGGTTCTAGTCTCCACCATCACGAAAGAGATGTCTGCCTTCCGCTGAATCCCTTCTACCAAGGCCGCATAAATCCAGCTCAAATGCGATAAAATTGTGAACAGTCCAGGTTATATGGATTTAGCTAGTATTAGGGCGCAAGATGCAATGAGTACCACTTGCCACCGACGGATTAATCAGGACTTGGTGACGGCTCCAGATTTTACTTGCCCATACCGAGGTCTCCCGCACCACAAGTAGTGTCTAGAAGAAATAGCAAGAGAAAGTCAAACCAACGGTGAGCAATAAATGACGACGATGATGACTACGATGAAGATGATGCTCCACTTCGCGGAGCTCGCGGACTACGTGGAGTTCGTGGAGCACGCCAAAGATACGAGCTAAACTCTATACAAATTGCACTGCCCATCTTCTTGACTCAGCACCTACCCGAGGTTTGAAAATATTGAGTGAACTTCATTGTTCAAAATCGGTTGCGGCGTCATTTTGAGATACTAATCAAGGTGCTAATTCCTGAAGAAGGTCTCTACGTGGAACATGAACATGAGTACAACTACCAGGTCTATGACATTCAAGATTCATAAAAACTATGTACATTGAAGGACAATATCTCAAGAACTAGACTGAACAATATTTCGATACTGATAATACCAATCAGGGCAAGCCATGTCTTCACGGACTTTATAGACCAACTCGGCATCCTCCAGAATGCCTATCTTCAAATCGACACATGAGGGTTCATTAACGGGGTAGATCCAGTATAGGATGTACGAGGTAGTCCGAGAGATCCCACAACCATACTGATTCAATGTTATTTCGGACACCAAAGTAACCTTTACAGTGGCAGCCTGTTCGAACAGTGACATGCCCACGTGTCCTCCTCAGCGCGGTGAATTTGACGAATATATAATTGATTCTCAAAGAATAGTCGAGGTAGGGGACGTAGAGAATCCGGCGATTTCCTGGCAACAGCTGCTTGGGCGTGATATGTTAGAAGACGATATCAATAAACAAAGGGTACACGTAGTCAACTTGACTAGCCTGCAGCTGCAGTGACTTCCACAATGACTGTGTCTCAAAAAGATCCACTACGGCACATCAAGCTGATCAACCCTACATAAGCAGGTTGTACCTTCCAGCATATATTCGCAACGGAGATTCATAGCCCAGCGTTGCTGATGAAGTGATGGCATTGTGAAATCGACCACTAAGCGCATTACGGTAATACAATAACCGCTGTACCGGACAAAGTATTGATGCGGATAAATCTCACAATATGAATAATATGAATGCGAATATGAATAAAGCGTATATTCGCATTCCTTTATTCCTTTCGGAACCCTACTGGCATGTAGGTCGACCATTGTCGCATTTGACGCGGCGATCCCTGCACGTCCGGCATGCTGTACGCTTTCTCTTCCGTGTAGGAACATCGGGAGACCGGTCAAGACTCTGTTCCATTTCGTTGATATTGGGAAAGTGTGAGTGGTCGAGAGAATTCCGCGCTCCGCGGGCTTCGCTGAGGCCAAAGGCGGTGAGGCGAACAGCGAGATATTGCGGCTCGCGCGCGGGGCGGTCAATGAACATACGATTGGTCGGTAAGTGGGCCGGCAGAAATATTGGGGTTGCTTCACGTGATGACAACACGAGGCTTACTAAGGGGTTCCTCATTCCTACAACTGCCTCCAGTGAGACAATTGCTTGCGGCTGCGGCCATCTCATCATCTCTCACGTAGTTAAGAGTTGATTTTCAAAACCCCCTCATGTATATAGAGCCTGCTATAATATACGAAACACATTGCCTCCCCATGAGGGAGTGCGGGCGGGCCTTCTCTGACGCTACGGTTTAACGTGTTAACGCTTAAGACCGAAGCGACAGGTGACCCGTTGTGACCAAACCATGCACATGCTGTCCCTCCTGGCTACGTGGAGTCACCAATAAAAAGAACGTTATTCTACCATCCTCCATTTATACTCCAGATTGCGTTGCACCAAGTCATGATTCCTGGCACCCTCTATATGAAAAACCAAGTTGATTTTCAACCAACTCATCAACAAACACCACGGGGTATACTGGTATCATTAATAGCTTAGGACTTTTGATTAGTTAGTGAACACACCTGAATGATTTATTACAGTAATTATCTAGTGGTTAGGAGAGGACTAAACATGACTAATGAATCAAATATCATTCATTGATTGAGCTGGAGGTTGCGCAAATGAAACAGTTGGCGCCAGCGTAGGTAAGTAAGTCTGAAGGATTTTCATGAAGCAAAATTTCAGTAATTTCTAAATTTGTAGTTACATTTTGATATCCCTATACTCGAGTCGAGTAACTCGACAGTCCTTGCAAACAAGCTAAACAGAACAAAAGGCCTTGCGATCTAGCAACATCGCTTTTTGCGCTCTTCTTCCATTTGTCGCAGCTCTTGTAGATGGCCAGATCTAATGAGGCTTTCTTTACATATGTAAATCATCCCCGAGGCCCAGGCAGGTATTGCGAGTTCCACATAGGCTCCTTCCACGGGAAACCATTAGCACGCATCTGCCGGTATTTGGTGTATCCCCCAGCAATCTCTTCCTTCGAAGCCGGCGCTAGACCAAGCACCACATCAGCAACAGCCAGCAACTGATCACGTAACCGGGCGAAGTCAATCGCCGCCTCGCCAAAAGAAGGTGCCCACAGACTCCACGGGCCGGAGATGATGGAGGTCGTTGGGATAAGGTAGTTATGGTACGTGGTCCCGATACCACCCTGGGAGGTGTAGTAAGGAATCTGCGAAGTGTTCTTCGGGGGATTACCCGGCGTCACCCCTATGCCGTCTAGCATACGCCCTTTGACGGCAGCTTTAACAGCGTCAACGACTACCTGGGTAGGCCCAACACTCCAGAGAGCCGCTTCGCTGTTCCCAGTAAAGTTCAAGACACGACCGTATTGACCTTTCGGCGCAGGGTAGGGTAGCAACTCCCGTGTTCCCATATGCTCGAGGATAATTACAAGTGCAAGGTTTCCGCCGTCGTATTTTTGGTCGAGTTTTTTTGCATACGGGATCGATCCATCTCTGCTGTACGTTAGATGTCCCGACGTGAACGCGAACTTGAGCGTCTTTGCTCGCGCGGGAGATATTATCGGCTGAGACGCGAAATACTTCGCTAGCGCAAGCAGTCCTGCAACTCCGTTCTCCTGGACCCATGTTGCGCCGTCCGTGTGAGACCCAATTATGATTGTTTCGTTAGACCGGCCGGGAAGAGTGGCAAACAGCTCGCGGGTGTATTTCCGGCCTGTGTTTGCAGAAACTTTAATGGAGGCTGTATGACCGGATTGAGATGCGTTTCGGAGCATGTAGTACTGTTCAGAGCCAAGGTATACGCCTGGGACTAGGTAATGCTGTCCGAAATGAGGGTCGTAGTAATCTTTCAGGGTCTTGCGAGGGATGTCGAACGCAGAAATGAACCCATTTGCTCCACGTTCTCCAGCGGCGATAAGGTCATCAGCTGGTGTGGAGAGGTATGGTCTTTCGTAGGTACCATTTTTCTGGGCAGCAAGATCTGGCGTGACATACTGCTATTAAATTAGTATATAGTTCTTGGGTATCGCAAATCGCAAATCGCAAAAAGACAAAGGGCAAAAGGGAACTGACATGCGTATCCTTCAATAAATAGGCATATGGAACTGGTAAAGGGAGAAAGTCTCTGAGGATAATTTTACCCCGAACATCTACAGATGAGATGCTCTGGTTGGAGGGGATGTATATCAGAGGGCCGGTGAATGCAGAGCCATTCGTCGGAAGAGTGAATGGAATAGCGCCAACAATTGGGGTATTGTGGCACTTTTCTTTGGAGTTGATGCACAGATCTCCGGCTTCACTCAGATTCTTTCCTTCCTTGGGCTCCCAAACGTCAAGATCATACTTGGACCCTTGGACTTCAAGTCCGGGAATCTCATGCAGACTTTCACTGATCCAGTCGACCAGCTCATTGTGCACTTTGCTTCCTGGCAGTCGCAAACCGACACTTCCAACCCGATGGACTAGGTTGCGAAGCTCATTAATGTGAGAGAAGTCTTTCTCGTTAACGGTGAGAGCTGCGGAACCTGCAACCAGCCCAATGCCGGTGGCAAAGAATGATGAAAGAGGCCTCTGGAAGAGCATGATGAGGTGGTTGGCTACATTATGAAATTCTACTTGGCTTTATGGCACTATGAATTCAGCTGCCTTCGGTGACGTATTTTGATAGTATAATAAACCAAATCCACTGCTCCACTTCGCGGAGCTCGCGGAATACGCGGACGACGCGGAGGCTGCGGAGCACGCCGAAGGTATGACCCCAAACTCTATCTTGACTCCGCACCCAACCGAGGCTAGGAAATATTGAGTGAACTCTATTGTTCAATCTCTGTTGCTGTTGAGATAAAGTGATTGTATTTGTTGAAACAAGTGATTGTCAGATTGCTTGAAGGATTATTTACGGAAGAGGGGTAGTCCATATATATATATATATCCGTTCTTTATCCCTGTCATAAGCTTCAGCCACCGTGATATTCAACACCTACTGTTTCGAGTGCCCCACCTAAAGCCCACTATGCCAAATTGGGATATATTTTCGCCTACATCCACCAATTTGCCATTGATGAGTCATGAAATATTACACTAATTATAGCAGCCTGCACGAGTCCCAGCAAGTTACATCTCTTTTCCTGATCGCCACATGATTCGCCGCGGTCAGAAACATGATCTGCCATGTGCGACGTGGTTTACTTCCTGAATTGCATTATTATGCGCCCTAACCTCTGTTTTCAAAAGGCATAACTTTGACAATTTGAAAAGAGTCCTTTTTGCCTAGGGCCATCATATCACGTTAGGAAACATATCTTTCACACTTGCATGTAGCGTGATAGATGAAACCGCTTGTTAGCCCGACCCTTAGACCGAAATGATATGAGGCAAGAATATAGAAGCACGCCGGCGACGGTATCGTGAAGATCGATATGTGATCCAGTTCAAAGACCTAGAGTCGGCTCGGCTGGGACGCCACAACACCAAGTAGTTGAACGAACTGGGCAACAACACAAAATTGGTCATACTGTGGCTCGCGAACGTCATGTATCGCACTCTAACGAAAGGTTTTGACTTTGGGGATCTTCCTTATAGGGCATGGTACAGATTTCATACCCTCCCAGAGTGCTAATTTAAAACGGATATAACTGAGGTCAATTATATATATCCAATTCCAATTTTAGCTCTATTTAACATTTGTCATTTAAACAAAATCCCGAATGAAGACACGCTACCCGGTGGGGTTTTCAGCCCTGAAATCTTACGACGTACTTTTTTTTACACATTGACATGTGCGGAGCCCAATCCTGAAACCCCAATCAAGTCCAGATATTCACTGTCACATCATCTTGCAAAGGCTCAGCCTCGGAGATAGCATCGGAGAAAATAAAGGGCCTCGGGAATTTCGGTATATTTACCAATTGGGGTTTAAATCCGAATAATTCGAATCTTAACTCCGACCCCGTCCCTGATTGAGACATCTCAAAATAATATGTGGAAACCTTGGAAACCTCAGACAACTATAGATGTCTTGAGCTGAGAGATGGAAGGAGCCTTGCGATAGGTAGCTGGGATCATCTCCCTTCTCTCTCATCCTCATTCTCTTTTTCCTTACTCCCCTCCCCTCTCTTCAAAAGGAATGCAGCTATATTTCTCTTTGAACTCTGCCATATCCCCAAGATAATAGCTTGCTTCATTGACCCACTTTGATGATTTTCAACTCATCGACTCTCCCAGCTTTATCAGAAAGGCTTGATTACCCTTACCATGTTTCGCTCACTACTGGCGATCACTGGCAGGCGCCCGAAATACATCTTTCCTGAAGTCGATCCGAAGGTCGACGGAGACGACTGCCGCACCGACTGCAATGACTGCACCGTGAAATGTCCCAAAAACGTCAAGATTGACACCACACTTCCGATGTACGGATTTATCAAAGAGTTCCACGCGCACATACTCGTTGCAACGGGGAAAACAGAATGATCCGGAAGGTCGACCAAGAGGATGGAAGTTTAATGGAGGCATTCAAATCGGACGCAAAGTCCAAGCATGGTGTTTGTTTATTTGACCCGGGAGCAGTGCCTTGGAAATATGCTAATTGCGTGCGAAAAAGCGTCTCATGATCTCCGTGTCCAACCTCACTCCACCGGGTGGAGAGGTGCCTGATACCTCTAAGACAACAGTCCTCCTACTGCCATCGTTTACCTTTGTGGATAATGTTTCTTACTCGGATGCCCAGAGCGTGGTCGAAACGTTCATTGACGTGCCACCGGGTAATTCAACCCAATCCATCAGCAGTCCACGATTGACCTCCCGACCATGTCCACATGACTATGTAGTCCTGCTGTGCTCGCATAAGCGGCGTGATGCGCGCTGTGGAATTACCGCACCGTTGATCAAAAAAGAGATGGAGCGACATCTGCGCGGACATGATCTTTACCGAGATATGGATGATGAACGACCTGGCGGTGTGGGAATTTACATCGTCTCCCACGTTGGGGGTCACAAGTTCTCTGCAAACGTGTTGATCTATCGGAAGAAAGAACAGCAGATGATCTGGTTGGCTAGGGTCAAGCCGGAGCATTGCGAGGGGATTGTGAATTACACAATCCTGGAAGGGCTGGGTAGGCGGCCCGACCTTAATCCGGTACAGTAGTAGTAGTAGATTCCATTTACCCCGACCTCTCGCAAAGTTGAACTCTGGATTGAGGTACAAGTGTGATTTTTATCTATATGGAGAGATCCAGCTATTTGTAGTTGCAGCAGCTCCTCTCCCTGCTGCCTAGCGGAGTGTCTGCCTAACAGGCAGCCACTCCTATAGATCTATATACATCACGTGACCTGGGATCCAACTCGCAAAGCGATATACTGGTGACGCGCGCTGCGCACGCTCTGGCCCTGAAACGTTGTAAAGGAGAGACAGGAAGTAGAGGGCAAGAAATAGTTCATTGGTAAGCGTTGCCTAAGTTGGATTTTGTCGAAGAAAGTGAGGAAGTAAAATACTCCGAGAACCGGGGGCTTTCAGCCCCTCCCCGGCTTTACCTACTCATGTAAGTAAGGACAGGACCTTGTTACTATGTAGACAATTACAACTTTGACAACTTTCAGTTACCTCAGAAACAAACCTATACAGAATCCATATCATTTTGTCACGTGATAAAGTGGGGTAGCTGTTTCGAAAACGGGTACAACACATCTGGCCTTCTCCATCCATTCAAGTGGTTCGAAAGTTATCTTACGCATTTTGTTTTTATCATGGCTGATCCGCTCAGCATTGCGGCTAGCATTGTTGGAATTGTCACCCTGGGTTTCCAAGTTGTAAGGGGATTATATCAAATTGCGGACGGCATCGGTTCTGCAGGAGAGGAGGTCCGGCTATATGCAGTAGAAATCAATCAATTTTCCCAACTGCTAAATCATATAAGAGCGCAGATATTAGCGACACCCGATATTCCATTCGATTCGCGAAGCTTAATAAAGGATGTTGTCGACATTTGTGATAAGATTCTCCAGCCTTTCCATCGCCTACAGAACACACTGGATTCCTTCTTTACCCGGTTCAAACAAAGCCCCAAGAAGCTCAAGCAGTTCGGTTTCCGAGTTAAATGGGTATTTTGTGGTAAGAAAAAGTTGCTGTTCTATTTAGACGCACTCAGGAATCAACACAGGATTCTTAATACAGCACTTGACTTGGCCAACTTGCAAACCACGAAGGACAGAACACCCCCGATTATATAGTGAGTACATGAAACCTTGCGACTTGTTAAGACGTTAATGATTTTAGTATTATGCGAATGTCCCTCGAAAACTCAGTGGCTGCGATTAACGCATCACTGTGCAGCAGCCCTGGAGGCAGGATCTTCCACATTACAGGGACAAGTGAGCAGTCGTACGACGACTATCTCGGTCTAACTAGCCAGTCCGCACTTATCTCTTTTCAAGGTTTGTCAGAAAACTCAAGCAACCCTAGCGACACCGAAGTAGTTCCACCAACAGAGGCTGGCCTTGATCCTCAAAGTTCGACCGACCTTGCAGGTTCTCGCATAGCTTCGGAGGGCCAGGAAGACCAATTAACTGCCCTTGAAATGCAAATCCTGGAGAAGCAGATCGAGCAAGATCTCGATCCAGATTCGGGCATGACGGCTGCTGGGGTCTGGGAAGACACTCGCTCTATCTCACGGAAGGCAAAGCGCTTGGCGTCAGAGGCACTTTCCTCACGTGAAACTCAAGTCACAGCCTCATGGGGAACTTCTGCAAGATCTACACATAAAGACTATAATGTAGGATGGGTCTGTACTCGTCCTATAGAATATGCAGTGGCTGAAGGGATGTTGGACGAACAACATCCGGCTCTTCCACAGGTCGAAAATGATACAAACACGTACACACTAGGGGGAATGCAGAGACACAATGTTGTCCTTCTCTGTATACCTGCAGGAGCCATGGAGACTGGGGTTGCAAGCACTGCTGTATCGGGGATGCTCCGCAGTTTTCCAAATATAAGGATTCGGCTGCTGGTTGGAATTGCTGGAGGAGTTCCAAACCATCAAATTGATATACGCCTCGGCGATGTTGTGGTTGGCTCCCCCGTGTCTTCTTCAGGAGGTGTTAGGCTCTTGAAAGGGAGTGGGGAGAGCATTGCTGAGACTGGTGCACTCCAGACGCCACCAAGAGAACTCGGAAACGCACTTGCGACACTGCAAGCTCGACATATAAGAAGGGAGAGTGAAATTCAACGTCATATTGAAGAGATGCTAGAGGCGAATCCGGCTATGCGTCTTCCGTTCTCCTTTCCGGACCCTGAAGGCGACTTGCTCTTCCCAGCATATTACGAGCATCTTAATAAAGGCATACTAAATTGTCTTGAATGTGACCCTTCTCAAGTGATACCACGGCCGAAGCATAGAGGCAGACCTGCTGTTTTTTATGGTCCTATTGGATGGACTAGTTCAGTCATCAATAGTGGTCTTGCCCGCGATGCTATTTCCCACCAAATGGTCATTTACTGCATTGAGATGGAAACCATGGGATTGATCAATTTGTTCCCTTGCCTTGTGATTCGAGGAATTTGGAACTACTCAGATTCGCACAGAAATAAGGCATGGCAGTGCTATGCGGCAGCAACTACTGCAGGATATGCCAAGGAGCTACTTGGGACAGTACAGACCGCTCAGGTATAGAAAACACATATCTGCCACCTCTTCTGCTGAATCATGATGCATGTTTTGCCAAATTTCACAATATTTACCAGATATCACGAATTTGGATGAAATTCAGTTATAGTAGCCTCTGTAAAGGGATCCAAGTAGGATTAAATGCGGCCTGAGTTGACCAACGCTCGTAGGCTAGTCGATCTTCTAGGCCTGTAGTCCAGACAACGAATAATTCGAAGTTACATAGCAAAGAGCTTCCACTACTCAAGCACAACGAATCATAAGTTTGTCTTACTTAGCAATCTCGTTGGCAAAGAGCAGGCAAAATTTTTAAAAGCAGAGGATGTAAAACAAAAAGATAGAGGCACGCGAAAGGATTGGTGCAAAGGACGGGTAAGTAGGCGAGCCAGCATGACAGGCGAGTCGCAAGAAGGAAGACTGCAGCAGGCAGACAGCATGATGAGGATGCAGCACTGGCATAGGCAGATTATTGCAATAGCTGACAGGAAGGGTACCCGGCACAATATACGAGGATGAACCTTGCAAAGCATACATGCAGGTAGTAGGACAAGCGAGCAAATAGACGAACAAAGACAAACAAACACGAGGAGGAAGGAACGTGACCTGGGATCCAACCAAGCACCAATGAGAGAGAGGCTTGGCGGGGGAGGAGGGTGTGTGTTTCTCGCTGTGTTTTTGGCAGGGTCAACGTCGGCGTCGGGCAGCCGTGGGGTTGGTAACCCCTTCCACTCCGTTCCTTCGTTTCAGGGCATGAAATCCATCTGTCCATCCATCGTCTGTACGACGTCGACCATGCGGAAGAGTGAAGGATGAAATCTCAGCTTCCAGGCCACAGGGCGGCCAAGAAGCCACCCCCAACCCCCCGTCGCCCATCTCCTATCTCGAAAGCTACGCACCCCGCAACTCCACCCGAACGAGTTACCCGACATCACAACGTCCAGGAGGAGTTCCTTATTTCGACCACCTACTCCACTATCGCCGCCAGAGCTCTTTCATTCCAAGGACAAGTGCTCACTGGCGTCCCGCCGCTTCAACTGGCCCAGAATGGCTTCTACTACGAGCCTCGGGTAGGAGACCTGGCATGCTGTTTTGCTTGCCAATCGGCCAAGCGCCTAGCCATCTTCAAGAGCACCCCTATCGAAGAGGTGCAGCAACTACACATAGCAGACTGTATATGGCAGGTCTTGTACCTGGACTTGAAACAACACTTAGAAACCCCCGACGCATTCCCCCACCCAATCACTGCATCCCCTTCGCCTAGAGAGTCAACTCCTAGCCGCCATTTTTCCTCGGACAGGAAACAACTCGAAACGAGTGCCGCCGACTCCAGTATACAGTATCTACTATAGTGGAGGATCGTTCCAACACCAACCACGATTCCCGTGCTAAACCGTCGTCCGCCATACTCGACCCAAAATCAACTACCTCGACCAACCTACTCTCCCCAACCTACTCTCCCCAACCTACTCTCCCCAACCTACTCTCCCCAACCTACTCTCCCCAACCTACTCTCCCCAACCTACTCTCCCCAACCTACTCTCCCCAACCTACTCTCCCCAACCTACTCTCCCCAACCTACTCTCCCCAACCTCCCCAACCCCTCCAACCGACACAGACCATAACTTCCCCACCAAATAGTCCACAACCAACCTATGCCTCTGTATTTCAGCACCCGACTACATCTCCACCGCAATCGACACCCAAAACCCACGAACCCGTCTCTCCAACCAAACTCACACTCACAATTGAAGATCTTCATCGCCGTTTCCACAATAAAACGCCACCATACCAGTTCGAGAACAAGACAAGAAAATGCCCGGCTAATCGAATTCGCCACAAACCCGCATCTGCAACAGAGTCGTTGTCCAATTTTTTGAGCTCGGCATTACCAGCATTCTCACGGTTCCTAACAGAAATGCAGCCAAAAGGTTGGATCGCGCGATATTTGGGGGGCGTGGATATGGGAGATGAAGAGAGCGCAAGTCGTGCTGGAGGAAGTTGTTAGTAGACGAAGCTGTTGTTTTCGGAGCCAGTCACAAGACATCTGTCGCCCAGTCTCATAGGATATTCTGAAGAATATTGCGTTGAAGTATATGAGCTTGGGCTCATATGATCAAAAGAGAATAGATCTCGGGTGCCCATGTTGACACGGAGTGGAGGCTCCTTCAATGGGCAAGCGAGCTTCAAGTATATAGGTGAAGAAAGGGCTGCTTCAGGGCATTTCTCAACTGTGAACGGTGTATATGATGGTGGGTAAGAATAAAAATGATAGTTGCACATTCCCGGGGATAGGAGTAGGATAGGTCTCTATTATTAAGGATTTGAGGGAGGGAATTAGCGCTTCTTTCTCGACCTGGGGCATTGTATTAGTGAGGGCCTTTAATCACACGTCCTTGTATGCGAGCATTTCTATTGGAAGGGAGCGTAGACGAACTAATTTTTTTCAATTTGTCACGCCCACAGGGACTGTTCCAGACAGCGCAGGTACGTCTTCTTACTTTCCACGAAGTTCCCTGGTGAAAGACTGCTTGAAGTATTCTCTGGTCTAATGCCAATATGCGTCTAGCGTTGCCTCTCTAAAAATGATGTGAGGGCCATTGGCAGAGTATTATACCAATTGAAATTAGAGCTGAACTGATCAAAGCGCGACCTTATTGACTAAAATCTATCTAATCAATGGGAGAAGGACCAACAAACAAGGGTATATAGGCCATCCAACAATTTGATATCAAGAAACGGGCAAGGACATCATTTCTCTGATAAATACGGAATTAGTTGTGTTTGGATCTCTCGTCACATCTCCTAGATTAATGATCACTCTTAGTCTGATCCTTTCCACTCCTTTATATGCTCTACAGCCTACAGTATATAAATACTGTACTTCAGCTTCATGATCTCATCTACTAGCGAGTAATATCTTCAACACTTGCTAACGATTCCCAAGCTGCCTACTGCATCTAGTGTGCTCAGGTAAACAGATCCTGCCGGCAGCAGAAATATGAAGTCATCTGTGGGAAATAAGACAACATGTTTTACCACCAGACAATAACAAAGACCTCGGTTCTTGCTTAGCGCCTAGAAGTGCCATATCGCAGTCTGACATCATTCTTTTTTCTGGGTGTCCAGAATTTTACGGGCTGGGTCTCCCATGGCCGCATCCAAGTTCTCAAACACCGTCATCGGTCGCTCAGTGCCCCAGATAAAATCGATCGAAGAATCCCAGAAGTGCTGTGACAAATAAGACCAGTCCCGACATATGTGTTCTGTCTCTTCAGTTGTCACATGGACAAAGTTGGAATGGTCGGCAGGTTTCTCGAGTGCCGTGTCTCCATAGCACATCACCGACTGTGCTTCTTGGTTAGGCGCTGCAGAGTATGTAATTTTAAAGACAATCAGCGAGCTTACCTGGCGAAGATACTCGATACAATGACCCATGTGCTCTAACTTATTCGCGTCTAGCATATTGCCATGGAGTAACTCTAGCTTGAAGTGGTTCAACATACCCTGGTACTATGTGTCAGCCTAATTACTCCGTGAATGGCCATGGCGGCAACTGATGATGGGGGATACGTACCACACAATGAAGTTGGTGAAGGACTGTTGGAACGTATCCTTCTTTGCCATTTGGCCAGGACCCATTGGCTGAGTATAGATTCAAGGGAAGACCTCCGAAGATTTCATGCTTTTCGGATGGGGCGATTTGAATCCAGGATCCTGGCAACGCTGAAGTTAGTGAGGAAGTAATGAATTAAGGCCCCTATTGCTTCTCACCTCGATGAACCTGATCCCAAACAGTCCATTTACCCTCCTTGTTGGACCAAAAACGACCGGCCATTGGGTCTGTCTCCATGAATCGGTGGTCATTGATCCATCGAACTTTCTTGATGGGCACTATTTGTAGAGTCAGCCTCCCTGCAAATGAATATTAATAAGACTACATAAAGTCTCGATAAAAAGGAGATACAACCATCGCCGAAGATGAAATCCGATTTTGTGCGATAGGTTTGGGCTTCATATATAACACTACGTCGCCCGATATAGAAAGACGCTACCGACAAGGCGGCCACACAAGATGTAAAGAAGATGGGCATAGCCCATGTCAGAATCTTATGCGTTCGGACTCTCTGGACTCTTGACTGCTCGGTGGATTTATGCTCGCAATCGAAACCCTCTTGATCAATCACTTCAGACTCGATATGAGTGTAGACTAGATAGGATGATTCGTCCCATAGCATGGAAAATAATGTTTTGAGTGGCATTAGGTCGTCGGTAGTCTGAATATGCTTCCGGGCGATGTAAGAATCATAGGTGGGAATCAGGGTAACAATGATACTTTTCGGAATGGACGGTTCAATCTTTGCTTCAGTGAAGGCTCACAACAACCTTGGAATATCAATAGGATTTGGGCATCTAATATCCAAACCCCGCTGTTTGGTGCTAATCATAGCCATCTTCGATTGCTGCGACGCTCAAGATGCTCGCGCTAGCCAACCTCTAGCTTCGCCGTCACAAAGGCTAGGTCAAACCAAAACCACGCAATTTCTGCTTCTTATCAGTAATTAATTTAATATATAAATTGGGGGACTCCCGGCACAGCCCATTTGGGAAGGGATTGCTGGCCTGCAGCTGGAGTGAACATGGATTCACTACGGAGTAGTCGGAGTCCGCACATCACACCGGGAATATGCCCAAAATATGCATCAACAAGGGTTGTGAGTTTTCATTGCATGTCTCATCTTCTTGTCCGGAACCAATATAGTACGTAAAGTGGGGAGAATATCGGTATAACCCGTTTAGGACGGGATTAACGACGGACTTTAGCCACAAATAGGAGTTTACGGACCACACCGGGAATATTCCCGGAATATACATCAAGAAGGGTCATGTGGTTCCATTGCATACCCTATTTTTGTCTATCGAACATTGCATTAACTCACGAATTATACCCTGTTCGTGAAGTGCGATGTTAGCTTGAGACTGCGCCGTACCCGTATTGGTTTACTTAGATACGTACTAGTATTTACCGTGAATTACCATTTCACATATCTGAAATCGGCCAATTCGTTACATATAACTACGTATGTACGTTAATTCACTCTTATACGCACACTCCCTGACAATAATTCTGCTGAAGCAACTGAAATAATAATGAAGTTGAAGCACTTGAGCTTAGCTCGAAGCCTCCAATTGCTTGCAGCCGTCCCTTTGGTGTTACTTCTACTATTCTATCGCTGGCACCGCAGCGCGGCCATCCCCATCGCCACCATCTGCCCGAATCATCAGTATACAGTGGAGATTGTTTCACAGAGCCCTTTGGTTATATACATCAATAACTTCCTCTCGCAAAAGGAGGTGTCGTGGCTCTTAGAAGAAGGGTTTGTGACTCACATCGCTCTTTTACCCAACGATGCTGACACAAGCAACGAATACAGGCAGTCACGCTATAAACGAATGTTGACATACCAAGGCAACTCCCTCACCGACGATGCCATACCCGACGAAAGAAAAACATCCAGTTCTGCCTATCTCTCTAAATCCGACCCTGTAGTCGCATGTATCGGCCAACGGGCGCTTGATTTCCACGGCGGAACACAGCGAGTCCTAGGTGACTATGGAAACCCACAGCTAGTGAAATATGAGCCGGGGCAGAAGAATGATCTCCATTTCGACTGGTGGATGGTGCCTCAAAATCGGTCCGGTCGTTTATATAATCGGCGGACTACTATTCTGGCCTATCTGGATGACAATTGCACTCGAGGGGAAACCTACTTCCCGCTCATCAATGGTATGAACGATTCGTGCACGGAATGTCAGAGAGCTGGGCAAAAGGGCCGGTTTTGGACAGGTGAAAATGGGTTGGGGCTGTTGTTCCCTCCACGGCGCGGCAATGCTATCTTCTGGGTTAATCTGGGTTCTGATGGGACTGGGGATGAACGTACTCTACATGCTGCTCTTCCTGTTGCTGAGGGCAGCAAAGTAGCGATGAACTTTTGGCCACCTCAGTATTTTTAAGAGTCTTTTGGCAATCAGTCTCATTTCATGGATATACTTTATTTGAATGCCCGAAATTGCCAGCTGCAGTGTACTTGATTGAATATGTATGAACCGCGTTATCCTGAAAGATGTATGATAAGTAATGTCAGGTAACTAGCTCGTAACTCCGATCCAATTAGCAAATGATATACCTAGTACATTGTCAGTTAGCCTAAGGCACTCATAACAACCCGCGACGCCCACCTCGTTCCATCCATCTTCGTTACCCCTCACCCCAGAACAAGCTTCCAACAACCATGGCTAACTCCCGATCAATGATCCTTCGTTGGTCAATTTTTTCATTCGGTGCGCTTGTGGTTTTTGTTGTGATGGTCAATTTATTCCAGCAATACCAGCCGTTCTTGGCGACCTCAGGCAAGAACTACGAAGCTGAGTACAAGACAACCCCATTGCTCTATATTCCACCTCTTGGGCTGGGAACATGGCAGATTCCAAAGTCAAAGGTATTTTTCTTTTTCTGTCTCTCTATTTCTCTGACTTCGACTTCGAAAATTCTCCAGACGAAAGGGCCTACGATTCTAACACTCCAACACAGGCTTCAGCTGTTGTCAAATTTGCTATCGAAAAAGGATATCGACATATTGATGCTGCACTAATATATGGTAGGAAATTGCTAACTTCTAGCCATATCAAAATTCTTCAAAACTTGATAGCTAACCATATCCTCCAGGCAACGAGAAAGAAGTTGGCGAGGGCATAGTCCAATCAGGGATTCCACGATCCTCCCTATGGGTTACAGGAAAAATTTGGAATGACGCACATGAACCATCTTCTGTGCGTCCAGCGGTTGTCAAAACGCTTGAAGACCTTGGGTTAGAGTACCTTGACCTATATCTGATGCACTGGCCAGTCGCCTTTAAGCCAGATACCGGTCACAAGGATGTTATTGACAACGTCAACATTCTTGAGACTTGGTGGGCAATGGAAGAGCTCGTGAAAGAAGGACTTGTGCGGCAGATTGGCGTCTCAAATTTCAACCAAGCTCAGGTAGAGCAGATCCTGCGACATGCCCGGGTTCGGCCCAGCGTACACGAGTTCGAAACTCATCCCTATCTTCAACAAACCGCTTTCGTGAACTGGAACCTAGCTCGAGGACTCCGTGTTATCGCTTATTCGCCTCTTGGGAATATGAATCCAATCTATAATTCGTCCGATACGCCCCTCTTACAAGACCCTTTCTTGATCTCATTGGCTCGAAAAAACGGGATAACAGTGGCGCAGCTAGCACTTTCATGGGGAATGCACCGGGGAATAGTCGTCATCCCTAAAAGTGAACACGAAGACAGAGCTTTGGAGAATCTACAGGCTCAGCATGTTCGATTGGCTGATGATGATTTCCAAGCAATCAATGCATATGATCGGAAGACTCGATTCAACAATCCGAGCGATATATGGGGAGTACAATTATACACTGGCCTAGATGGCGTTTGACAATCGAGTTATGAAAATTTCCCAAAATAGTATAGTATTTCCATTGGGCTTTGATATACCTAGGGGAATTATTCGATTTGTTTAGAATTGAACCGCTTGATATTCGCAATTATGATTCAAAGGCGCGAATTTTGTATTACGACCAGGAATGGGATATAATGTGAGATATCTGATATTGAAACTATAAAAGCAGAGGGATTTTATATGACAGAAATCATTCGAGGCACAGGTACCTTACGGCGGGTTTGGTTCATGGATTGAACTGAGAGAGAGAGAGAAAGAGGTGTCAATTTTGGAGAGGAGCAGAGGTCCTATCTGCTCAAGGCAAGAAGTTTCCCTCAACAGCGGCTCAATGCAGTACTCGGCTCTATGTTTCTCAACATGATCCTTCATTCACGAGCACCGATATCTCGAAGATATGCGTCAAGTGTGGGCGACCTCCCCAAGAATGTCTCGAGGGCCATCATCTCATTATGACTTCCTCCGGGTGCTAGTATCATTTTTCGGTACCGGAGACCAGCATCACGGCTCATTGGATTTGAGTGAAAATTGGAAAACCAAAGGTCAGCCGCCAATATACGGGTGCTAGAAGATGATTTAATAACCAGCATACCTCTCTATATAAATGGCGGTAAAACATACTAGAGATAGGAATAATAGTTTGCTTCTTGGCCCCACATATAGTGTGAAGTAGTAACATGTCCATTCCCCCAGTTTATCCTATTCTCAGGGCCCTGTAGAAGTGTCATTTTCTGCAGGAGCGAGTTATAAATTTCGCCAGTACGGATTGACTGAATGAGATGGTGGGAACTAGGGCAGTGGATTTGCATGTCGAATTTGCTGAATGCAAGTTGCCTGAGAGTGAGAATCCCTTGATTGACCTTTTTAGCTGCAATGAGGCTGCGGACCAGATTTTCCGGGATCTCCTTAGGAGGCTGCACAAGAGTAGAAGGCCATTGTTTGTCGGAGACGTAGGAATAGTGGCAACTAAGCATCTGGAGACATTCAGGGACCCAACACCAATATTCTAGCAATTGGCTGGGAGCCTCAACGAAATCTGCAACTGTTCGATGTCCGTGGAACATCGCATAATTGGATCTTCCGAGGAGATCATGTATGCCTTTTCCAACATTAGTATATATAAATTCCACATTTCTAATATTAATTTCGCTTACCGTGACCTAACTCATGGAAAATCGTAATTAATTCTCGATGCTGTAGAAGAGCCGGCTTCTCTGACGATGGTTGTGAGACATTGCATACCAATGCGGTGGCAACCGGCTGCTTCTGTTTTCCCACGGAGGAGTAAGACTTGAAGTAATGTGTTAATGACTTTTCCCTGATATGGTTTCACCTAGGCACGAACAGGATAGATGTTAAAATTGGCTGCATGGTTGTACTTGCCCTCTCGAGGGTAGATATCAAGGTAAAGAAATCCCAGAAAAGCCGATTGTTCATCTCTCATACTAAAGACTCGAACGTCGGAATGCCAAATCTGCTCCTTAGTGACTTCAATGGGTGCGATTGACAGGCTAAAAATTGTTTCAAAGGCCTTCAGCATTCCTCGAATTGTGATCTCTGTGGGAAAGTACTCCGCAATCAGCTCATGATTGGTATCGTACTTTTCTCGTAGTAAACGATCCTGGTAGTAGTCGAAATCCCAGAGATAAAGGGAACAGGAAGAGTGATCCCCATCTTCTCCATCTCGCTTTTTAAGGCGCTGTAACGTTCCTAACTCCTTCTGCGCAAGGGGCTGCAAGTGATTGTAAAGTTCATCCAGTAACTGGTCAACATCGTGGGGCGATTTAATCATCTTATGTCTCGATTTCTGCGCTGCAAATGATGAAAATCCAAGCAAACGGGCCGATTCATCCCGAAGGATAACTGCCTCGTTAAATATTTCAAGATTGTCTGGGAAGATATTTTGGCTCCGAAGAAATACCTCTTTTCGTGTCTCAGCGATATGACACCGAGTCAATACCATAGTGATATCTGGCTTCTTGAGCTTGATACCCCTTTGGCTAGTCGAGGAATGCATAGGTAATGCTTGCAGGCTTTCTGTGGCTACCCCCTTTAGCTCGTACTGGTCTTTCCACACATAGCCAGGGTCAGAGCTAAGATTCTCCATAAATGCAACTCGTAGCTCAATGAGACGATTTGAGATCCAAAGGAATCGGTCCCGCTTATCCCCTTCAAGCTCAAGCCCATTTTCCATAAACATGGAGTAAATCATGTTGAGAAGTTTTTGGTCTTCGCTTTTCGTATCGACGTAGTTTTTGTAAACAGCGTTGACCAAGGCAAAAAGAGTCGGTGTTTGGAAAATACCCAGGTATGCTTTATCTACCATATTCACAGCCGCTGACGATGCGTTACGCATTTCAGACGAAGGGGAAACCGCTTGGAAAAAGGCTAGGTATTGAACCTTTCCTTTGAGCTCGTTGTCAATATCTGCCAGCGGGCGAAGAGTATTCTCAAATGTTGCGTTTTGCGGCGAAACATGGTTGACTAGGTCATTCGCAGCTTGTCGCACTTGGTTCACCAAGTCTGTCGCAATATCCAGCAGTGTGGACGGGCTGAGATTGAAAGTAGGTAGATCGGGAAGTGTTGCCATTTTCGAAAAGGTCAAAGTGGCCTAGGCTTGAAAAGATTCCAGTTTTTTAATTTTTGGTACTGACAGGGAGAGATAAATGTAGTCGAGGGAAATGATAAGAGCTAGAAAGAGACCTGCCAGCAAGATTATTTTTAATAGAGACGGCACAATGATCGATTTGGGGGAAGGGAAGGTGGAGTGCCCACTGGTGGGTGGGGTCAGACAAAGAGCACTCGAAAGATACAGTACATACATGTATCTAAATGTTTTGATGATGTATTATGACAAAAATGATACTCCAAAACGGTATTGATTCAAGCTCGTTCAAACAGGCGGTTCTATAATTACAGCCCCTAAAAGCACAATATTTGGAGGTAATCTTGGAAGCATACAACGGAGATAAACCAGCGTCTGCAGCTAATACAAGGCTATCAATGCAGGGGCCAAATGCAGTGCACGGTGTTTCTGTCTCAGTTTCGCTTCGTGCGTTAGTACGAAATTACTAGCGGCTTTGGGCAGTCGCAACATCCGATCCAAGAGCCATAAACCCGGACTGATATCATGGAGAATGTCGTAGCCTTCCACAACTGTTGTCACTCCAGGTCGTCATTACCATTGAGTGTCTGGTATCACGTTGCAAAGATGGTATTCAAGAACACCCCCCTCACTAAATCAACTATCGGCGTCCTTTTATTAATGAAAAATTATAACAGAGCAAATGGATGCAATATGCCTTGGTTCCTTTGGCTGTATTTACAAGCCCCTTCCGATCGATGTGGGAAGAATGGACTGGTTCGCACCAGGTGAACATGACCAACATGCCATGTGGTGCTTCAAACTATACTACTGAGATAGTTTCCCTCGATCCTTTGGCAATTTATATCAATGGATTCATGTCGAACTGGGAGATTACCCATCTGCGTGAGCTAGCGTGAGTAAAAACTCACCTCGAAAAGCGAAACAATACTGATATCTTGGCAATGGGGTTAGGGACAGCCAAGAGACGTTTATGTATCACGAAGATAAACACCCCGACCAAAAGGATCACACGTCTCGCCGCATAGCTAGTTCATGTCGCCTTCCTATGGATGACCCAGTGGTTGAGTGCATTATTCAACGGTCGACTGATTTCGTTGGGTTTGTTACCCATGACGGGTTTGAGCAACTTCAAGTGGTTAAGTACCGCGAGAACGAAAGACATGATCCTCACCATGACTGGTTCGCCTCTCCACCCAAGCTGGCATCTGGCCTGACATGTAACCGGGCGGCAAGCTTTTTCGCCTATATGGGAGATGATCCCCAGGGAGGAGAAACTTGTTTCCATCATTTGTATCCTGCTCCTCAGGATGCAGATCCAGCCAAATTCAGTAACATCAACAGCGACAATGGTCTTGGATTCGCTACCAAGCCTATTACTGGAAATGCGATTTTTTGGATGAACTTGCATTCGAACAATACTGGGGATCCCCGTGTGCAACACTCAGCGCTTCCAATCAAATCTGGAACAAAATATGGTATGAACATATTAATGAAGAGATGTTTTGACTAGGGAAAAGTGCAAGCCAAATAACACATCGTGGACCATTTTTCTATCTGCTTGATATATAATCAAGTATCAAATACAACTATTGTGAATGTTTGTCCGGTTGATCAACTACTAGTTCTACGGTAGGGAATAGAGTGAAGCCTGACAACGGCAGCAAATCATCTTCAACAAGACAGTTAGACTATTACTATATCTTTCGCTCCTCTGTACAACTTCTTTACATATTTTCCTCCTTTTCCCACATCCCACTTCCAACACACCGATAACAAAATTTGGAATATTGCTACTATGATTTCCTTCAAAATATTAACAAAATGTATCCTATACACCGTTGCCCTCATCATCTTAATTTTGGCCTTTAGCGAGCGCAAGGGATTACCTTCGTCAAAGCTAGCACGATATGGCTCAATCCGAAACGTACAGGCGTCCGGGGCGACAGCCACAGTATATCACTATCAATTACCGAATGGAAGATCATACGCAGTGAAACAGTTTCGGAGCAAACGGAAGGGGGTTTCGGAAGAGGCCTACATAGCCAGTGTCTACAACGAAGTTGCTATTGCCGCTCGCCTTCACCACCCCCGACTATTGACGATCCTGGACTGCTTTGCTGAAAATGGAACTTGGTATACAGTCATGCCATATATACCAACAACGTTATTTGACAGAGTCATGGGTAATGGCAGCGTCCTTACTCGCGATGAAGGGGACTGTGTCTTCCGCCAGATCATGGATGGGGTGTCTCACATCCATGACCAGGGGGTGGCCCACTTGGATATCAAGCTCAGCAACATCCTACTCGAAAATGATACGGGTGTTAAACTCATCGATTTCGGTCATTCCCATTTTTTTGACAATGCTCAAAAAGCGTCGGTTCAAGGTTGGTTGCATGTCTCAATCCCATACCCACTTGTTTCATGCACATGCAACTTCGATCCCGAAGCCAGACTCGTGATAAGTAAATTAATGTGCCAAAGTAGGAAAATTCGGTACTCCGCCGAACGTGCCGCTGGAAGCTTATCAGGCCAGTAGTTACGATCCCTTTGCCGCTGACGTGTGGGCTGTGGGGATGGTCTATTGTCAACTTGTGGCCCCCACGGCCCCCTGGAATATGGCGAGCCACGCCGATCAATTTGCGATGTTCTCTCCGTCCGTGCCGCAGGGGCCGTCGCCCCCGGATATGATCCACCTCCAAGCCACTGTGGAGATGATTCTGAATCATATTCCAATGCGCGCCCGCCCATTGATGAGGGGTATGTTGCAATCCAATGCCAGCCACCGGGTTAGCATGAAGGATGCGTTATCACATGAGTGGAGTCGCAGTCTCCATCGCTGCGAGCTGGATCTAGCCTCGCATTTTTGAGGTCGGTGCCAACTACCCTGTTAAGACAGCCCGGCCGAGAACAACGGAGTAGGCATCCCGTACATAGATAGGGGTGCAGAGTTTTCATTTATATTTAATCATTGAATTTGCTGTATTAATTGAAATTATTTGCGTCGTATTTTGTGTGCGGGTGATCCGCACTAAATGCGGGATTTGATCCGGTATGGTGTATTTCTCCAGATTAAATATCTAGACTAGACTTTGGTTATCCATTATCATGTGATCACGATATAATGGAGGTTCAAGAGATGGAGAAACAATATACTGAGATTCTTAAAAAGAAAGCGGACGTAGAGAAGAAGTGAGGAAAGGGAGGAAGAGAGAGCTAATCTGACTATATAGGCTCTGTCCCATATGATGCCTCAGGCACTCAGATCAGGCATCCAACACATTAATATTCTTATTCTTCCTGATGTGGAAATATAGTACCTCAAAGACAAAAATGCGGTTATAATATCATTGGTTGTTTGATTCGATATATTATTGTTTCGTGTCTCAACATCCCGACTAGACCCTAAAGCATCCGTCACTCTAAGACAACATTCTGGAACTAAGTATCCTGCGGCCGATCTTCCTGTGATATGTATGGTCCTATGATGGGAAATGACTTGTAATGCTTGGTCCAGACATTCATCCCGTATTTGACTCCCGAATGAACAGGTAAGCCGGCATGGAATGTCCGTTCATCGCCCGTTCCATTACTGGCATGGAGGTTCATCCAGAATAGTGCACTTCCCTTGGTCGGTCTCACCACCAGCCCTTGACCACTGGCCGGGATAGCATATTTTCGGCCATCCGCATTGATGCTTGCCCCGTTAACGAAGGGGAAGTAAGTCTCGCCACCGGTCGCATTGCCCCCAAGATAAGTGAAGAAACTTCCTAGGCGATTATATTCCCGCCCTTGATCCTGTGGAGAACGACTGACTTTCGGCCGATGTAACCAATCACTGTGCAAATTGTATTCCTGGCCTGGATAATAGCGCACAAGCTGTAGCCTCTCATATGCCTCGTGTTCGATAAAACCCAGAAATTTCAGCGCTCGCTGCCCAACACAATGACAAACTGGGTCTTCGTATGGCAAAAATGCAGTCGACGATGATCGGTACGGTTTGTCGACGGAGCGCACCTGCGCATCGTCAAATAGCTGGGAATCTTGGAAAAGAGGCTTCCTTTATGGTTGTGAACCCATGTTAGCTGCAAAATCGTCGGACTCTGGGGTGAATTACTTACCCTAATTGAATGACGTAGTCTATCTCTTGTTCACTGACGAAATTGTCGATATGAATAACGAGAGGATCAACGGAGAGAATCTCTGTGTTATATCTTTGGTCTGCGCATCTGGTGAAATTGGTGGCATCGTCTTGGTAGAAGGCTATTTGTGTGCCAATTGCGGCCAATAGTGGCACTGCGGCAATCAACAGGGCCCGGTTTAAGATACCCTAAAGTTCCACGTTAATAGTCAAGCTCATACTAATTCCACTCATAGGAGAAAGCAAAATGCTACATACCATCTCTTCACAGATGCTGAAGCAAAAAGCAAGAGGTTCTGCAGTCCGAAGATGTCTGGAAAGTAAAGGTAGAACTCCCAAATCAATTTATTAGTATATTCTGAATTTCACATATCTGTTACTGGCTGTGACATTACAAGGACGGTACAAAATACCAGGCAAGCTAGGCGTTAGCGAAATGCAAGATGGCTTCGCAAAGCTTGCCCAAAAGGGCACTCCTAACCACGACATGGGTAGATGGCTGTTTTTCCGCTCACTCATGCTAGCGCATAGCCCAGGCTCCTAGCAATCAACAGAAAAGGATTGTTCTCATGCATAAGATACAGCGTGGCAAGCTCGTGCATGCATTCCAGGCGATCAATTTCCTGTTTGAATCGGTATCGAGCCTTGATCAATCTATATCGACCCGTTGATTGGATATGATTTACTACAGAAATATAATAGGGTAGCACTGAGCCCCTCAACCAACAGACGGAGCACACAGCGGACACAAACGCCCCCCCCCCCCCTCCCGAGTCGTTGAGACAGGGACTTTTGTGGTTGTCGGTGTAACTCAATCCCCTATTCTCACTCATACCACGAGGATCTTGCGTGACTCCGTGAGGCGAGGAGGTCATAATACTTTGAGCTGGAAAAGCATAAATATCGCGGTCGTGGAGTCTCTATCCATTGCCACAGAATAATCGTACATATCAATATTTACAAACCCAGTATCACCAAATCATCACCCGCAATCAAAAATGAAGCTCTCTTTCGTTCTTTGCGCTGTTACCTCCTTCCTTGGCGCTGCCAACGCCGTGGCCTTCGCAAACGCTGCCCCAGCTGCCCAGCCTGAGGTCATCGATATCTCTGAAATGAAGCTTCGTTTGCGTGGCACAAGCCCTCGTACGTGAATTGACCGGCTGGCCAAAAAGAGATTCTTAACCAGATTTGCAACAGCCCCTCCTTCTCCTTCCAAGCGCGAGTACGAAGAGGGTGACGTTGAAGAGAATAGCGAGTAATGTTCTCAACGGAACAGAGTTGAATAGGTTCGTCATTCGATACGGGTCATGAAGGCAGATACATAGATGACTAACTGAGTGCCTTTCAGTAACATTCTTCGACCTTGAATTCAGTGTCTGGCTAGGATCGATGTGGTATACGGATGAGGATTATGGACAGAGAAGAAGCGTGCCATCCAATAGAGCTCCAGTTCGATAAGGGGTTTGTTGAAATATACATGGTTACAACAGTATTTGAGTGTCTCTAAACCCTCATAGTTGCGAGATCAAATTCCTGCTGCTTTAGTACCAGCAAGCACACTTATATCTATATAAATCCCACGGCCCCCTACTCGTCGCCCCTCTACTTAAATTTGGCCTTTCGGAAAAAGCTTCAGTCTTTGCCCTCTTCGAGTCACTATGGCCCCAAGCATCCAACGACAGCACCTCAATTTCACCTATATGGGACTCTTTGCCAATATTGGGATGGCAACCGCGAAAATCACCGGCGGATGGCTACTGCATAGTCAAACACTCAAAGCTGATGATCTGCGTTCGTTGGCCGATTCGATCACCGACCTCACTGCAATGGGCGTTCTGTTTCTAGACTCAACCAATTCTTCATTGGAAATTGGTGGTACTCGAATAAAGACAGAGAACATCGGTGCTGTCACCATCGGGCTCATAGTTCTTATTGGGGGGGTCCTTATTGAAAAAGAAGCCATAACACCCAGCCCCACGTCCTGTGGCTCGGTCAACCGCGCACCATCGACTCGCTTCTTTTTCGGACGCTCTATCACTTGTTTCTATAGTCACGGGATATCTCTATCCTAGTTCTAGAATAGTCGATATGGTCTGTACGGGAATTGTCTCGGCTTTGGTGATAAAGGAAGGAGTGGAGGTGATTTTTACCAGTGGAAGAGACATTATCAAAATCCGAGCAGAAGCAAGTATGCCGAAGTAATTTACTTGAAGGACAATGAGTACAGCTTTATGCCAATAATACTGGTGCAGATAGCCATTGTGGGACCGCAGATTGGTCTAGCTCTTAAATAGCTCCTGCAGTGGGATAGTCAAGTAATAGCATTGATCAGGTTATAAATACGGGACTCCCTCCCCATCCTCCTACCCTTCTCCCCAACTCAGAATATCTGATTTTCCCGCCATGCCATCGCACTTCACTCCACGACTCATTGTGGCAACAATGACTGGAGTGTTGGTCATCAGCCTCACTGTTTTCTTTTTCTTCAGTCAAGCTGCACCGTTCTTTGTGCCGCGTGAAATAAATCACACAGCGTCATCGCGTCCCTCGGACTTCGACACCTCTTCTAATTTTGTTCCGCGACAGAACATATGGGCAGATTTGTCCGATCGGGAAGTTGTGGACGTTCTAAAGCACGTCCATTCTGTTGCCTCTGATCTCAACCTCACAGCCGCCGTGAATGCTACATTGTGGGACAACTTTGTTCACGGAATTGAACTGTCTCGGCCCACTAAGAAGGATGCCCTGAGGTTTATTACCGGTGTATCTGAGAAACCTACCCCAAGATATGCGCGAATCGCCGTCCACCATGGCACATCCTCCGAAGTATACTGGGATGAGTATATTGTGGGTCCGTTGCCCGTGTCGGAAGACACAAAAATAAACCCCGTTGAGTATCGTCATCGGACAGAGCTCGAACATGCGCGAAATCTTGTACCTGATGCAATTTCTTTCAAGCACTGGCCCTACTCAATCGCTCAATCTGTGGCCGATATCACGCAGGATCTCCTTGGAAGCACAATTAATGCAGACGGAAAACTCGATCCAGATGGTCTGGAGATGAGCTTCCGCGACCCCTGGGTTAAAGATGGTCGCATCCTGCGCTGGTGTAGTTTCCAGCGGGCTGGAAGTCGCGCCGAAGCAGGAACCCTTCTTCCACAAGGTCTTTACGTCAAGCTAGACACCACTGGACGAGATCCAAACAAATGGAAAGTGCTCCGATGGTATTACAATGGACATTTGTATCACTCTACGGAAGATTTTCGCGCTGCATGGCAATCACCCGGATTTGACAAATTGCCACCGAACCATGATGGGCCCTGGACCACTATCGAGGAGTTCTCATCTCATGTATATGAGCGAGAAAAGCCAGCGCCTATCATGATTCACGCAGGAGGGCCACGGTATCAACTAGACCGCCATGCCCAGTATGTGTCATGGATGGGCTTTACCTTTTACTGGTCATTTGCGCAGGCAACGGGGATCACCTTGTTCGACGTACGCTTTCAAGGAGACCGCATTCTGTACGAACTGGGCCTTCAGGAGGCCATGGCGCAGTATGCCGGTAGTGACCCACTTCAGGGAGCTGTGGCATATCTGGACAGCTTCTTTGGCATGGGTCGTGCAATGTTCGAATTGGTTCCCGGTCAGTGGCCTTTTTCATCACTTTTTGCATCCAAAGACATGAAATATTGATCTAACATGAATTAGGCTACGACTGCCCCGCTTATGCAGATTTCATGGACACAATTATATACGATGCTGAGCGCACCCAGCGACGGCAAAAGACTATATGCTTGTTCGAGTATACGGCGGATTATCCCCTGCAGCGACACTCGACATCATTCTATGTATCCATTTCTCGAAATAATTACCTCGTGCTGCGAACCACGGCTGTAGTTGGAAACTATGACTATACTGTTGACTATGTATTCTATCTGGATGGAAGCATTGAGATCAAAGTACGGGCCAGTGGGTACATTCAAGGTGCGTATTTAGTGCCTGGTGAAACCCAGGAATACGGGTTTCGCGTGCATGACCAATTTTCAACTAGCATGCACGATCATGTCATCAACTTCAAGGCCGACTTTGACATCATTGGTTCTCAGAATACCCTCATCAAAGTGGATATTGAGCCAAAAACTAAATCCTACCCTTGGTCCGAAGGGGAGGGATTGCATACCATGGGGCTCAGCAGCATTCCCATTTCAAAGGAATGTGGTTTCAACTGGCCCTCTAATTCACAATCTATGTATATTGTGACGAACAATCATTCGCAAAATAAGTGGGGAGAGACTCGTGGTTACCGTATTATGCCTGGCTCGGGGATGGGTACACCCGCGCATCTGGCGTTCGAAGGCTCTCGCAGTCTGGGCAGAGCGGCGATGTGGGCCACGAAAGACCTTTGGGTGACGAAACAGAAGGATGACGAAGTGCGAAGTGCCAGCCCACGCAATGCCTTCAACACGGATCAGCCTATGGTTGATTTTAGTCAGTATCTAGATGATGAGGAGATCGAACAAGAAGATCTGTGAGTAACGTCTCCTTGAGTTCATGCCTCAAACGCTCTTCCTATTGTTGAAAGCATTAAATCCCTGGCCTATACACCTTGCTTTATCCCTGTCACCGTTCATATTAGTCTTCCATAACTTACGCTCTCTTTCAGTGTGATATGGTTTAATCTGGGAAATCACCACGTACCACACTCGGGAGACATTCCCAACACTCTACAGCACACAAGCTCTAGTTCTGTCATGCTTGTGCCATTCAACTTTCATGACCGTGACGCCAGCCGTAAGAGCGCGCAGGGAGTTCGCGTGGATCTTGCCGGACAAAATGGGGGAACAGCGAAGGCCCAATTCTTTGGCCATCACTACGAACATGGTTTCGTGCTGGATGAGGTCAGTCGCCATCCTCCATTGTTAGGATTGACTGTGAACCACCAACTAACAATTTTATACAGAACCATGTGATTCCTAATTTAACCGCATATGGTGCCCAAGAGCATCACGTGAGAAAATTCCCCTACACCGAAGATATGCTGTCCATGTAAAATTTCATATATGTTGAATTAGGTACCTCCGTTCTCATATACAAAACGCCTACTTCCATGGGAAGGCATTTGGAGCAAAATGCTAAAGTGTGACCTTGTTGAGTTGACAGTTGTCAGCGGGAATTACACCTGTCCCGTCCCGTCGTTTGAATTTACTTTCTTCATATAGTAGCCACCTAAGGTATGACTTGCTTAGGGCTTAGCGCTACTTTATATGCCCTATAGTTTAAAGAGCTAAGCAACTTGCTGCTCTTTATAAGACACGCTCATTTTACCATTGAATCTGACACCTATAAGGTTGTGGTATTAATCTACCGCGGTTCCTATCTTCCAACATGTTACGGACGGACATTCTAGTCACCAATCAGTTGCGGAGCCTTCAGTCAGCCTTACTGCCAACACAACAGCTCTTCCCATCTTGTTTCAATCCCTGTCGGTGATATGCAATCAACAAGAGACTCAGCGTGACGGTGGACGGATAGCTAGGGCTTTTGCCTAACTCGAAGCTAATAGGTCAAGCTCAGGCACACTAAATGCCTTGCTTTTACCGGAATGAATTGTCTGTCAACTCATATATCTGTTACCTCGACATGTCGGAATTTGCTGGCGAGGGGAGCTACTTGGGTAGAAGGATAGGATATCCTGACTGTTCAAATGTTGATTTCAAAGTGGTTACGCTTCTGGGTGATAGGCATTGCAAGCTGGATGTCGGATCGAGCGGCATCTCCGTTAAAAATGAAAGGGGCAGCGCGTCGGGCTGAAAGCAAACGCGCAGTAGTCGGTGGGGCCAGAGTAAAAGAAAGGGGGCGGCGATGAGTGCAAGATAGAGAGGCAGAATAATGGAAAAGTGAGAGAAAGGGAGGAGGAGCAGCGAAGAGACAGAGTTCACGGATACTCCCCTTGAGGAAAGGAAATTTGCGGAGTATCTGTCGGACATATGGGATCGATTAGCTACCAGGTGATCTTTTGCACGAACATCTTGTGGGAACGGGATGAGGCTCCTGATATTGAACGAGTTTCTATGACCAGCTTTGCAGGGGCTTATTCAATTACCAGGCCCAATATTCCAAAGATGAGAGTTCATTTACTTGCTTTTCGTCTGGTTTGGACAGGGTCTCGAATACAATCCTTTCGATAGAAGCTTTCAAAAAAGCGCAAATAGATAGGGAAAGCTTAGCTATTATATAGACCATGACAACTCCCAAGTGAAACAATATAACGTAATATCGAATCGATTTCTAAAATATGAACCAGCATCAGTCTACTACAACGTTGATAAGTTTCCTTCTTGACGTTGCTGCAACCCCCCACTCTAGTTTGCACTCAATACACAGAAAATTCAAAAATGAAATAGTCAGACATTGTGAGCCTGCAATGCAGTGAAGGACATGGTCTGTACATCCCAAGAGCGATGCTACTTTTTTAACTGTTTACAGACTTTATCAGGCTGCAGAACAATCGGAAGTAGATGCGGTCTGGAAGGTAGTCGAGGATGACTTCGAAACCGATGACGAAGAGTTCGGCGTCGTCAAAGCGGAGGAAGACTTAGTGGAAGACGACTTGGTGGAGGACGACTTGGTGGAGGACGACTTGGTGGAGGACGACTTGGTGGAGGATGGCTCGGTGGAGGATGGCTCGGTGGAGGATGGCTCGGTGGAGGATTTCAGGTCTGAGGCAGTGCACCGGCTGCCATGCTTGAGCCCATTGTCCAATGTACATGCCGACTTGTCTCCCTGAAAATTGTAGAAGGTGATCACCCCGTTTTTTTCGACCTTAACCCATGCAGCTGCCGAATTGTTTTCCGTGCCGCAAGCCTCCGCGCCACGCAAAGGGTAACCTGAATGAGTGCTGTTGGCGACCTTGTCCAACCCTACAAATTCATTAGTATATTTTTCTTGATTTGCATGCCAGGCATTTACTCACTTGAACAGTCATCTCCATCAAGTTGGCTAAAGAATGCTGAAGACCCCGTGCAGCCATGATTGTCATAGGACCATATCGCGCATTGATTATCAATATCAATGATCTCAAGAGTGCCACCGAGGGATGCCCGTGCATACGCACTCGCGAGCATCACAATGAGAGAGAAACGCATTTTCTTTATTGTCCGGCGAACTTGGGAAGTTTGAAGATAATTTTTGCTCCGTCGTGTGCGCTTTTTGCTCTTGGTTCACGTATCTGGCGGTATCTCGCTTGCGTGAAGTCAAGCAAAAAGATGGCGGAAGCAGTGGCCTTTATAGAGTTTTATTGAGATCTCCTGGAGACTTCGGATTGCTCGTGGGGGAGGCAAATGTCGAAGTATGAGTGTCAGTCGTCTGATCAAAGTTGAGGTGCATCGCCGATGAGACCATTAATTTGCAAGCATGGTCATTTATTGAGGACAAAAACGCAGCCCAAAATGCACCAACCCAATTGATACCAACTTAGACATGGTATCTGACGAATATGTCTTGCCGTATCTGGGCTCAGAATATGTGTGCAATCAATTCCGAAATGATAAGCTCCCGAATTGTGAGGTACTTCCTTTCAACATCTCACCAGACCCACCTCACAACTATGCCGAAAGCTAATGACCTGTGTTAGCCTTATTCCGTGTCATCGTGGCTTAAAATTGAGGGCCGGGTATACATGGTGGAGTGTTGGGGTGTAGGATGCCTGTAGAACCCACCATGAAGCATATCGATCGCTAGAAGTGTAGTCATATTTATTACCCTGCTCCATCAGTACTATCTAATCTACGAACCTCAGTTTGATGATAGGCCGAAGGCGCTGGTTTTTTGCGGCCTTGAACCTTGGCTCTTTCAGAACCTCGACAAGCTATATTCCCTCAAATAACTACCATCATAAAAAGGAAACTTTACGCCTAGAAAGTTTCCAGAGGAAGGCGCTGGACAAGAGTGTCGTGATTCTCTCGAGGCAACTCACTAGTCGGTCCATTTCATGAATATGCAGCCCAAGGTGTTCTTTCGAGAGTCCCTCATCTATCACGCCACTATGGGAGACTTTGATTGATCTCTGCAGGTCCAATGTGCTTCCATAAGATGCACTAATATGGTATAGGTAGCAACCAATCCGATCCCACTGATGCAAGTTCATAGAAAGCCGATGGCCTCTACAGAAGTGTCTGATCTCTCAGTACGGATCCCCGGAAATCACCCGTTTGTTCCCAGGATTTACTTTCCTGCTACTATATTATTATCCTCCTTAATATGTGTCATTATTGCGCGTAACACTTCTCAAGTTTGGACGAACACCGACGGAAGATTTCTGATACCGACGTAGTTTGCCTTGGTCTGTTTGCGATACCTCACTCCGCTATACTTGAGGAAACTACGGTTTGCTGTTGATTGAAAACCTACCCAACAGCCCCCAGAAAGATGTAGTCAACTCTTTTCTATCTTGTTGAGCTTGTGTTTAAAAGCCAGTGTAGGATGCGTCTCTAAGCCATGACAAAACCGTCACTGTTAGGTGAACCAACGCGGCCGATTAGGAAACGAGTTTCGAGTGGGAAATTTAAGAAAGTCCCACTATTGGCAAGGAAACCAACATGGCTCAGATGGATATTTTCTATGGGCGGAAAACAACATGCTGCTGGTGTTCAATGGTGTTTTATGTTCAACGTTGATGTCAACGCTGATTCAACTTTCTGACACCATTCACTACCCTTACATCGCCAAAGGTGCTGGAATGAGAACACTCAAAAGATACTATCATATCGGCACAATACCAGCGGATTATGATCAAAGAATCTATAGCGTTCAGTGCTCCTGGAAGCACAAAACAGACTTTTGGCCAGTCGGATCTTTATCGTGGCTGCGCGGCGCGGCTGAATCATCGCCTTCTAACAACCCCCAAGGCGTGAGAAATGGAACTCCCTTCCACACGTTCCTATTCATGAGCAACAATGATTTGGCAGCCATGTTGCTCCTGGGAATATACTTCAAATCGATTGGTGGCTCCAGCACCATGTGGATATGACGACTGGATTAAAACATCATTGATTCGATCGTTGGTGTACGCACCACAATTGTGGCCACATATTGACATCCATAGTCCTCCTAGGAGCCGGTGCTGATATTGGTAACCCGCAAAATATTGACTGTGGATATGGTGGGCATGACCGCTTCAGCCCCAAACATTTAAAAGGTCATGATTGTCCTCACGGTCGATGCTCTCGTGTCCTTCCTTTTCTCCAATAACTTGCCAGTACAGCACCATCACTAGCGAAGGCAATCAACCATGGATCACAACCTGTCACAGGTATCAAAGTGCTCCAATACCCCAGACACAGAAGGTCACAATGGACGTGCATGGCAAACTGGTATCGTTATTTTAGATCCCCTTCTCGAGGAATCCATCGGCTAACAAATCTATTTCATGAAGGCAATGAATCGTCGGAAAACTTCCGTCGGGTCGTTGGCCAGGGGAATCCCGGCCACACAAGCCAGGTTTTACAACCGCCTGTTGACCAGTCCACTGGCTCTGTAGCTACAGAGGTAGTTACTTCCCTTGGTACCTCTCTTGCTAGCTCAGGGGCCTCTACGTTGCCTCCAAGCGTCATAAAGGCTGAAAGCCAAGACCTGCCCCCTCTGAACGCGAAAAAGAGAGCAGCCGAATCCTCAACCCTCCCACGAAGGCGACGCCGACATTCATACTCCACCTCTCAAATACCGGGCCGCTCACAACTGATGAATCGAAAGAGACCCCCAAGCCTTATAAAAATTAGTAGGAAAATGATCAACGATACAGTTCAATACCTACAAACGCTATCCGACCACATCTTGATCTCCGACACCATTTCCCCCAGGGAGTGGGCCACTATGCATCTCGCCACCCAATTGCTACAGAGCAGGTACGAAGAGATCATCGCGAGGAAAGATATAGACACAGACGCTGTGTCAGATTTTGATTCCCCACCAACACAGCCAGAAGAGAAGTGCCAGAGGTGTGCTGCTGCGGACGAGGAGCGGCTGTATGACTGAGACGCTCCTCGTTCTTATCACCTTGCTGGCTCTATCTAGATATCATAACTGGTCCTTAAAGATTAACGAGCAAATATAGTGTTATATAACCAAGACTCGGCGAATTGGCTCGAATATCGAAACCAGCCACTTTTAGATTATTAAACCAATTCCCTCATAGCGTTTTCTGTGTTCTACCATCTACAAGAATTGAAACATTTGTGCCGTTCTGTTAACCGGCTCATGACTGCTGGTCCTTACAACTCGGCCGTTTGGCAGTCATTCTGGGTCAAAATGTCAGCATATTAGTTCAGGTGAATCATTAGGGCATTGCTTGTAGACTAGTAGACTCTATTATTGGTACAACAGGAAAAACTAGATCGCCGAGACCCAAATCAGCCGTGCCACTATTCGTTGGAGAATCGCATGAGGGCGACTTGCCGTGCTGAAAGGCCAGGTTCCAAGTCACAGGCATACCTAGCCATAACCAAGTCCCTGGCGAATATGATCGTTCCAGCGTCAACTAGACGCTGGGCGCATATAAGTGGAACTCCATCTGCGCAGCGCAAGAATTACTGGCAAGTTTGCCATTTCATGAGCCTACCAATTACTGTAATAACCATCTCATGATTGATCCTATACGCTCGTTGACATGGACATGTCATGGGCGAAACACCGTAAACGAGGCCGTCATTACAAAGAAGCTGCCGCAGACTCTGGCTCGTTTGATGGTTTCCATATTTTCATCTTTGGCGCGTTGTCAGTCATAGGAAACCTAGAATTTGTCCGTGGACAGCATTCCGTAGCGCTGTTATAGGTAGCAAGACCTCGAGGAAGTTGAGTTAGGGGGCCAATATGCTGAGCAGTGAGGTCATGCGTCGATTCGTATGGAATTTTTAATTAGCTCGATACTCATGTTCACGATGGCTGCACAGCTCATTGTCAGTTGTAAAAGGCTACACGTGCCGTTAACGGTTTGTATGTAAGCGCTGTGGCTCATTGGCCTCATCTTACGACAGTCAGTCGAAGCTGCCATCTCCCATCATTGACGAGAGTCCAATCCTTAACACCGTGCGTACAAAATAAATGGGACTCCACGTTCTCTCTTGATTCTTGCACGTAGTGAATCCGAGAAAAAGCATTCCTCTCATCATGTCAACTGACCCATTCAAAGACAACATGATATGTGGCCTTGGTACTATCAAAGTTCAATATCAGCTCCCCATCTCGATGTCAGCCCCCATCACCTGCGAGAGTCAGGCGGCGGCCAACGCGAAACCAACCAGACCTCACCCACCATGCCATCAATTCGCTCTCAAATATTTCGCAACCTTGTTGAGCGGCTCCGCAGATTCCTCCATAGCGTTTTAAATGCCGGCCACGAAACGGACACATAAATAATACTATTCCAGAATCCCTGCAAAGGAAGCACAAAACTCGACGCATAGAAGAGCCCGAACGAGTAGTCGTCGGGGCGAGCGAACGCGTATACTAGGTTTACCGTGGAGGGAACCTGTACTAGATTAGACGTGGACGCTGTGTTGAATTGAATTGAGTTAATTGAGTGTAACCACCTACCCACGTCACAAGCAGTGCGATGAAGAACAGCATCGCATATTTCGTATACGCCCACGCCGCACAGCTCGCCTCTGTCGCCCTCCGCCGCTGCGTATATGATTCCCCGCACTCGCGCCGCGCCGCTTTGGCAGATACCTCTGAGCGGAGCAGACTTGGGTCCGGCCATGGGTGACTCGGGTCCTGGATAGGCTCGGAGCTTTCCTCTAAGTTCTGCAGCATGCTGAAGGGATCGATCGGGCCACCCTCGACCGTGACGGAGAACGGGGTAAACGAGGAGGCCGTAAAGCTGCGGGCGGGGACATCACTGACCGACAGGGACCGGTGCACTGGCGCGAAGCAGGCGATTTCACTGGCAATCTGGATCCCGGCGTGTGTGACGAGCGGGGCATCGGGCTGGGTGTCAGAGCCGAGGGACTCGATACCGCTGAGGTTACGCAGCTCGCGGTGTTTCTGGTAGATGACGGACCCGGCGCGCAGGTAGATGGTAAAGGTGAGGGAGATGACGAACCACACAGGGCCGTAGAATACAGTGATGCGGAGGTAGTCCCAGGGCAATGCGACCCAGCACCAGAGCTATACAATGAATATTAGGACTTTTTAGAAGTTGAAGAAAGGGTACGTGGTTCTATAGGTGGTCTTACAATTGCGGAACCGTAGACCCAACCTCGGGTCTGGGTGTGAATAAAAAAATATATGAAGGATGGGATGAAGGGCAAGCCGTAGCAACACATCATATACTTCCACTCGATCTGGCGCAGTTGCTCTGAGTTATACTTGTGGAAGAATGTCAAGTAAACGTTGCACGCCATGGCAAAGGTCCACAAAGCGTCGGCGGGCATGAACCTACCCGCCATTAGATACGCACTAGACTATAAGCACCCATTGAACCAATAATAAAAAACTTACCACTGAATCAAAAAAGCCTGAACCTGGCACAAAGGGCTCCTAGCCTCAGCGTGGATGCCCGATTGCGAGATCATCGTGGCTATATTAGCCATCATATTGCCCCAAGATGCATAGAAGACGAGGCTGTTGATCGGTTTCCGAAATGAGCGCGAGCAGATGAAACTAGTTATGATAATAAAGGTACCAATCAGCGAGATGGTAGAGCAGACGCGCTCCGTGACTGAGATAGCGGCGAGCTGTCGCTGCGAGGGCGCGGGCACCATGATGTCATGGCCTAGAGGGCGGCGGGCATGCTGGGAGATGTTTCTGGGACCATGGGGTTCGATCAAGATCCCATGCCCAGCAATTCTATATAGAAGGAGCAAAAAAGAGAAAGGATGCAGCTGTTTTTACACAGCTCAAGGTCCAAGACAGTCGACAGACAATGCTCGCGTGGTTTCTTCCTGTCTTCCTGGAAGACCCGGGAGGCCGTTAACGTTGCAATGCGAGCTCGGTGGCGCAGTGCGCGCTAGTAACAAGAACCCGTGGAACCGGCCCGATTCACATAATGCCGTGGCGACTACGGATTCATGGCATGGAAGTTGCCAAATCGCTATCGAGACACAGCCAGACAAGCCAAGCCAGCACTAGTGCCGTTGCGAATACGAATATTCGCAATCTTTCCCGTGCAATATTCCGTAGAAAATCCCAATATAGACCAGAAACCGACCTGATTGAACAAAAATGAAGATACACGTCATGCCTGGGGTACCGTTCGCGCCCAAAAGTACTACTTTCTCCAGTTCGGAGTGCCATGACAACCAACACTCAAGCGCGGCCAGGAAAAAGATCCATGATCCTTAGTGTCAGTTAGTGATGAAAATGTGAGCGCGCTTTGGTAGAATCAAAGATTGAATAGCTTCCAGTGCCTCAATATAGAAAACCGTAGATTTGACAGTGAGCCAACGTTTCTTATCCGACTCAATTTCACTCATTCTCAATATGACTCTAGCATGTTTCTCTCGGTGGGCATCTAAAATGCCACCAAGAATTTCGCTGCAAATAGTTGCGGTAGAACGAAGGCATGGGTTGCAACAGGCCTCACTTAGGATAGGCATCGTGTCTATCAACGTTTGCTACCTAGCAGAGCACATACGCGACAGGAGCCGAGAAGCCTATAAATACGTCCTCTACCCCCAGCAATTGGTTCTACAATTCCATCACTCGGCTACACAAAGTCGAGCAGGCCTTGCGTTTGAGGTACCTGATAAGTTCTTCCCTTTGACCCTACTGGAATTTCCACTGTACTGACATCTATGGATACATCGTGGACCAGCAAGCTAGAAAGTTCTTGTGAGAGATTCCCACCAGGTCCACTATGCCACCCATACCAGCCGATCAAAAAACAAGATTAGGGTTACTGTAGCTGGTCAAAGTATCTATGCGAACATCTCTCTCCACCATAGCAGCAGATTCACTGTCCGGCCCCTGCATATACGTATCCCTGATGTAAAAGAGCAGTTTTTATGCAGGTATGTAAATCTAAGCAAGGTACTGTCCAAATTCAACTGACTTCAAAGATGATGCGAAACAACCTGATCCGTGCATTCCGTCCAATATACACCAGCGCAACAACCACGGAGCCCTTTCCCGTGTCTTCTTCTCTTGACCTTTAGGACATGTGAGTTATAAAATACCTCTCTGATCTATAAGCTAATGATGGACAGAAAACCGTTGACAGCGCACTAGAGTGAGTCCGAACCAGCGACCCCGCTAGTGCTCCGCGCAAAGCCATGGCTTACACACCATTTCTGGTCCTGCCGCTTCAACCCATGCAACCTGTCCTATGTGAGATATTGCAAATCAATGCTGCGGGCCAACAGCAGGACGCATAAGCTCGAGACGTTCGCTGTCCATGATAAGGTGAGTGGAATATCGCGCCTCCTGCTGCGCCGGGTCCGATGATTAGTGCCAAACCTGTGCCCCAGACACCAACTGTTGTAGTTCAGAGGTATAATATTATTGATTTATCCAGCGGGAAACATGAGGCTATATATACACCACAAAGTCCAAGTTGATTGGAAATCAACTTGGTTCTTTGTATAGACACCTCGGGATTTATTCCGATGGTGCGGCTTGGTTCCTGATCTGCACCAGCCCCATATCACAACAGAACATCGTCCTTGACCTCCTTGGGAAGGGATCGAGAAGTTTCTCGCTCCCACTTCGACGTAAAGCTGGTGAAGTGATTACAAGCTGAATAATGAGACCGAATTCTTTTACACGATTTGATGTAAAACTCTGCGAAAAGTTTCAAAAGTTCAGGAGTCGGAACAGGCAGGTTAGGAATATTCGGGTCTGTGGACTCGTTACGGGAAATCCTCCATCTGCTGATAATTAGGAACCAAAATCGGTGAAATCCGAGTGAAACTTACAGTGCCCAATTGTTAACTGTACGGTTATATTTTTCTAGCGTAGCAGGCGCTAGCTCAGGGTGGCAGACAGTATTAGGTATGCTGCTTCTTCCACTCTTCCTTGGTAATCTCATACAACACTTCGCCATGCTCAGTACCAGGCAGCGGGTCCTCAAAGCTAAGATGAAACGTCTTTACATGTCTCATTCCACATTTCTCCATCACATGCCGACACCGCTCATTAATAAACATCGTGGTTCCAATAACCCGCTCCACCATTGGATTATCCGAAAATGCATACTCAAGAAGGAGACGAGTACCCTCGGTTGCAAGACCCATGCCCCAATATTGGCGACGGAGTCGGTAGCCTAATTCAAGCGTAGCAGGCATTTCCTGCTCAGGGCCTGCAAGAGAGAACCAGCCGAGAAATTCTCCTTTAGGGCTCTCGGCAATCCACCGGCCAAACTTAGGCCATCTGGTGTAGTAGTCAATGATGTCCTGAACTTCGAAATTGACTTCCTCCACTGAGGGTGGTTCATGGTCTAGATATGCCATTACACCTTCGTCGTTGTTTAGGCAACAGAGAAGCTGAAAATCATCTGGAATTAATCGGCGCAGGCAGATGCGGTTGGTGGACATCGACATTGGGTCTGGTGCAGCGGCCATTATCGGCAGAACTAACTGCGTTTCGGCATGAACGGTGAGTGTTGATGCACGTCGTGCCATGGACCAGATGGATTTAGAAAGGGCTTACTCGCATGGAATATATATCTTAAATCGCACTCCAAGTCTCACACAGTCAAAATTAACAAGATTTTTGGTTCTCACAGCCCTTATATGATTTTTCGCCATTGAACTGTCTCTGCAGTTGGTGGTCGGAGTCCTAAAAGCGTTAGTGTGGATCCTGTCACAACAGAACCGCTGCGGCACCACCGGTCGATAATATCAAAAATAGTTTCGGAGCAGCTGGTTTAGTACCGTCTTCATCTGACCGAATGAATTTAAAGCTCTACATCCGGATCACTACCCCTACCTCTCCGCCGAGCTAGGGTAGTGATTGGGAGCTAAAACGCCTTCCCCGAGAAAGAAGTAAGCGATTAACATTCCTTACCCAAACGTAGTGGGTGTGGAGAAATAGGGCATAAATTCTATAGATGTCGAGATAGCTGACGATTTTAGTTGAATTAATTTAATGGCGTTTTGGTTGAGATGAATACATTTAAATTCAATGGGTTGGATAGGGTGGACCACTCGCATGTGAAATACGTTAGGTGAGATTTCACTTTGGCAGGCCTGAATTTCCTTGGAGGTCAAGTTAACCCAATTTGGGGTGCTGCAGTCATGCTTCATTTTCAGTAGTCGAAGGGATTAGCAGGCAAATGGATGACAATAGCGTTACCCTCCGGCGTGCCCGAACTGCCAATCGATGCGCAGGAGCGATACAGTAGGGCCTTGACAAAATATATATTCACGTAAGACTCAAAACATTGCTTGAATAGAATTTCAAACAACCATTTTTCTAATCATACACTGAATTACCAAGCTGAATCCTCACTATAATAATTCTGATTTCGAGAGCTGAGTATAGCCAATATTTCACTCCAGAAAGTCCATCGGCTATTAACACCCATTATGAGCAAGCTGCATATGGATCTGTGGTCTCCCATGCATAGTTCTCACACTCCTACAGTTACCCCTCGTCAGACAAACAATTCTCATGCGGAGACTGGAGCTGGACTAGCTTTGCTCACCAATTCATTCATCCCTTTGAAACTGCGAGACTCTTCGCCGTTTGTTTGTTCCATGATATGGAGCTGGATTCACTTGAAGTGGGTTTAGGTTGGTCTGCAACTCCGAAGTCTTGCGTTCGTGTTGGCGATCAACGAAAGGAGATCGGTCCAGATTGCATGCTATGTGGTCGGGCCCACCCATGCTTGTGTCACGAGGTGACACCAGCTCAGATGGAAGGCCCTAGATCGTCAGCCGTTCATTGAGAGAGATCATTGCATATTACCTTGTGGAATGATCCAAAGCGGCAAAGACACACCACCGGCGCGCCTGGACAACAAATTGCTGACGGCACCCACACGACGCGGATACCATGGATCTCGGTACTATCTGGCACTTCAGCTTTCGATTTCTTTCACGCGCATGGGTGATAAAATGGCGAACTTACCTTCGTCCGAGTGGAGAAGCTCCGACCTGGCGATGAAATACTCCTCTGCATGGAGAACGCCTCGGTACTCTGCCCCACCCCTACCAAGCTTTTGAAACGATCCTGCCTTATTGTCTTCCCAAGTGACCAATAGGCCTCCCGAGTGGGGTCTGAGTTTGGTGCTATGTGGCAAAACTCCAAGCAGGCGTCAGATTTGACGCATGTATATAATCTCAGTCATCCGCAGCGTCGGGGATGCATTGAAGATCGAAGAAATGGACAAATACAAGAGCTCCTCTACGACGTGAGTGCAGAAAAACGGCGCATTCTTGTCGGTTATGGCAGCAGGAAACCATTTCCGACACGATGCTTCCTGGTGCACCGCATCAAAGTCCAACCACACAGAGAACTAACTCCATACTTAGTAGCCCGAGTTGTGCGACTAGTGCTTAGAGGTGTGCTAAGGCTATAAACCGAGGGCAGGTTTCCCCTCCCGCCTTTTATTGCGTCCACAGCAAGCTACCCCTACTCAGGATCTTCCACCCAGGTCCTAGCCAAATCAGCCAAGGCATAGGTTTTCTTCCGTAGGTGTCTCATAAGTGGAAATTGTGCCAGTGACAGGATTCGAACCCGTAGCCTCTAAGTTTCAAGATAGGTCTCCAACTATCTATTCACCTAGAGACTTGCCTAGTGACGTACTTACTGTTACACCACTCTGTATTTGATTGCGAACCCGCCGAGGTCATGTCAAAGCAGAGAGTGGGGCCCTTTAACGGCCATTTTTCAGACAAATTATGTGTTGGATAATTTTACTTAATGTCAGACAGAGCATTGCAACCACACGCGCGCGATTTCACATATCCTTTCTATATCATTACATCTGCATATTCCAAGATCAGGGTTCAACACTGATCCTACTGACACGTCGGCCATTGTTCTGCTCTCTGTCTTCAGCAAGCGTCGCAGCGAACTTGCTTTTCGCACGAATTTTCGGTCCCTTCCAATAGAAGATATAAATGGGAGCCACGACAAGGCAGGAAAGACAAGCCAGGATGGTGCTTGCATACTGCACATGCCACTTGTTGCCAATATTTGTATACATGGGCGTCGCGTACATGGCTGAGATACCAGCGAGAAGATCACGAGCGAAAGCGTTACCACCAGTCGCGGAGGCGGAGTAGACACCATAGGAAGCGATCATGTAATCAACCGAGGAGAGGTAAATCGCGTAGTTGGCGACACCTACACACCCGGAGAAGATCATAGATCCGATCCAATGGACATTGCGCGAGTCGCCGAAGGATGTCCAAGCAAAACCGAACAAACCGATGGGTTCAAGTGGTGCAAGAAACAGCAGCCACTTGAGACGGCGCTCGGGTGGAATAGCCGCGTCACCATATCTGAGACGAAGCTTTTGGTCACGGAAGAACCAGGGGAAGTAGCTGAAGTAGGCAATAAAGTAGGCAGCGTTGATTGGTATGATCGCCCACGCCTGTGCGAGAGTACCGAATCCCCATCCCTGCTCGTAAACAATGGCAAAGCTTTCGAGAAAGGTGAAGATCAGAGCATCGGAAAAACCAGACAGAAGGGACAAGCAAAGGACAATAGGCTCGCGCAGAAGCATGTAGAATGGTCGCATCCAGATCTTGCCGGCTTCTTTGAGGGAGACACGAGGAACCTTAAGCTCATTGGGTCCGTAGATATTCGTGTCTTCTCCCGACTTGCGGCGGCGCTTAGCTTCCATGTCCATGATGATGGTCGAACGACTTTCGGGCATGAAAAAGATGATGGCCTGGGTTACTCCTCCGAAGATGAGTTGAATCCAAAAGAACCATTTCCATTCAAGGACTAAGTATCAAACACATTTGTAAGCAAATGACAGCATACAGCTGTAGAAAGAAAAGCGTGTTTCCTTACAGCGCGCAATTGGTCCACCAATCACACCACCAATACTAGTACCAATACAAGAGGATAAGACAATAAATGCAAGAGGGAACTGCTGTGTCTCGGACTCGTAGATATCGGCGATAAGACCGAGAGTGACACTGCCACCAGCAGTAGAGATACCACCCTACGTTACATTAGTTTAGCAAGTTGTCAAACGCTAGCTTGCTGTGGGGAAGACCAACCAATGCACGGGCGACTACAAGAGAACCCCAGTTGGGGGCAAGGGCTGCTGGAAGTTGCCAAATGTTGATAAGGAACATGGAGAGCTGGAGGATAGGCCAGCGACCGAATTCTTCAGACCAAGGAGCCCACAGCTCGCAACCGATGGAATAGGTAACTAGATAGGCCATTTGGCCTGTCCGAGCGTGTTGCTCGCTAATGTTGAACGCCTTGGAGAGAGGCTTGACGGCAGCAGGGTAGACCGAGGTGTTGAAGTTCATAGAAACCTGCACAAACGCGACAGCGGCAAGATAGGACCATTTTTTCCATCGCGGCCACGAGTAGCCCAGGACCTCGTAGCAATCTGCTTCCTTCAGCTCGCGCTTTCCATCCGAGCGCTCGCTTTGCTTTCCTGCGAGCTCGTTGGAAATGTCGACAGGCGCGCTAGATTCACCGTCCGTGCCATTTACAGATGACGGTCTGCTCTCACTGTGGGCAGCTTGAATTTCTTGTTGCTCGGGAAGGGACATTCTGGCATGCGGAGGAGTGGGGCTGACAAGAGGCCGAGTGCAAAAGAAAGATATTGTGGGCCTTCCCCAGATGTAATATCCCTACCATTGTGCGGGGCTTAATCAACCATGGTACCCACAAACCGATATTTGGAGTGGGAACCGCTATTTCAGCCGAAACTCGATGACGTCGATGACGTGGTTGACCGTTTTTATCTTAGTTACTGTTGATTGACGTTGAAACCGTTCTAGTGATATTAAGATCCAGCGCAAGTTCCTAGAGTATTTTCATAGGTTTGAAATTTACTGGTACACTTGAATGTCGTCAGCGCGTTGTGCATTGGCGTCAGACACGGCCGTAGGTCCAGTTTCAAGCCAACCTTCGCTACCTATATAAGAGAGAGCATTTCTCGCCACGATCCTTCATTTGAAGTGATCGCCATTTAGACAAAACGAGCTCACGTCTCCACGTAAAGCATCACTGGGGACTCATACCAGTATCAAAAGTGCGAGGGTCTAGAACTGAATATCGAATTATGGGTTTTACATTACTAGCTTACTCGAATTTTACAGCACCCACTGGCTTACTGAAGGAAGTCTGCTTCCTGAGACATCTACATGCTTATTAAGGACGTTCAAACATTGGTTAGACATGGTCAAGGCATAATCAAATAGACCCTTGAGCTACATAAGTGGGCGTCGTACCAGAATTGAAGAGGAAAATACAAATTCTGTCCATCTTCTCTTGTCGATTCATTTGGCACCAACATTTCCTACCTAAGATGGCCGCGAAAGAGGAAAATGAGCTTTTCGAAATCATATCCTTGTACAGTGAGCCCAATGAATCTGAAACGCAAGTTTCAACCTCTGAGCCATCAGAGGATGATATCTCGGAAACAAGTGAAGACCGCGAATTCGTAGTGTCGGATGGAGATCAATCACCCTATTCGAACAGATCATCTGGGTCTCTCAACTACAGCCAGCACTGCCACCACATGCATGACAATGACTCTTCTGATCTTGTATGTTGCATGGGGATATCGTTTCTAATGAATGAGCTGACATCCTCAGATTGGCCAGAAAATACCGATAAGTAAAATTGCCAAACGCGTTATCCTCCAGAATGATAGTTCTGTTGTACCATATTTGGTCCTATGGCGGTCCTGGGAGCAGGAAAGGCCACATATGAGTGGTATGGCCGAGGAGACTTGATTTTTACTTAGTACTGAAGCTGTGCGTATCTCCAATTTTCCAGCTAGTAAGCTGTCTCTATATTGATGCATGCGAAGCAATGTCATCGCTTTTAACCGAAAAGTCTCGTGGTTTTAGTATTTCTACCAACCATATTTGGCCTTGTCCCCATACGCTGGAGATAATACGCACCTCAATCGATAGGCTTTCTGTGTCATGTCTCCAAAGTGCGATCTGAGTAGGTTTTTTCTTGTTGATTGCATGCGTCTGATTCCGCCCCGTAGCGAAAGGATAGGCTAGTGCCCAACACCTATATCCTCCATCCGCTCAAAACAACCACACTTATCCGCAAGAAAGTTATAGAGCCTAGGAGATCCAACCATAAGTTGAGTGTGGAAGCATCTCACTGAAGCAGTCCAGTTTTGTAACTTTCCGTTCCAGCCATAGTCAGAAATTGACCCGCTTAATGACCAAACTAAAGATTCAAATATATTGGTTAGGAGTAGACCTCGCCAAAGCCCATATGACCCATCGATGGACATGTCCAAACCCGCCCATGGACCGGTTTGGACACTCCTCTGGTGTCCAGTGGGCGGGTCGAGGGGCACCCAGTCCGCCCACCTGGACGCCCTGGACAGTCCAATGGGTCAAAAGTGGGGACACTGTAATATGCATAGAGTTATGTAGAATTTGCTGTATTCAATCGTATCTAGGTTACGCCTGTAGATAAATTCTTGTAGCAGCCATTGTATTTGTGTGCATATTCCTTTGCCTATTCTAGATTATGGAAATGTCTCATAATATACATCATACCCCCTTAGACGTTTAGAAGGTCTACAGACCCTCCCTGTTGAGCGCTTTAGGGAGTGATCCCTTGGTAAGGGGTGCTCACCATCATCATCATCACCCGATTCTCTGGTGGTTTCTAAAACCTCTTCTCCATCGCTAGAAGAACCCTGTAAGGGATCCATATGCTCCCGGCCAGAGGTAAGCTAAATTGCCACATCGGCATTGATTTCAGCCTCCCTAGAATCAATCTGTGAATCCGCCTCATCATCACTGATAGGATCAAGGTTTTCTTGGGGATTCTGGGCATCTTTCTCTTCGTCCGCGGTCTCTCTCTCCTCCCTCGAGAAGGATTGCCTAAAGGTTTCTTGCTCCTCCTCCCCGAGGTCAAACTTAGTTGCACACATATACATCACCAGGTCCTGTATCGTGGTAGGCTTCAGTGACCCTCGACGATAATGACAGATATCCCGAGCAGAGTTAAACAGTCGACTCAACGCCCGCACCTGTTGCTGGGATAGAAAGAACATCTCGTGCAACACTTGCGAGCATCGGAAATTCATGCTGATGGCCTTTCCGGAAGGAACATGGGTCAATTGGAGTAGTGCCTAGATGATCTAGTTTAGCCATATTCACTATAGAAACAAACCGAGTTAAGACATACCACTCTCAAGATACTTTTCAACCTCATTACTGTGGCGAGGTACTGGTTTTCGGTTCGGACCGACCTGCGCGATGAGTGCTGCAAGCTTTGAGCCCTGGTCCAATGGTGTCTGGTTAATTGAGAATGCTTGGCTATTGGATAGCCGCTCTTGATAGGGTCGAACATAGACTTTAAGACTTTGTCGATATCTCTCACGCGATGCGAAATTATTCTCTGCCCATTCGCAACGCGAAAATAATTGCAGTTTATGCTGTGGTGCAAGTATTGTATCGATCGCGTAAAGATCACCATGGGCTTTAGTAGTGCTACCATAATAAGCTGCAAGTTTTTCCTTTCCTGCCTGAATTGCACAAAGCATTGATTGCTTCCAATGGACCCTCCTTTGTTGAAGTTGTATCGATTTTTCAAGATGTTCAAAAAGAGTGTGGTAAATCTCGAAAACGATATGAACAGTCACTTCCTTGGTTTGGCAGAGAATAGTGGTAAATTGGAAAAAAGGTTGGGTCAAACATAGCAGGTAGTCAATTTGTCGCCATTCTTCCCGATCTAACGTGAACTGCGTATTCTGATTTTCAGAGCAGTATCTGTTGAACACTAGCTGTAATCTCTTTGCACGTCGAAGCATAAGAAAAGTGGAATTCCAGCGGGTTTTGACATCCTGAATTGGTAAAAGCTTTGAGCCTTCAATCTGGAGACTTCGAAATGTATCACGACGCTGAGGGCTAGCGTTGATAAAAACCGCTAGGCCACGAACCTAATAAATTTAATAGTGTTAAAACTTGTGAGACATTTCGCTTCTAACCTTGCTAAGGGTACAAATTATACCCTTCCTTTGACTAGCACGAAGTGATTGGGACTGGTTTTCAGACCATTCTCTCTGTGTAGCCTCATTGACTGGTTCGAGCCTCATATAACCGAGAAGGCTCTTGAGACTCAGTTGAATAACATGGGCAATACATGGAACTCAGATGATCGGTGTTATATTGCTGAGATTAAGCGTCTCCAATTGCTCATGCACTCTTCCTACAATGTTTGATTATTTCAAACGTTATGTGTTGTCACAGCCAACACCCGTTCAACCAATTCATATCGCTGAAGAACCTCAAAAAGAACGGTACCAAGATTAACGCCAGTGTGGGATCCATGAAGTGGTTCAAACCCGAGGAGAAGCTCACGGTATTTCCATTTATCATCAATAAAGTAGCCATTGATAGCCATAAATGCTTGTTGAAACGGAGAGGTCCAGCAGTCTAGTACAATAGACATCTTGGCCTCGGCGGGTAGCTTCTTAAGTACACTTTGGTGTCTTTCCTGAACAGTATCTCGAAGCCGGCGCTGGATTGTTTTTGCCGAAGGAAACTCAAGAGGCAAAGGGGACGACTGTGCTCGCTGGAGTAACTCTGGAATAATGGGTTTTCGATGATCAGGCAAGGGAGTCGTAGACCAGTAATAGCCGCGAGGATATCTTGCTGCCATAGTTCTTTTGTAAAAGACTCGCGTTTCTCGCGGGCTGGATAATCACTCGCCTGTTCATAAACGATAGACATTAATATCGAGGCAATCTACCTTTTATCTTCGAGTGTATTCCTGACCTGGCGGGCAAAAAGTTCTTGAAGAGAGCTATTTCCGGCAATCCGATTGTTGAGTCTCTGGCACTTCTCTCTTCTGAGATGTCTTGTCATTGGGGTAGTTCCATTCAACCTGCGGCTTGGATGATCAAGGAGCTGACCGCATTTTTGGCATACTATCTTTGGGTCCCCAGTCACAGTATGAGCTACCTGTTTAAAGCTATTCCACGCCTCTGAATGACTTCGAGATCGATCCCAGAAGCTCTTATTCCTTTCACGAAGCTCGTTTCCGTGGATAGTCTGAAGCCACCAGAAGATAAAAATCCTCCTTGCTCATTTCGGAGTAAACAATCCAGTCGTTTCCGAATCGCTCAAGGGAGGAAGAGATCATAGGGTGTACTAGTTCGGAGGCTGGGGTTGATTCAATGGTTTGCTGACTGGACTGTAGGTCGGAGATAAAGAGGTCTTGACCGTAGCTACCGTGGAAAGACGACGAGGAGAGGTCAGTATCTTGAGACATGATCCAAGAGTATGGGATCTTTAGGGAAAATAAAAGAGGAAAGTCTCCCTGAAACTCATGGATTAGGGTTATTCGCCTCTTATGACCGTTTGTCTACCTGAAATGATAAGATCTGATAGATCGCGCATGAACGCTATGGCCTCCAACTTCTATGAATTGCGATTGGATATGGTGGTGGAGACATGCATATTTAGTGTGGGCGGACTTTGGACTGTCCAGAGTCCGCCCAAATACCCTGAAAATTTGCTTGAAGGACATGCCCCCCTTCTACATTATTATTTTATAAAGGACAGTTTGGGCGTCTCATCAAGTCACGTGGTACTGCTATTCCATGTTTTCTAGTCTTTATTCTCCATGAATAAACGATATTATCAACCTCTGGTTCATATTAATGGTAGATATAACTAGTTTGATTAATGGACTAGATGTGTAGTCAGTTTTCCTTAGGTATTTAACTGCAACCAGCAATCACTAAATATTGGTAGGAACTAGGAATGAACTGAATATGAGGTGCACCCACAAGATATATATTTCTCTCACTAAAATAGCTTTAAGTTACAGGAAACTGTATACACACCAAATAGTCGCAAATAAGAGAGAAGATCAGTGTTCCGTATAAATTGAATCAGAATACATGAGAATTTCAACAAATTTAGATGATCGAAGAACAACTGCTACGTCAAAAGGATTGTAGTGACTATGACTAGTGTAAATAACCGTTTTTTATTTTGCTGAATCATCAGGTTATGTGGGAGATTTATGCATTTGTGGGCGGCTTTGGACACTTTGGACACTTTGGACAGTCCATGGGCGGACTTAGACACCATGAGGATGTCCATGGACGGGTTTTGGCGAGGTCTAACTCTACCCCAGTCGAAGACTCCACCCCAGGCGGACAAAACCGGCACCCGAACGTGTTGTGATATATGGCTGGTGCAGATCAGGAACCAAGCCGAATCATCGGAAATAATTCCTTCACAATCTATACGAAGAACCAAGTTGATTTACAATCAACTTGGACCTCACATTGTATATATAAGCTCCTGAATCCCCTCAGAAATAAGAATAATCAATTATTCCTCTGAAATACAACAGAACGCTATATTCTCGCTCTCTAACAACCCACGTGCTCTCTATCGCCTCCTTTCCGCTCAACATAAGCTGCCGCCGCGGTAGTATGTTTACATCAAAGGGCTGAAGGAGAAAGGCAACGACCCTAAAGATTACGAAATGGATTTCAATTTCAAGCTCGACTTGACACCCACACTGCATCCATCCATCCATCCTGTACCTCAACCAGACAATGGCGGTGAGTGGTTCACCGCCGATACAAAAAGCTTCAAGCTAAGAGGGTGGAAGCGTATTAGTGAGGATAACCGTGGTGTTTCCCAAGAAAGGTTGATTCGGACGAAACCAATTTGCCTTTAATTGGATTATATCGCAGTGACTGCGATATTTGAGCGCTACGACGCGCCGTGCGGCTTTGTCTAGCATCAACGCGACACAAACTTGTAACCCTGCACAATGTCGCGATTGCCTCGCATCCTGTGGATTGTATGGAACAACTTCTTTCTTTTTACTTTCTTGTGTCTATTTTTCTTTCTATCTTTATCTCCAATATATATGGGGTTCAGTTCCAAATTTCCGGAGTTCATATGTCTTCTTTTTGTCTTCGGCCTGTTTATCTGATGCATGGATGTGTAATTGAGTGACCGGTATCAGCTGAAATGATTCTTTTGTCAGGCTTGGGATGAGTCTTGCTTAGATTTGGACCTTAGATGAGTAGTCTGGTATAGAACAAGCATTCGCACACTGCAGCTTCACCTCAGATCATAGCCAATTTTGTTTTTTGGTTTATCTTATATAGATCTGGTCTAACGCCACATCCCTAACAATAACGAACCGCCAGCTTTGATATACCTATCGATATAGCACCCAAATCCAAGAGTTTAACATTACTCTCTGTCAGATCTTGCGCGTCGTCAATCGATAATCCAGGATGAACCACAGCCCAAAGTGGTGATGTCGCTCGCGCCAAAACGAGAATCAGTATGTGTATCAAGCAATGATATCTGCGGGGTCTACGTTAGGCTCGCAGACACCATACTTGCAACCAATGTCACATAAAACAGCGTAAATGTAACTCTCGACAAAGCAAGAATAGCCGGAGCAGCAGAATTCGAAGATGTAGCCGTGGGCTTCGCAGAGGTAGTCGTAGTCTTCTCCTTGCTGTTCGCAAGATCAGAACCAACCCAAGCATTCCAGTTCTGAATATCATCTGGACAAGATTCCGAGATGGATGCACCTCGCATTTCCGCAATCTTGTTCCCTCGCCGCGATATCGTCACTACCACCTGCCCGGTATTGCCATCGAATGGCACACTGCCGTGGTAAAGTCCAATCTGACCAGACGGTGTACTCTTCCACTTCCCGTCTTGCACAACGCCGCCAATGTCGACCGCTACATCCACTGCGATCGCGGAATGCAGCAGTGCAGAGTAGAACACTTCGTCTCGCAGGATATCCGTCGGTGGAACGACCTTCTGCCCCTGTGTCACCGAGTTGCCCATGGTGCCGCCATTCTTGCATGCCTTGCCAGGCATCTGTCGGAACCAAGCAGTAACACCCTCGTCTTGTATGCTTGTTTTGCCGGTCTTATACAGGCCAATGACGAAGGGCAGGAAGCTCCGCCATCCATCGTGCGGATAATTAGCGGCGTAGTTGTAGCTCGCATTGCCGATCTCGAAGGTTGCATATGCATCATCATGCAGCGGTCCGATATAATGCGACTCGCCGTAGTCGTTCCATGAGATTATCTCCACGAACTCGGGCTTCAGTGACAGAACTTGCTCCCACCGGTCGTACCAGAGGCTATCGCCGTTCCAGACCCAGTTCTTGCCGTAGGCTGGTAGGTTGGTGTAGAACCATGGTGAGACGGGCATCATGTACGGCAGGTCGCCGGCGTCTTTGAGCCATTGCATGTATGTCGAGTCGACGTATGTATTTATTGATTCGGAGCCTTCCGGCCATGCTGCCCAGGAAAATAGCCCGTCTGGGACTCCTGGAGCAACTGCTAACGCTTCCTTGGCTCCTAGGGCCGACCAACTTGGTACGAAGAAACAGTCTGCGAAATTCTTGATTGTAGACCAATCGGTGGCGTTTGATGAACCCTCGAAGGTGGAGACGAAGGGCTTGCCTCTGTATTGGTAGTATGCTGGATTGTCTCTGTATTCGTTGATGACGGCTATCACGTCGCCCTCGGGCCAGGCACCGTTTCCTACATATTCGAAGGAGAAGAAGAGTTTGAAGTCCAGTGTGCGTGCGGCTTTGAAGGCGTTTTCTAGGGAGCGGTTGTTTGTTGGATAATTATACGCGAGATTGAGCGCAAATGCGTCCAGATGGGCCTTTTGAGCCTCGGCAATGTTTAACTCCCAGTCGTAAAGGGTGAAATTCTCCGAGTTGTATACCTGGATACTGTATGTCAGTGGGCGCAGTCTGGATGGAGAGATGGAGATTTGAAACAATACCATGAAGTGTGCAAATACGGCCGTGGCCTGGACTCGGTGAAATATATTCCATAATATCAGGAAAAGAAGTGTTGTGGGCCTCATAGCAATTGACTTTCTGAATTCGACTATAGAGGTAAGTCATGCGAGGAGATCAAATATCATGAAATCCAAGGTAAATCAAGGGTGGCTCTTGTATGAATATGTACTAAGCTAGGCACCACACAGGGCTTGAGGTTAAGCGTTTACTTGGGCTAGGAGAATCTGTCTGGGCCAGAGCAAGATTTTTAAGAGAGTGGGTATATCGATGGTACCACTGTCTCAAGCGCCACCTAACGACCAAAGTCCAAGATCTTAGGTGAGCACAAGTATAGGCACCTGGGTGGATCATAATAGAAAACCTGACCAACTGAAGATGACTATGTATGCCCTAGCTTTATATTTAGTACAGAAGTAAAAACTGTACCTGATATGACGTTCTGCACTTTAGCAAGGTCTTGGGTCGATCTGGTTACCTGGCGTTGCAATTATGGTTCGCCCACTGTTCGACTATTGATAACTTTGGTTTTATCCACAGAGTCCGACGAAAATTTCATACCTTCTCTTGGCCGAGCCCTCTTTCTTCCATGCCTTTTAGCTAGATCGGATAGCCATTACACGCTGATCGTTGAAGCTAATCAATACATCGCCTTTTATCTGGACCTAGCTGACAGAAATCTGGCGGTACGAAAATGTATGGTATGGCTCAATGATATGTATGACTCTAACTAAAATGACAAAACCCGCCATTTCAACAATATGTGCGGACATCGATGACTAGTAAGTAAGTAATATCGGAACGTGGTCGTTACAGTACGGACTAGTACGGGCATAGCCAATTGAGTACTTGAGAGTGTGATTTTTATATACTATAGAAAGTGCAGAATAAATAGGGGATGAGCTTAGTAAGGTCGTTGAGCGCCTTAGGATCATCAGGCAGATGGGGGGTGCTGAATATTCCTCGGGCGCACTAGTAAAGTTGCGACCCTCTTTTGTCGACATTATGCTAAAACGAAACAACTTGGGTATGTTCTGGGTTGGGTTCTGGGCTTAATGAGGGTGTTCCGGAACTGGGTTTTGGGCTCAAGGGGGGTATTCCGGGTTGGGTTTTGCCGAGGTCTAGGTGTGGAGAACAGGGCTTCCCGTCCGCTCAACTGTACTTAAGCCGATAATCATGCAGTCAGCTTGCCCTTCCCCTTCAAAATGCGAGGAAAGTCTACTAGCGTGGGTGTGGGTACATAATTGGGGGTGAATGTGTCGGGATTAAGCGTGAGTAGTCACACCCAGGGTGTCAGTCCCCGTCACCTAGGGTGACTTAAACCCTCGCCTCGTCCCGCTTCCCAGGTACGATTTTTTGATTCCTAAGAATGACCCGGAAAGTTATCACGTATGGCCCTTCACCTTTTACCTTCACGTTCATCTCTACCAAGTTCATACTATGTTGCAGGTGATACCAGCCGGATATAGACTGCCAAAGGGCCTCGCTTGTTTCCCGGTGGGTCAACCCACTATGATGGGTTCACCCTCTGGGCAATCTTGCGAGACCCTGCGTTTCTATTTCTATCCGAGCTAGAAAATTTCGATTGGCGGAGGGCGGCGGGTCAGGCCTTCGCAATCCTGATCTAGTCAATTAGCGATCTAGCTTAGATAATTCCACTGCTGGGGCGGGACACATGCAATTCGCTAGATATACCGGAGAAACATGTCTCAGCATTTCCTTGGGTTCACACCAGAGCAAGACATTTTCCATAGCCTGCTATCCATAGTCAGACATGACACGAGCTTGTGGAGGATGTTTATGTAAGTGGATAAAAATAAGTTAGAATTGTACCATCTATAAACAAGGGCAATCGCACCCATACTTATTTTCAATTGCAATTTGATTTGTATGCGAACTCTGAATATTCACCGTGACCAAGTACACCGCCCTCATGGTTCGTGTGAACATACTTTTGGCCTTGGCCATTACTTCTTTTAGTGCCACCATGGCAGCGCCTGGGGCCTCCGTTTGTGACCTCAAGTACGATACCTGCCGTGGTGCCCCTGGTGCAAATCTGTCGACCTGCGCCTCTGAGAAGGCCGCGTGTGACGCTGCTGGATCGAGCTGCCAGGCCAAGTACGACACCTGCCGTGGTGCTCCTGGTGCAAACCTATCGACCTGCGCCTCTGACAAGGCCGCGTGTGACGCGGACCGCAGTGGCACCTCGACTACGACGCGAGCTGCGAAGCCAACCTCGGGGCCCGCGGGCGACTGCCAGGCCAAGTACGATACCTGCCGTGGTGCCCCTGGTGCAAATCTGTCGACCTGCGCCTCTGACAAGGCCGCGTGTGACGCGGACCGCAGCAGCACCTCGACTACGACGCGAGCTGCGAAGCCAACCCCAGGGCCCGCGGGCGACTGCCAGGCCAAGTACGATACCTGCCGTGGTGCCCCCGGTGCAAACCTGTCGACCTGCGCCTCTGACAAGGCCGCGTGTGACGCTGCTGGATCGAGCTGCCAGGCCAAGTACGACACCTGCCGTGGTGCTCCTGGTGCAAACCTATCGACCTGCGCCTCTGACAAGGCCGCGTGTGACGCGGACCGCAGTGGCACCTCGACTACGACGCGAGCTGCGAAGCCAACCTCGGGGCCCGCGGGCGACTGCCAGGCCAAGTACGATACCTGCCGTGGTGCCCCTGGTGCAAATCTGTCGACCTGCGCCTCTGACAAGGCTGCGTGTGACGCGAACTGCAGTAACACCTCTACTATGACGCAAGCTGCTAAGCCAACCCCAGGGCCCGCGGGCGACTGCCAGGCCAAGTACGATACCTGCCGTGGTGCTCCTGGTGCAAATCTGTCGACCTGCGCCTCTGATAAGGCTGCTTGCGACGCGAACAGAGGCAGCAGGTCCACGTCATCGGTTAAGCCTGCTTCAACGTCCCCTTCAGCTCCTCTCTTTACGGGTGCTGCAAGCCGGCTCTCAGGCAATATTGCTGTTGTAGGAGTCCTGGTTCTCGGCCTCGCCATTTAATTCTATTAATTTGGTGAGATTTTAAACCAGCATATCAGCATATCAGCATACATCACCTACCATATGTTGTCACCCACTCCACTTTTTTCGAGTCCCCATGCAAAATATATATATCACTTTCATAGTATATAGCACCACCATTATATGGTCTATAATATTATAATTAAATTTGAAGCTTGCTTAATAATAGCACAATAAAAATTTCGCTTAATATTTTGTATAATAACCCCTAGCCTTCCGTACTGCCCTCAAACGTCTACCCATACTCAATATCAGCGCATCTATCTTCGACTGAGGTAATGCGTTCCATGCAACTACCAGGCATTTTTTAAAATAAAGCCAGTCTGCCTTCGATCTTCCCTGGTTAATAAGCTCTGGAAATAGCTCAAAGAGTTTTTGTTTTAACCAGCGCCAGACCGGTTCAATTGGGTTTAAATGGTGAGTACGCGGGCCAGTCTTCGACGTATACTCCGTGAGTTTCAAACCACTCTTTCGTGTCCTTCGCTAGATGAATCTTCGCGTTATCTTGCTGAAATATTATCCCAGGTGTGTAGAATGGTAGCAGACCTTTTTCGAGCGTTTCGATATACGATTTTGCAGTATAACCCCTCCCCGAAGGCGAGTCTTCGTCCCGTTCCATAATTATTAATTCTGTTCGACCTCCAAGCCAGATTCCAGCCCAAACCATTTGTGAAATATCTTTAACGTGAACCTTTGCATTCACAAGATCTTTTCGAAGGCCCTCCGAGGTCGTACGGAAGCACCATTGTGGTCCAAAGTTCGAGGTTCGTTGCACCGAACACTCGTCCGAAAAGATCCACAATTGGAAGCTTTGCCGCCGCCATTTTCTTGCGAATCTTAGCCGTTTCTTAGCAAGAGGAGGCTTAATTGGAATCTTCTGTCTCGATCGCCGTTTTCCGAGTCCGAATCGCTTTAAAATTCGACGTATAGTGGAGGGTGACGGATGCTGAGCTGTAGCAGCACTTAGCTGTTTATAGGTCCAAAACGGATGCCGACGTGCCTGTAAATAGAGATGATGGCAAGCGCGCTCACTAATAAGTGCGGGACGGCCGCTTTTTTCGCGATTTTCAAGCTTTTCGCCTTCCGAATAGCGCTTAAGCGTATTGAAGATTGTCTTGGGCGTACAGCCAAAATCATTAGCTAATTGAACCTGCGTTGCACCATTCCTATGAGCATATATAATAGCTGACCTTTGTATAGTAGAAAGCTGCGCCTTTTTGCTAATTTTCGGTCCTATTTTCATTGAAATCGGAGCAATGTGGGAGGTGTAGGAGGGGAAAAAACAACGTGAATTGGTTGTTGGGCCATTATAGTGGGGTGGAGTGGGTAACTACATTTGACTAGTATCTGTATCCAAAAAAAACTCATTCTTTTTTTTAGATTTGCAACTCGTCAAAAGCAAGTGGTGGTGTGGTGTATTGTTTGCTCTTGTTGTAATTAATATGAGGCCGGTGCAGATCAGGAACAAAGCCGCACCATCGGAAATAATTCCCGAGGTGTCTGTACGATGAACCAAGTTGATTGGAAATCAACTTGATTTTCCCGTCGTATATATAGCCTTGCATATTCCCTTTGAAATAATAACAATCAATCTCCCCCTGAACTACAACAATTCTGTTTTGCCTTTTGCTGGATGGCTTATCTTGCGCCTAGAAAGCTACATGCATTGTAGTTAAAAAAAAGCTGCGAGACGAGTTTTACCGGCTCGATCCTCAGGGAACAGCGTCTCTGGTGGAATATGAAAGAATGCCCTATCTGGTGGGTTTACTTTTTTCCACGCGATGACTTTCGATTATATGTGAACTAACGATATTAGACCTCGTTGTCCTAGAAGGCCTCAGGTATGTGAAATGTGAATTTTGTGGAGTCTCGTAAACTGTCTGCTGATTCAAACTTACAGAATGTCTAACGCTATTGCAACGCGACTTCAACGTAGCTCGCCAGATCGGCCCATGAGGTACAAGGATTGGATCATTCCCGCCGGGGTGAGATACACTTTTACACTCTTACTTATCATATTGTGTATTGGCGCGCTGACCAGACCCTAGGTTCGCGGTCGTTAGCAATGCCATTGCCGAGAGGATGTTGGCGCCCGTGGGGTCAAAGGTGGTGGTTCTTGTCCTCTACCTACCACTGGTTTGTCATAGATCATTTTCGCCAGATGCTAATTTGGGTGCCATCTATATAGGAAGCTCGTGATCATCGGAGATGGTGCCTGTGGAAAGACCAGTTTACTCAGTGTCTTCACACTCGGCTACTTCCCAACTGTGAATTCGCATTTGGAATTACTCTGCAAAAAGATTCATGGCTAATCTGTCTTTTAACTACAGCACTATGTTCATTACTCTCCCATCTCGTCGACAAAAACACATCTGACTTCTCATCCACATGACCCCACAGTTTTCGAAAACTACGTGGCAGATTGCCGAGTCGACGGCCGCTCCGTGCAATTGGCTCTCTGGGATACAGCAGGACAAGAAGACTATGAGCGGTTGCGGCCACTGGCTTACTCCAAAGCACATGTCATCCTGATTGGGTTCGCTGTGGACACGCCAGATTCGCTGGAAAACGTCGTGCACAAGGCTCGTCTCGGTGTTTTGGGGAGGTTACAAGCCAAGGTGTCTGACAATGAATTACAGTGGATCGAAGAAGCGAATGAGCGGTGCCCTGGTGTGCGTATCATCCTGGTCGGCCTGAAGAAAGATCTCCGTGAAGATCCCCTGGCCATCGAGGAAATGCGCAAGAAGTCTCTCAGATTTGTCACAACCAAAGAGGGCAATGAAACCGGGGCACATATCGGGGCCCGCAAGTACCTGGAGTGCTCATCCCTGACGGGCGAGGAAGTTGACGACGTGTTCGAGTCTGCTACCCGAGCGGCGCTGCTGACATTTGACAAGCGGAGAAGCTCTTGCTGCGTGGTCCTATAACGATTGATTTTATGAACTGTAGAGCGTTCCTCAAAGACTGTTGCTGGTTCTTTCCTTGGCAATCTCTGCCGTACGGGCGACAACCCAAGCAAGCACAACCCTCGCCCATATGTCTACCCTGACCGGAAGGCTTGAAGCCAATCGGAACGCTCTTGATAACTATAATGGGGGCATGGTAGCCACGGTCCCCATTGGAACGACGGTGTACGAGCTGTGGAGTGCTTTAAAGATTGAAAATGATCATCTTCATGGGTTCTCTCCTTTTTCCCCAGAAGATAGCAAAGATATCGTGAAGGCTCTGGGCTCATTTGGCCAAGCTGATACCGATAACCTGGATGCTTACAAGCGGAAGGTCAGCCCCTAAACCGTCGCCGAGAATTTTTTTTTGCTGGGAACGCCCTTTTTCTGACTCGTTTTCTATGTATAGGCGCCGTTGCTTCACGGGTCTAGTGCCCATGAATTAGATCTTAGTTAGTTTAACCACCCACCATGCTATCAATTCGCTCTCAAATATTTCGCAACCCCGTTGAGCGGCTCCGCAGATCCCTCCACAGCGTTTTAAACGCCGGCCACGAAACCGACACGTAAATAAGACTATTCCAGAACCCCTGCAAAGGAAGCACAAAACTCGACGCATAGAAGAGCCCGAACGAGTAGTCGTCGGGGCGAGCGAACGCGTATACTCGGTTGACCGTGGAGGGAACCTGTACTAGATCAGACGTGGACGCTGTGCTGAATTGAATTGAGTTAATTGAGTGTAACCACCTACCCACGTCACAAGCAGTGCGATGAAGAACAGCATCGCATATTTCGTATACGCCCACGCCGCACAGCTCGCCTCTGTCGCCCTCCGCCGCTGCGTATATGAGTCCCCGCACTCGCGCCGCGCCGCTTTGGCAGATACCTCTGAGCGGAGCAGACTTGGGTCCGGCCAGGGGCATCTCGGGTCCTGGATAGGCGCGGAGCTTTCCTCTAAGTTCTGCAGCATGCTGAAGGGATCGATCGGGCCACCCTCGACCGTGACGGAGAACGGGGTAAACGAGGAGGCCGTAAAGCTGCGGGTGGGGACATCACTGGCCGACAGGGACCGGTGCACTGGCGCGAAGCAGGCGATTTCGCTGGTAATCTGGATCCCGCCGTGTGTGACGAGCGGGTCATCGGGCTGGGTGTCAGAGCCGAGGGACTCGATACCGCTGAGGTTACGCAGCTCGCGGTGCTTCTGGTAGATGACGGACCCGGCGCGCAGGTAGATGGCAAAGGTGAGGGAGATGACGAACCACACAGGGCCGTAGAAGACAGCGATGCGGAGGTAGTCCCAGGGCAATGCGACCCAGCACCAGAGCTATACAATGAATATTAGGACTTTATAGAAGTTGAAGAAAGGGTACGTGGTTCTATAGGTGGTCTTACAATTGCGGAGCCGTAGACCCAGCCTCGGGTCTGGGTGTGGATAAAGAAATATATGAGGGATGGGATGAAGGGCAAGCCGTAGCAACACACCACATACTTCCACTCGATCTGGCGCAGTTGCTCTGAGTTATACTTGTGGAAGAATGTCAAGTAGACGTTGCACGCCATGGCAAAGGTCCACAAAGCGTCAGCGGGCATGAACCTACCTGCCATTAGATACGCACTGGACTATAAGCACCCATTGAACCAATAAAAAAAACTCACCACTGAATCAAAAAAGCTTGAACCTGGCACAAAGGGCTCCTAGCCCCAGCGTGGATCCCCGATTGCGAGATCATCGTGGCTATATTAGCCATCATATTGCCCCAAGATGCATAGAACACGAGGCGGTTGATCGGTTTCCGAAATGAGCGCGAGCCGATGAAACTAGTTATGATAATAAAGGTACCCATCAGCGAGATGGCAGAGCAGACGCGCTCCGTGACTGAGATAGCGTCGAGCTGTCGCTGCGAGGGCGCGGGCACCATGATGTCATGGCCTAGAGGGCGGCGGGCGTGCTGGGAGATGTTTCTGGGACCATGGGGTTCGATCAAGATCCCATGCCCACCAATTCTATATCGAAGGAGCGAAAAAGAGAAAGGATGCAGCTGTTTTTACACAGCTCAAACTGCAAGACAGCCGACACAGACAATGCTCACGTGGTTTCTTCCTGGAAGACCCGGGAGGCCGTTAAACGTTGCAATGCGAACTCGGTGGCGTAGTAACAAGAACCCGTGGAACCGGCCCGATTCACATAACGCCGTGGCGACTACGGATCCATGGCAGGGAAGTTGCCAAAGTCGATATCGAGACACAGCCAGACAAGCCAAGCTGTTGAAATAGGTAGTTGTAATGTTCTTGTTGAGGTTACTTGTCGAATACTAAGATTGAATACATGGTGGAAACAAGGTATAATACCCAGAAAATCATGTGACAACTGGTACCATCCATACCATACAAAAGTGCATATTACAGTTAGTCATCTATGTCCGCACAAATTGTTGAAAACGCGGGTTTTGTCATTTTAGTTAGTTAGAGATTCCAATATATCTGTTTTTGTCCATACGTTGTCGTACCGACAGATTTCTGTCATTACTATCAAAAGTGGGAACCCCGTCTATTTAAATGTCCATCGCTAGTCCTGCCATAAGCTTTGACCACCGCGATACTCAACACTCCCACTCGATGGCAACCATCACCAATGGTGTCAGTGACTATGTGATCGCGGTTGTGACGGGCCCCATTAAAACCTTCTAAAACTTCATTGAGAAGAAAGGAAGGAAAGGGTACCCTGCGCCTTAGTCTTGTTCAATACAAATAAGGTGTAGCAATCACTCAATGCCAAGCCCTTTCCGAAACCACTCAAATCTTTCCCAAGCAAGGGGTTTGGTGAACCCATCAGCAATTTGTTCTGTGGTTGGGATATATTTGAGCTTCACTGTTCCGTTGTCTTGGACCTCTCCCTGCCACTTGCGTTGGATTTCCATATGTTTTGTGTGGGAGTGGTATTGTGGGTTCGAGGAGAGAGCAATGGCTACTTGGTGTTGTAGTTCAAAAGAAGATTAATTCTCATGAATTCAGAGGGAAACATGAGGCTATATATACAACGAGAAGGTCGAGTTGATTTCCAATCAACTTGGTTCTTCGTATACATAATTCGGGATTAATTCCGATGGTTCGGCATGGTTCCTGATCTGCATCAGCCACATATCACAACAGTTCTTCGATCATGTCAGGCTTCCATGACGTAGCTTCCCGCCACACCGCGTTTTTCAGTACCCTAAGCAGATTTAGCCACACTAACACCCTCTCAATAACCAGCCATGGCTTGAATTGTTTTGAAGGAAGACAATGGGAAATTCTGCGCCCCTTTACGTCTACAAAATTGTCTCGTCTACTTGTCCTGTTCGAGAACCACTTCCCGATCGACTTCCAGTCAGCGATATCGATCAAACTTCAGGATTCATCCACCTCTTAACAGCGCGGCAAGTGCCAAATGTCCTCAAAGCTATTTATGAAAGCGAGCCAATGGTATATGTTTTGCGGATCCCGCACGATAAGGTTGTGCAAAACATTCGTTGGGAGACAGCGGACGGTGCATTGAGCGAGGCTCTGCCTGAAGAGGAACTGTGTCCAGTAAGTATCCGTCAGCATATCCAACCTTGGGATTCAAGATTTTATTTCTATCGCTTGCAGGTAATATGCGAGCTGACCAATGGGGAAGCATTTGTACAATGGGCTCAACCTAGGACGAGACGACGTCGAGAGCATGGCCATGTGGATAAACGAGCATGGATGGGAAAATGTTTTACTGCAGGCTGGGCCGTGGCTTTCAAATTGATTATGGGGGCTTTCCACGTATCTGATTGTCGTGCTTCTTTCACCCCCGGTTTATTTCGTTGCTCTTGGCGAAGCCGAGATTTTTCCCCACGTTGTTCAACATTGTATATATACATTCATTTTGGAATGTTGTTGCTATCACGTGAAAAACCATAGCCATATCAAATAATGAATGCGACCTGTTTTATTGATGTATAAATCCATAATTGCAAATTTTGTCGCTTCAACCGCAAATATACTGTACAATACGAGATTTGGAAGATCCACTAGGATTTGGGCTATATTTGGAAGTGGGTGTAACCTCCAAAAGGCATATCGCTCTTTAGTCCTTTCGCTATTGATCTCGAAAGTGCCTGGATTATGTGCTACCATTTTGATATTCTTTTTTTCGAATAAAACCTACCTAGAACATTGTCATTGACACGATGACTAACATGTGGTTATTGAGATCGTCTCATTCAACTCACTTTTGGCGGGTTTTTGACACCTGCTTCTGCCGCGCGTTGCTGGTCTGTAATAATCTCGTCCACCTAAACATGTAACGAGGTATTAGCACACGTCTGTTCACTAAGCGCGTATGATAAAAATCAAGGGCTCGTCATGACATCGTGCCTCTTACTGACCTCTCCTTCACGGGTTCCGCCTCGAATTTTTGTACCCACATAATCACCTCGATTGATAGTGTTGCCATTTTTGTTTGAGTCTTGGTTATCGCGGATTATGTCAGGATGTTCGACAAGTAAATAGAAGAGTAACTCTTTCTTAAAAAAAGTAGGCTTACTAAAGATATGGACCACGGCGTCCTGTTATAACTTTGGTTCACGGATGATGACGGACCCGTATGGTCATGCTGATGCCGCATCACTCAAAGTCAGAAGGTCTTCCTCCTTTTGTTTCGGTTCCTATTACTTCGCCGGGGCAGAGCAGTCGGTTACGGTGGCGTGGAACGTGACGATTATTCTCGCGGCTTGTGGGCATATGCCATGAGATGGAAACATGAAGCGCTGCAGAAGTTCCGACAATTCGAGGCATGGGTGTACCGACAGTTCGGCGCCCAGAACAAAAGATTCCTCACTGATAACGGGAGAGAATACCTCCCGATAGGAACGCACCTCGAGCCCCAGGGAGTTGAGTTTGATACCTCGCCACCGTATTGCAAAGGGCAGAACGGACTGGCAGAACGCACCAATCGCACTATCCGGGAGCGGATCAACACGGTCCTGTCCGAAGCGAAACTTCCTCTTTCCTGGTGGACCGAGTTGCTCGGCACGGTGGTCTACCTGAAGCTGCGCCCTCCAGCATCAATCTTGTAGAAGAAGACATCGTACGAAGTCATCTACGGGAAGCCGCCTACATTGTTGCACTTGCGACGGATCGGCTCCCGTGCATGGGTGTTGATCCCAAAGAAAGGAGCATCGGAAGAAACTCGGATCAAGAAGCTCCGAGTGCCGGCTGCTCGGGTATTGTGTACCCAACCAATACAAGCTTTACGAACTCCACTCTGGAAAGACAGTCTTTTCCCGTGATGTCGAGTTCGATGAGAGGACACTTGTGGCGCCACTCATCGAGGGGGAAACAGGCAACGACCTCCCGGACAACGCTCCTCCATCCAATGTCTTTCCACGATCGGTACTACCTACAGCTGACACACTGCTTACGCCGCCTGGGCGGAACGACCGCAGTCTCTGGCATGAGAGCTCCCTCGCTTACCCAATTGGATTATGCCGAAGCTGACTGGTCTTAGTCTGTGTAAGCAAGTCGACACGCGCAGCAGTATGCCGCGTCGTTCATCCCAGAATGAGTGGCGATTTTCGATTGTTTGACCTGGATCTAGAACCCTCCGGCAAAGTGGTGGGCGGACGGTGACCCTTTCGTCCATTACACATTCAAAACGATTACAGTCTCGCGTGAGAAGAGAAGGTGAATAGGTCGATGATCTCTGCGAGAATCCCTGCTAATTCAGTCCCGTGGGGCACAGGTTCTTAGGAACCAACGTTCATCGCATGTAAGGTACAGTATTTGTAAATCTAGTATAGAGTGTGTTGGGGTAAGAAAAGTCTCAAAACTAGGTATCTCCATGCCTCCCCACCCACTTGCACAGTCCCTTTTGCACGGCCCAGAAGCACATACAATTCAATGTGGTTGATAGAAATATCTCCAGTGATGCTCGCTATTCTACTAGGTCTTTCTTGAAATTCTAACTATTCAGCAGAGGCAAGGAAATGTGGCCCGTCGATTCCTCGTGTTGGCAATAATGCAGGTCCGTATTAAGTGTGGCGAGGCCGAGATTTACGTTACATCCGGTAACAGTCCGGCCTCGGATAGTCCGATCTGATCTGGACTATTAACCTCCCCACTCGGGCGTTCCATGGATGAAACGTGCCTGGCTATAACATGGGCTATGATCTCAAGTTGATTCTCAACCCACTCCTGCCCTATTCCAACCGAAACTCTATTAGATGTTTGGTCACTACGTTGATTTGGTGGAGCCAAACCAACTGAACCGAGGGAATTTTCGTGGTCATCTGCAAATGGATGTCTTGGAAGCTACCCATATCCTTGATATGGCTGCAAACCTGCTTAAGCTCAGGATAGGGATCAACACCCAAAATTTCATTCCGTGGGTTGGTGAGATCGTACAATTAATTTTCGCCCTATAGACTTATCTTTTCTTTAGATTCATACGATGTAACGGCTATTCCGTGAAACCGTGTTCGACGATTAAATAAGTGAGAGTCGCCGCAAAGTATATGACAAGCAGGGAGTTATTCAAGAAATCTTGAACTTCCCACTCTCGCTAACACCATCCCTCCTCGCTGATCTGACCCCGCCAGCCCACAAATGATAACCATCATGTTCTTCGGCTTGGAGGCGCGGGATGCTGCGGCCAGTTTTCAAATAATACAACGGTTGAACTTTGGACGCTATACTCAATTGGCGTCGCTGTGACGATGCTTAGAACATGTGCTCGAGCGGGAGCTGTGGGCTTGAGGAATTTGCGACTTGATGACTATTTGATATGGACTGGAATTGTGCGTGCTGCCAATTGATCTTGCAAAACCCCGTCATTCACTGACTGTCAATTTCTACAGATATTCTATACTGCACAAACGGCACTCGCATATAGTGTTGGCAATGTGGCTGGTGGCCTCGCGAATAATAATATGACGGCCGCACAGCGGGCTACGTTGTCCCCCCACAACCCAGAATACCGCGCCAGGTATTTTTCACCCCAAAAGAGAATTCAAAAGCGATTGTATCCCACGAATAACAATTTGTTTAGAGTGATCGGTTCCAAGATCCAGATCGCAGGCTGGACCACCTATATCGCATTGATCAATTCACTCAAGCTATCTATGCTGGCATTCTATGTTCGCCTTATGGTATGCTTTTGCATGACTTTCTAAAGCCATGATACACCGTGTTGGATGCCTAATGATTAAACAACAGGAGGGCCTAGGTCGCCGCTATCGAGTACCTATCTACGTTGGGTTTGCTTTCGTCATTGCAAGCTCTCTCGCTAGTGTCATCACGATCTTTGCGGCATGCAGGCCATTCCACAAAAATTGGCAAATCAACCCAGACCCCGGCAGTCAGTATTTTCACCTCTCAGTTTATCAATCCCTGCTAACGATTTCTGTTTTCAGATGTGTGCCAGCCAGCTATTGCTAAGCCAGTTATCGCAGTCACATTCGCCGCAAACCTCCTTACCGACCCCTACCTTGTTTTTATTCCAATCCCTATGCTTTGGAAATCAAGTTTGAAAGTTATCAAAAAGATTGCGACGACCGTCGTCCTCAGCGCCGGTGTCTTCATTCTTGTCTGCGCCACTCTCAACAGCGTTTTCTTGCTAGTGGTTAGTTTCCTGATTTCAAATTGCGCATTTACTTGAAGAAATTCAACTGATTCTGTCTTTCCCCTTTAGGAACCCGTTAATGGTGCCCAACTTGCTTATGAATGGGGCACCCGGGAGACTTTCGTCGCGGTCATCACAACCAACCTTCCGATGGTATTCCACCTTTTCAGAATTTGGCTCACCAAGGCCTTCGGCAGCAAGTTTGGATCGTCTCAGAAGACAAATTATAAATCGCCCTCGGGGCGAGGTTAGCAACACTTCGTGATTACGTACCGATCAGTTTGTGTATTCGCTCGGCTGGGTACGTAGGCCCCCTATTTTCGAACTATGGTTGATCGATATCTCCCGGGCCGGGCGCCGCGGGGCCTGTGATCTTCCGTGTTCGCGATGGCGGTGGTCGCCCGGCGCAGCTGGCCATGCCCCTTGAAAGAGATAGCAACAGTAGATCAGAACCTCAGGAAGAGTTTCTGGCCGGGCAGACCTCAAGAAGTCAAAAAATGGGCTGAAATGGTAAAATGTGAGGTGATCGGTGGGCGGATAATGGGTGACTCGCCGTGCATTCCCTACAGGACCAATCTTCGCCCCCCACGCATTATTATCCTTTCCAAGTCCTCCACGGCTGTCAATCAAAGGTGAGACAAGAATATCAATTTTAATTCATTAACTACTTGGTGACAGTATGAATCTTGCGGGCAAATCGGCATAATGTAATAGGCAGTTTGTTTGGTAGACACGGGGAACGCCTTTTATGGCGTGGAAACAACACGGCTGGATCGGAGTGTTGACGCTCGAGGTCAGGATACATATGTACAGGGTATTGCCTCTTGAAAGGTCAGGGTGTATTGATATTCAACAATTACGAAATGATGAGGCAGGTAATTAATCACCTCTACAATTTTTTGCTGTCACCACCGTCACTACCTAATTAACGTAGCAGTTTCTTTTTTTCATATATAAATTCTCCGTCAAATGGTGAGCAGTAAAAAAAGGTACTGCGAGGAAGTATAATCCAGTGTTATGGAAGCTGGTAGTATTCCTCCAATCCATCTTGCTTTAGAATATATCTTTGCAATGGCTAACCACTGAATACAGATTTTACCTACGAATAAAAACCTCGAAATGTGATATGTGGTATGTGACAGATAGATAAGGTTGAAAAAGAAACGAAAGGGAAAATAGATAAATCGACTAAAGAAATAAAATGGTGGGTTACAACGAAATGTTCAAAGTATATGCGGGCCATGCGTTGGGTGGCTGTGGTCAGCAAGTAGTAAGCGGAGAAACTTTAACCCGCTTCGGCAAGCGCCTTGCGCCATTGATATTCTCCTGTTCTGTCTCCTTGAGTCCACGGTATGCTCAAGCCTGTGGTCTGAAATGATGACCACGCCCTTCAACGAAGTGTCCGGCGATGGAACATGCCAAACTATTGATAAAATAGTTAGCAACTTTATCTCTCAACATCATAATAAGAGTCTAAACCCTCTTAGCCTTGCCAATATCTCCATTTCCGAATTTTCGACCGAATTGTCGAATCATTTGTCGGTACTAAACGAGGGTGGCAGTATTGCCTTTGGCCGTGGAGAAGATTTGACTAGCAAGAGCCTGAGCAAGCTCATAGAGAGCCTTTTCTCGATTACAACACCGTCCGTGAGGGAAGGACCACCGTTGACCTGGACGAGCCTTGTTCTATTTGCAGGTCCCCAGTTTGAGGGCCCAGCACAGCTTAAGGTCGGAAAGTCTAGCGTCGAGCTGTCAGAGAATGACCTCAAACTCTTACTCTCTGGTAGGCCTTGGCGGTTTCTCTTCCCTTGGCCAGATAAAGATGATTGTCAGAAGGAACTTCAATCAAACGACACGGTATTGCAGGAGCTTGTTGATGCTCGGAAAGTAATAGTCCAAGGTGAGTGCCTCAAAATCTTGTCTCATTGTGCTGTATAGGAGGTTAAAGCCGATCAATGTAGTCTTGGAACAAATTTCACTTGTTGAGCAACATCTCCGAAATCATCAGGATTTAGTCTCTCGGCTTTCTGAAAATAAGCACCACGTCAACAACCGAGGAGGAGCTCTACCCTTAGATGGTGATCAATACACTGTTCCAAATCAAGGTGTTTTTGGTCCTGTTGCCTCGACAGAACATGAAAGCCCTGGTTACGAAGATTCATCAACCACCCATACAACTGTCCAGCATGCTAGCAATGACCGGTCGGGTCAGCCAGTCAATGAAGAGCTGAATGATCCAGCTCTACCAGAAGGTGCCATTGCGAGGAATGACTTGCAACGAGCTGGCTCATGCCCTGAGAACGATGCAAACCCAGGACCCAGGCTACACGCATCCGACTTCATTCAGAATCTGAGCGAGTAAGTGAAGCATCCATTGGAACACCAATACTGTTACCCTGTGAACTAATATATGAAAGAATCCTTGATGATCCGAAGAATGGGGAAGTAATGCGTTGGTCAGAAAATGGACAATCTGTCTTCGTTGCCCCGGAAAGCAAATTTCCTGCGCATATACTTGCAAAGTTGTCTACTAAAAGTCACCAATCTCTCGTTCGGCGGCTTTATTACTATGGATTTCATAAAACCGGGGGCGACTTCCATCATGAATCCTTTAGTCGCGGTCAGCCTAGCTCTATAGGACCAAATCAGGAGATGAGCCAAAGCCCTTCACGTCCCTCGCCTCCTCGCAATAATGCTTCTCAACGTGGGCCTCGGTACAAAGTGATCAAAAGGAAGCGCCCAAGAGAAAGCATTTGAGAGATGCCAAAAAAATCTCAAATCCAACGAATAAGTGGTCGAAATGTCCGTTGAGCTTTTTTTTAGGACAACAGCCACCGAAGTTTTATTCATGGCCCGAACCGCCTACCTTTGCGTGCTCCAAATCTCGTCGGTCGATCGATAAAGCCATATCTTTCTCTGCGAAACGGACTACTCTTGTTGCCAGTGTATAATAACTTGCATAGCTTACTCTAACGCAACATATGCACCCACAAGCGTGACATGTTTACCTTTTATTGGTCTGCTACAGGTAGATGCTGTTGCAGGAGCTTGCCTCTATATTAGCTTCTCTATTTTCACTGCTCATTTCCTCCCGCTGGAATCGTGTAAGGAAACCGGTAGTCTTCAGAAATTCAGTGAGTTCAATACTATTATTGAATGCAGGGCTCAATTACTCAACTGACCAACGCTCAACATAGTTCATTACCTCAGCGTAGCGACCATATACGATCTTGCCTCTTAGGCTTCGTTCTTCGGTGTTCAAATATCCATTTACCGCAGAATAACCCTATCGAAATGGCCCGGACGTTGCGAGGTTGCTGGGGGTGAGCGCAAAACTTTGCACATCGCTTTGTTTAGTCTGTAAGTGTCCTTTAAATTGGTGAGAAAACTTCACTGTACTTTTCCCATTTGTTGAGTGTCATTGATCAAAGAGACGAGATTTGAGTTAGCAAGTCAAAGCATATTTTCTATGCGAACATCTCTCTCCACCATAGCAGCCGGCTCACTGTCCCGCCCCTGGATGTATCCCCGATTCAAAAGAGCGACTTTTCATGTAGGTATGTGAACCTCAGCCCGATCCTGTCTGAATCTGGACTGACGTCAAAGACGATGCGAAACAACCAGATCCGTGCATCCCGACCACTATATACCAGCGAAAAAACCACTGAGTTCTTTTCCTTCTCTGCGTCCTTGGTCCTGATCACCAGAACGCGTGAGTCATGAAATATCTCTCCGATCTACAAGCTAATGAGGAGCAGGGAACCGATGACACCGCACCCCCGTCAGCACTTCGCACAAACCTATGGCTTACACACTAATCCTGGCCCCATCGCTACAAAACCAATTAGCATACCCTAGGTGTAATATTGCGAATCAAGGCAGCGGGCAAACAACAGGGGGCAGACATCCAATTGTGAAATTCGTCGCGCAGAAGTGTGAGACGTCCTTTCTTCATGGCAAGGTGAGTGAGTTATCGCGCCTTCTGATGCGCCGGATCCGATTATTTGTGCCAAGTCTTGTGCCCCAAAACACGAACACCGCTACTGATTGTCATGCAATTGTAGGAGCAACTAGGGCTGTTGCGAATATTCGTCGATACGATAATTATCGACAAACTATCACATGCTATCCGAAATTAACCAAATTAGGACTAGTAGGCAGACTTTTCTAAGTAGTATCATTAATATAGGTAATGAGTTCCAACTTCCCCCCTTCTACCCCTCATACTTCAACCATGCAAACCCGTGGGAACCGTCTAAACTACTTCGCTTTAAATGATGGACCTGAAGACTGGTTGTCTAGCCAGGAAGAGCCGGTCCCATCATCCCCACCCTTTGGCGATAGTCAATCAGCAATCGGTACCAAAATCGATCCTCTTCTTGAATCTTTCGACGAAGTTTTACCTTCAGAATCCGCCTCCCAGCAGCCAGCCACGAGTTCGCTAAGCTCAATCCACGCCAAAAGAATGATTGGATGTGGAGACATCTCTTGATAAGAGATTTTCCGAACGAATGGATCGACAAGAGGAGTCAAAGGAAGATGGTCACTGATCGAGAGATTTGTTGTGCTATCACCAATGAAGATGGGACACAATGCAACTGGTCTACAACAGACTCCAAACGGCATGACTCTACCACCAACATTCGGCATCATTTGAAAGAGAAGCATGGTGTTCTACCACCTAATGTCTCCATCCCTGATCCAGCTCCGAAGCCTAATCTTATCAGTCTTTGGGGAAAGAAGGGAAAGATTACAGCTCAACAACTTCTTGAGAATAATCTTCTTCGTTGGGTTATTAGCAGCAAACAACCATTTACAGTCATTGAGTCCCCAGAATCTCGGCAATTATTCAAGGATATACCAGGGGTTTCGCCCCCATGTACCTCTCGACATACACTTCGACAGCGTCTTCTGGAAGACTTCAACTTACAACATGCTAAGTTGAAAGAAGAGCTTGCGACTACATGCCAAGCAATCGCTCTATCCCTTGATGTATGGACCAGCAAGAACCATATCCCAATTTTGGGTGTCATTAGCCATTGGCTTACAGAAGAATTTGACTATCGAGAGAAAGTCCTTGAATTCAAAGAGCTCCATGGTCCCCATAGTGGAGAGAACTTGGCTGCAGCTATTCAAGCTCTACTTGTTGAACTGTATCTTGAGCGTAAGCTGCTTTCAATTACTGGCGATAATGCTAATAATAATGAGCGAATGGCGTTACAACTATGCGATAACCTGCAAAAGTCGTTTGGGACCAATTCCTTATTCTGTGGGGATGCTTGGCCCATATCATCAACCTCATCGTGAAGGATATTCTACTGGCTCTGAGGTCCGGTAATACAGAAGAAGCTGCTTCTATCTGTAATAACCTTGATGAAGGAGAACACCAGTCATTTAAATTTCAGGCTATTGAACCACTTGCAAAGCTTCGGATCTTAGCTCGCTGGATTCAACGGAGTCCACAACGAAGGCAATCATGGAACGATACTTGCAACCGGATGAACTTATCTAACAAGTTCATCGAGTATGATTTCGATACACGGTGGAATTCAACCTCTCGCATGTTAGGGGATGCGTTAAAGGCAAGATCCTTCATTCTATATATATGCTTAATACTAATACTCTCTATAGTCAAAGCGACAGCTTGAGACGTTCATCTACTATGAGACTAGCTTCCTTTCCTTCTCATCAGATGATTGGATACGCGGCTTTCCCATATCCACAATGTTCTCTCGAGATTCAATGAGTTTACAAAGTTTGTCTCAGAGAAAAGACCACATATCAGTCTCGTTTTGCCAATATACTACGAGCTCCACGATTTACTACATGATGTGGCTGGGCGCAAGGAAGATTTTGCAGATCTTACTGAGGATATGCAAGTGCTGTTGGTGAGAGTATCAAGAAATATATCAAGTACTATACTTTTATGGATGCCTCTGATCTATACTATACTGCACCGGTCTTGGATCCTCGTGTGAAAGGAGCTCTCCTCCTAAATGAGTTGAGTGAAGAGAACGCTGGGAGGCACATTCTTCAAACTCTCCGTGATGACCTTCACCGCAAATATCCTGGGACCACTGAACCACTGGGTATGAGAGAGCTATGTGAGCCTAGTCAGAAGAAGCAAAAAGTGGGTAGCCGGATGTTACAAAGACTACAACCTCAAGATAGCCCTCGGTTTTCTGATATTGATCGGTATTTTGATAGCCCTCGGGCTGAAGTAAGTGATATGGAGGATCAAAACTGGCCGTGTGATTGGTGGAAGGTGTATAAAAAGGAATACCCTCGGATGGCTGCTGCTGCCAGGGATTACCTAGCAATCCCAGCCTCTGAAGTCTCAGTTGAGAGACTATTCAATACAGGACGGGACGTGCTTGGAGTACGACGGTTCTCTATGAAGGGAGAGACATTGAGGATCTTAATGCTATTAGATGATACGTATAAGTAGTTAACATAGAGGTGTGCATGCATATAGTCGTTCCTGGCTAAAATCCTACCCGAAGAGAGAGGTATATATTTATATATATATATGTATGCATAAACAGTGTAGAGCTTCCTATCCTTCTCCTGTCCACCTTAAACGGAGACTTTGTTTAGATCTACCATCTGCTCCGTCCAAAATTGGCGTCAATTTTTAGAAGCTGTTGCTAGAGTCATTATAATGGTGATCGAATTGGAGCAGATGAAGAGAGGAAGTGTCGAGTTCGAAGAGAGTTTACTCATTAGGGGGAGGTTCTTGCAGACGATACATAGCTTCTAGAACGTTCTATAGACTAGATAAAGAAAGCAGCAGTTTGCCACTCGACGGAGGACCAATCACTCTCTTGCGAGGGCAACTGGGAGAACACGACTACGGATCAGATCTCTGTTGCCTCTGTTGCCAAAAGTCTGTGTGATATTCCAAATACCTCACCTGCCCATCTGACCTCCTAAGCAACAAAGACCTGGTCGATCCGCACGCTGACGGCCCGTCAAGTCTCGGCCTATAGATCGCGTCCGAAACTTTACAAGTCCTTCCAATTTCTTCTCCGGGCCACAAATAGAACCTCCTTGATCTACTGTCCCGTGGATCATCGCTGGGATTTTCATCGCAGGACCGTACCAGCGTCCGTCCACATTCATGCGCGGTGTTTGATTGGTGCAACCGGTGCTTCATGTGTCCAGGGTCTCATCAGAGTGATAGTAGCGTTGCAATCCTGCGAGGTGGGCGACGATCGACGACGAACCAGATCATGAACTGTGGTAGCTGAAATGACTCACTTGGTTGTCCTGGAAACTAGGCTCGGGTTCCTATTCTCGGCTTTCCAACAAGGTCTAGACTCTTTGATTCTCCGTCAAAGAAAGACAACCAACACCCTGGATTTGGGAGTATGTTCATAGTGTCTGTGGCGCCAGGTAACAGAAGTTCTGGTGGAGGCAACATCAGTTGGCTGCGAGCAGCAGAAAGACGTACCATTCTAGCAGCGCGGGGCAAGGAAATAGACAAAGTTGATTGTAGTGGGATCAATGGCAGGCACTTCTTGAGGCCAACCACGGGTACACTCGAATGTGACTGTCTACCACAAAGTCTCCAAATACCATTTTAGCATCCGTTGAAGCATTTCAACCCTCATTAAAGAGACGGTGACCGTGGCGAAAATGGGCTGATGTAGAGTGCAAGCGCGTGGAGCGATTTAATTGCAGATTCAGTGATATTTAGGAATCATAATTTTGCGGTATTACTCTCTTCTCAACACTTGATAAAAGTGTTTCACCACACTCAACGCAAGAGTTCGACAGGAAAAATTCTGCGAGTACACTCGAGGCTTGACTCTGTCTGCCACAAAGGCTCGAAAACATCTCTTCAACGTCCTTTCAACCACTTCAAATATGGCCGCCCTTTCGCCATCGTTATGGACCTCAAAGCCCTGTGATGGAAATGACGGGATTGTAAATAGGGCAAGCCCTATCCACCCAAGCCGGTGAAACCATGGATTTGCCGGTAGGATTATCCTTGCCTCCCAGCTCGGCAAGCGTCTTCGATAGAGAGGAGCCGAGCTTCCCCAGCCTGGACCAGCAGACGGGTCCTTGGCAAAGCCAGCCCATGCTGTCTGCATGTACATGCTCAAAGCCTCTTGTGTTGGCGTGGCATCGCCAAGTTGGTTGGACATCATATACGTGCCCCAGACCTGCGGGATCTCAGACGTATGGTAGGCCCCGGCGTCGGGAAAGGTGTTGAGGTTCGGGAACACAGCGCTGTAGTGGTAGCGCCAGACGTCATAGCCATGGGCCCTTGCATACTGGGACAGCGCAGACGTAGTGCAGGTAAAGAGGAAGTCGGTGATGACCGCCGACGCAAACAGGTACACGTCGTGGGCGAGTAGCGAGTAGAAGGTGCCCACGGCCTTAACGGCAGTGGGGAATTGAGGAAATGTGTTATCCAGGAAGTCTTCGATGCTGGTGGTGTTATCGATGCCCGCCACTGCGGCGAACACGTGGCCCTCGTTGGCGTTGGTGCCCATGAAGAACGGCACCTGGGCGAACTGCTTGCTCCGGATGTTAGGCCGTACATCTGTGGACCAGCTGACGCTGTTCTCCACGGGCGGGAAGCCTACGCTCTGCTCGGTGATGTACTTCTTGATATCCTTGGCAGGGACACCCCGGAGGCAGGCAATGTCGGTGCATCCAAACTTCTTGAGCGTCTGAGCCCAGCTGGCGGCAGCCGACCCGGAGATTACGGTCCCCTCGGACTCCATTATGGCCGCGTGGAAGGGCAGTGGCGAGGGCGGCTGCGCCAGGATCTGCTTGACTGACTCGCCGCCGGCTGACTCGCCAACGATGGTTACGCGGGCTGGATCGCCGCCGAAGCCGGCGATGTTATTTTGTACCCACTGGAGGGCGAAGCGCTGGTCGAGTAGGCCGCTGTTCTGCTCGTCGGGGGGTATCTCAGGTGAGCCTGGGAACCCAAAGATGTTGGTTCTTCTCATGAGTTAGTTCAAACCTCCTAGTTGCTTAGCTAGGCTCTCACCTATAGTTGAAGGTGACAACTACCGTGTCCTGGAACCCTGCAAAAGATGATCCATTGTAGAAGAGCGGATACGCCGAGCCGAATTGGAGATTGCCCTAAGGATTATGTGTTAGTTTTCCGCGAAGCATGTCTCGTGTCCTTTGTGGCTGCCGGAGAGGCACTTACACCATAGATCCAAAAGAGAACGGCCTTTTTGTTCAATGGCGACGCATCTGTCGGCGCATATACATTCAAGTGCAGGCAATCCTCGCTCTCTGGAGGCGGCGGCCCTCCGGGGTTATTAAACAACTTCATTGTTAACTCGGACGCCGCCTTGGGGTCTGACAATGACATTCAGTAACTTTCCACAATACAAGATTTCGTTTCAGTGGGAAAACAATACTCACAGGGAAACTGCTGCATGCACGCAGGACGAAGAGACTTGACCTCCAACGGCTTACTCCAGGGTGTAGCCGCCGCCGGAGGCGCAAAGCGCCGAGTCCCCGTCGGCGGTGCGGCGAAGGGAATACCCAAATAATTGTACACAGTCGCAGAAGATTTGGCCGCCGACGTGACGGCCGTTGCGACTCCTATCACAACGCCCGCGTCAATGGTGACTGTCGGGTCGGCTGCGTTGCTAGCTACGGGTGCTAGTGGTGAGGCGTTAATACCCACGAGGAGGCATGTCGCCGCCAAAAGGTGGGGGCGCAACTGCATGTTGGCGTGGGAAGTAGACTGAAGATTGGCGATATGCCGACTGGAAGTCGACAAGAGAAATGAAGAGAAGAGACGACTCTCTGCACCCAGACAAGAGGAATGACAGGGAGTGGGAGCAGGAAAGAAACGGCAAGCACAACCGAACGTCTTTTAAGTCACCGTAACATCTAGTGCCTCTCTCACGGCAGGTCGTACTCCATCCTAGTATTCCGTGCATGTATTCTCAATCCGGATATTTCATCGATATCACCGACGCAGCTGGCTGGGTATCAATGACTGACTACCGAGGGATGGAGGATACCTTGTAGCATTTCGATTGGTCGCGTCCTCCCATGCTTTGCGGGGTACCTTCGGCCCACCTTTTGGCCCGCTTCGAGCTCAACATTAGCCGCAGTACTCATATTTAAACCAGTCATAACCCTCAACGGCCCTTCGCGAGCCTCGGTTCTTATATGTGAGGTAATACTCTAGTCACCGTAGTAGCTGGCCTAGTCCTGCTTCTCCTGCAACGTTGAATCATAGTAGATGACCCTGAGTCATTTTGTCGGCCGAGGAAAACAAGTTAATACTCGGGTCATTGAACCCAAACACCGCTAATGGGATATCGGACTGCGGAAATTAACTCTCTTCCCTCGGTACCCCTTCCATCGGCTCCACAAGGCCCCATCAAACCTCGGGTTACTCTATCTCAATTCAGCCCAAGGAACGTCTGTCACGTATTAAAAACCAGACAGCGCTTGGGCACGGGGACTTGCCCCGCAATTCACCAGGTATCTGGCTACAGCCACCCTCGGCGGGATCATTATGGAAGCTTGATGACGGCTTGAGGCAGCACAAGAGGAATACACTGTGATGTGTCAGATGCCAACCATCACACCCACCCCCTGCTTGCGCAGGTGGCAAAATGCCAGCTTGTTTGTAAGACGTTGATTCATTGCAGCGGGGAACAGTCTGGCCATTGCATCCTTATTTGCTCACGCCTTCAACTTAACTCACCCAAACGCTGTAGTTGACGACCTGCTAGCACTGCACGATTTGCAATCAGCTGTTGAGCCGCGAAAGCCGCAGTAATATTCTGAATTGCTGCTCTTTCAGCAACGACCAAGTCAGCCAACGCAATGGGCTTCAGGAGGCATGACCATCTATAAACCCTTTGGATGACAGTTCAGACATTGACAAGCCGTGTTTTATATATAGACAACGAGCATCGCGAGCATGTGAGGCATGTATTCACTAGCAACTCGCCGCTTTCCTCACTGTGGCCCTCGGGAGCTGCGGAGTCAAGGCATTTACCGGCGCTCTGCCCTTCCTTTCACGTTAGATTCTTGGTGCTGACATTAACTCGCGCTTCACCAGACTTGTCATGCACGAAAGGTATTGTATATCTTCTGCGTCTGAATTTGCATCAACCGACCTGTTAACCCCCTCACCGTCCAGGTCCGATGTGATGTTGCCACCCACGGTGTCCCCTGCACCAACTGCTTCGCCTTCCAGGTCCGGTGCTGTATTCCAACGCCAAAACCCAGGAAAACCCAGAATGCCAACGGCCAGATCAAGGGGAACTCAGATAGGTGCTCTCAACACCAATGCTGCTGTCCAAACCTCGGTAGCAGAACCTTAAGTCTAGTGGCAAAGCTAATTCTCCCTTCCTGCTAATAGGGATTGCCATGGGGTAGACCATCAATCGCAGCAGCAGGCCTCCAATCACCCCATTTCATGCCCTTCATGGGGACGTCCATTATACCATACCACCAACGGCACCCCTTCAACCTCACAAACGGAAGCCCAAGCTTTGACAGAACAAGTCGACAATGGGACTCTTTTACGCTTGGTTATGAGGCCAAAATTCACTCGTGCCTCAATCACCGATGCCGGTCGAGTTGTATACCAAGGCGAATCCGGCAACGTTACGTTCCTAATCCAGGGCTATCAGGGCGGCGCCAACGTACACTATCCGCATCCCGAGAATATAGGGAAGCCTGGCACCAAACTCAATAAGCTAGACAAGTTCGAGATGGACATTCTGCACCAACGGGGTGCCTTCCTTCTACCACCGCGGTCCCTCTGCGACCGTATTATTGATGCCTATTTCAAGTGGGTGCACCCTACTGTACCGGCCATTAACCGCACCCGCTTCATGAAGCAGTACCGAGATCCTAAGAATCCGCCGTCTGTACTGCTTCTTCATGCCATCTTGCTAGCTGGCTCGCGATTCTGCAATGATGAGGGTTTAGCATGAGCCGACGGATTGGTTGTCCCAGATGCACAAATCTTCTATAATCGCGCCAAGGCTCTCTACGATGCGAATTATGAGGATGACCGTGTGACCATTATACAGTCAGCGTTGTTGATGGGATGGTATTGGGAAGCCCCCGAGGATGTTACTAAAAATGCCTTCTACTGGAGCCGGGTCGCTACAGTTATTGCCCAAGGCTGCGGGATGCACCGCACTGTTGAGCAGTCACATCTTAGAAAGTCGTACAAGAGACTTTGGAAAAGAATATGGTGGACTTTATTCACGTTGGATCGGTCTATAGCTGTCGCCCTGGGACGCCCTACCAATATCGACCTTCAGAACTGCGACGTAGAGATGCTGACGGAAGACGATTTTGTCGAGGAAGACGCGGATGGCGTGGATAGGCTCAACGTGTTTTCACCAAATCCGGTACACGTGCAATTCTTCCTTCAATACGTCAAGCTATGTGGGATCATGGGCATTGTGCTTGCCCAAAACTACCCTGTTGTCTCCAAAGAGCAACGAAACCCCACTGCTGGGTTGACAACCTGCAGCGATACAGCCTTGACGGAATGGCTCCGTGACTGTCCCCAAATTGTCTACTGGGAGGCGCCACGACATCACTTCTGGGCTGCGATCTTGCACTCACACTACTATACGACGCTTTGTCTGCTACATCGAGTACCCCCAACCCTAGGAGATTCCGCTCATTCCAGGAATACTTCTTCGCAGGCGGCGGCGATGATCACCTGTATTGTCGAGATCCTGGCGTCATCCGATCAGCTGCGATATAGTCCGTCCTCCATTGTTCATAGTTTATTCTCAGCGCTGATCATCCACATCAATGAGATAAGCACATCAGTTTCAACGATCCGCCATGGGGTCACAGACAGGCTACGCAGCTGCATGTCGGCCCTGAAGGAGGTGTCCCATGTGTGGGTGACGGGCAAGATGGCATATATTCTCTTTGAGTCGATTATTCGCAACAATTCGCCCGAAGATGGTGTGCAGATTGCCGGGTTGGAAAAACGTGAAATGCACCAGAACCTGTTCCAGCTGAAGCAACAGGCCACAGAGAAAGATGCTTCGAAACAGGGAGAAAGAATACGCCATAACCTTGTGACTGCCAGCCCCAGAGAACTGGCATCATATAGACGGTCGCAGCCGCACATACCAAGCACAATCACGAAGCGGAACGACGGATCGAGACAAGACCATAACACCATATCCCAAATGGCGCCCTCCGACGTGAGACCAGGCATGCACGGACAGGTAGGGGATTGGCCTCAACAAGACTCCGGGTCAAGAGCTGGACGAATCCAAATTGGCGCTCACCAGGGACCATATACTACGTGGCTTCCCGGTCTCGATGTGGAAATGCCGGACGGCCCGTGCCCGGATAGTTGGGGCGTGACGCAAGGGGAGCCTGCGCCAATTACGTTGGACCTAAACGACTGGTAGGGTCTATTGTTCGCAATATGAGGAGATGTTGCTAAAAAGAAATTCCTAGGTTTGAGTTCTTTGGCATTATTGGTGATACGAGCACCCTAAACTTAAACTTCGACTGTTAAAATCAAGCATAAATTAGGTGAACCGAGAGTTGAATGGAAGCCAGCTATCCTCGTAGCGCTGCAAGTCCTATAAGGAACATGACAAACCCCAAGCTCCGGATTGGACATTTCCTCGTGTCCACTACCCCCAACCTACCCAGCGTGGTCCAGACTAGCATGCATCCCCTTTGTATGATCAGCGGCCTTTCTCGCAGCGGCTGCAGCCCGTCTAACATCGTTTCTCGAGTGCGTCGACGAAGGAGCGCATCTACCAGTGTCTGGCCATCTTTATGTATACTTTGATATTGTCTCGCCTCTTTGTTCTACAGCAAGAGCCCGTATTTGGGGAGTCATGGTGCCGGGTGAGAGCGTGCGAAGAACATTAACCAAGGCGCGGAACAAGGTGGCATAGAACGCTTCTGAGGTGCCATCCATGAGGTTCTCGACAACTGAAACGACGGAGGCAATGTCCACGACGATGTCACCGCTCAAATGCTTCTGTACAAAAGGCGTTTTTCCTCGTCTTTTACCCGGTGTTTCGATGCTTTGTGAAAATATTTAATCCATTGGATTCCAATTTCATCGGTAGTATAACCGTTAAGTGTTGTGGTAATAGTATAATCGTCTGGAAGGCCAGTGGTTTTATACCAACTTTCCATGTGATATTTTTCCTTAACCAAAAACCACGGTGACATCGCTCAACCATCGGCTGCAATACATTCGATTCCGGTAATTCCTTCGGAAATGCCTCCATTGGGTGAATAAGTAGTCAGACTTTTCGAAAAAAAACTTTTTCGGATCGTCCTTGACCGATTTGGTAGCCGGTTTCGTCGAAATTGTAGATTTGCCTCGGTTCGAGTTTATTCGACCGAACGAACATCTCAAACGTTCGTACCAAGCTGTTAGAAGGGTAATATCTTCTGCTTCCATTCTTTTTCGCTCTTTTGGTTTTTGTGTACTCCAATTTAGCTTTGTTCGTGGTGGAATTCGACGAAGAAATGTATAGACCTAATTTTTGTTTAGCGGTTTTAAACGCGTCGGGTCACCGAAGTAAAATTGCATTTGTACATCCTTGTATACGTTTTGAATTAGGTGGAGCACCAGCATCATCTAGAAAGTTGATCCATAAAAGCAATGCTTCTTCATGGGCCTAATTACTGCTTTGGTGGCCGAGATACGATTTTTGGCTAGATGTGCAACCGTGAATTCGACCGCGGAGCTGATGGTATGAAACCTGAATTTCTTCGGCCAAAGGTAGGATTTTAGGGTTTTCGCGAGCATGGTAAGTAGAAATAGCATCCAATAGACGTATTTCCTTCTTATCTAGCTTCTTAGGCATTTTGGTAGGGTATGAAAGAGGGTTGAAGTTGGTGGGTTTTGATTTTTTTGTATTACTCTGTGGATTGCATTACGCTGTGGAAACCCAACCCCCTGCGAACCGGGTAAGGGTAAATTAACGATTAATTATTGTCACCGTCATGGCACGAAGAATCGGATATGATGATAATAGTGAAAATCAGCGTTCGGCTCCACTTATCGGGACCCGCCTAAACGGTTCAGGATCATCAATAACCAGGCATGAGCCCACTACCGCGGCTTGAAGTTGGGCTTTATTTCACAGTCGACTTGGGTTCAAATGAGTTCCTTGACCCCATGGTGTAACCCGAATCCCGTTCAGTCTCACATGTAGTGACTGGAACGGTATAAACAACAGTAAAAAAATAAATATCTTGGCAAAATTATGCAATTCAGGTTCCAGTTTCCAACTCTGGTACCAGTGTCGGACCATGCCGAGGCCTAGTTAGTTATCACTCCATGCGCTGACAAAAAGCTATTCACCCGTCGGCCTAAAGTCATTCCGTTGACTTCGACTTCCCGCAAACACATGGGCGATGAGAGGATTTGTAAGTGCCACTTAGAGATTTGCAATCTCTCGGTATATAACTATCGACGTTGTATTCTCTTCTACCCACTCATCCCCAACCGCCATGTCGACCCAAAAGGCCATCATCGTTATTGAGCCAAAGAAGGAGGGTCTGGTTACTGACCGACCCATTCCAACCCTCCGGGATGACTATATCCTTGTCAAGACAGTCAGTGTGGGCGTGAACCCTACTGACTGGAAGCATGTCGCATTCCTCTCGCCCCCTGGCGTGCTAGTGGGATGCGACTATGCCGGTGTCGTGGAAGCTGTCGGCAAGAATGTCAGGAAGCCTTTCAAAAAGGGCGACCGCATCTGTGGTTTCACACACGGCGCCAACGCAGTCCAGCCCGAAGATGGTAGCTTTGCCGAATACATCGTCGCCAAGGGCGATCTGCAGATGAAGGTTCCCGACAATATGAGCTTCCAGGACGCCGCTACCCTGGGTGGCGGTATTATCACTGTCGGCCAGACTCTTTATCAGAGTCTAAAGATGGCACTGCCCACTGAGCCCATTAAGAATGCCACGCCCATCCTCATCTACGGCGGGTCCACCGCGACCGGCACCCTGGCCATTCAGTTCGCGAAGCTGTCCGGCTACAAGGTCTTTACAACTTGCTCCCCTCGCAACTTCGACCTCGTTCGTCGTATGGGCGCTGATGCTACCTTCGACTACAAGGATACCCAGTCTGCCGCCGAAATCCGCAAGCAAACCAACAACAACCTGAAGCTCGCTCTAGATTGCATCTCGCTCGAGGCCAGTGCTAAGTTCTGTGATCACGCCATTTCCACCGAGGGAGGAGAATACACCGCCCTCTTGAGCGTGAAGATCGAGCGTGTGAACGTCAACAATGGCTTCACGCTGGCTTATACGGCCCTTGGCGAAGCATTCAGCTTCGGCAACATCCCCTTCCCACCTAAGCCGGAAGATAGAGCATATGCTGAGAAGTTCATCGCGATTTCTGAGTCGCTGTTGGCACAAGGAAAGATCAAGGCTCACCCTTCCAAGGTGGGCAAGAATGGCTTGAAGGGTGTTTTGGAGGGACTTCAATTGCTGAAAGAAGACAAGGTCAGCGGAGAAAAGCTAGTCTACAATGTTGCCGAGACTCCTTGAATTATTATATTAGGTCTTAAATCTTGGTTAAGTCGTAAAATGAAGCAGACGGCAGTCGATATTGTACTCTGTGCTATTGTTCTCTTCTCACCCTTCGGGGTCATTGCTGTTCTCTATCGTAATACGGCTCTGGACGCAGTGCTATGTCCAAACTGGCTTTTTTGGTGCTATTTCTCTTCTGTTTTATTGCCTTAAACATAACATACACTTAGAGGTAACTAATTCGCAAATAATTCTCATAGTCGTTGTCTGGTTATCAAGCATGCGTTGTCAGATTCCAAGGTTGCAAGGACTGACCCCGGTGTTGGAGCACCCGAATAGTCCTGCACCTCATATGTCCGTTTAACCGTATCTAGCCCCGTGTCTATGATACGGGGCGCCCTCTCTAACATATTCGCATGCTTTTTTTTATCAGATTTGATTTACGACGACATTGTTTCTGGCGCTTTGCTTTCCTGGTGGGAACAGATTGATGTGGTCGGTACGAGGTGTGACGGCCATTTCTAAGCAGCCAGCTTAACGATTTGAAAGAATCAAAGAGAGAAAACAAGCTAAGGAAGCTAGTTGTTATGTAGTCTCAATTTTGTCCTGTAGACAGAAAGAAATAGGTTAAAAATGGACGAAAGTGCACGAACATGCACCAGCTTCTTCAATACTTGCACCAGGCCACGGTTTTCTGGCATCCCTGGCCATGGTCAGAGGTGATGGAAAATGCTGTACTGTTGAATAGAATCGCTTTTTTTGGGGTCGAAGTTTGAAGCAACTTATTCAGCTCAACGTGCATTAGGATTACGTAGCAAGTTTGGTAAGTCTGATAGCACGACCATTTCAACGCTTACCGCACTCAAAAGAGAAGTTCTGCTGATCAGAAAGCTGCGGTGCTATTCCAGTCCGTGAATGGACCCTAAACAGCGCGCATTTGAAACGGTGTCCTCAGCAAAAATTCCGTGGAGATTCATCGTGGCTTTGCGGTCACGAAATAGGTTCGACATATGTTATTTCTCTGCCATTTGCACTTATGGACCCCGAAATAGAGATTAGACGCGAACATGAAGCATACAGGATGAATGGAGAAATGATCCTAGGAATATGAGTCTCAATAAGCGGGATCAAATTTTAGAACACGGACAATAAGAGCGGGCAAGAGAAAGAAGAGTTGATTAACTGGGCAAAAATATGGTGCAAAGACACTATTTGAAGAGAGGCAGGATATCGATGAGCGATAAAATGTAACGGGTATTCGAGAAATGACAAACATGCATCTTCAATAATGCGTTCTACGCTATCGGCAGAATAAACAAATATAGACATCTAGCGATACAAGTGGTATAAGACCTATAGTGGTGGAACCATGGAGGTTAACGGGCAAGAAAAGATTTGCAACCGGTGATCAAACATTTAGTTGCCTCAGAAATGCAAGTACAAAACGGTCGAAAAGAATAATAAACTGATTAATTCGTTCCTTTTCCGTTTAAACACGGTGAAAGAATTAAGGTGTTCATTGAATATTGACAGAAATCTGCCTGTACGACAATGTATGGGTAACCTCTGGGGTATTGAATTCTCTTTACACCTACCGGGTATTGGTGCGCCCTACCAGATGCAATATTTTCACCAGATGCAAGATTTTCAATTTGTCAACCTATGAACTATTTACAGGTAACCACCATGGCTATCTATATACCACCAATTTGCACTATTTGTGTAGTGCGCAGTGCTTTTCGTAGTTGCGTTGAACGGAGAGGTAGACGGAACGCGTGTTGGCACCGAGTCCATTCCAGAGCAGCTTTAGTTGGCTTGCAATGAGCTGAGGAGCTCGGGAAGAGAACCACGCTGGCGGCTCAATACCGACGAGAGGTCCTGCCAGTGGGGACAAATGTTAGCAACGTCTGCAAATTTATTACGTGAGAGCCGCATCTGCTAATGTGTTTTTCCCGGAGGGAAGCCAGTGTGGCACGATTTGGATGTCTCTCGCCGCCGCTAGCATAAGTAGGCTTTTCAGAGGTGCGTTAGGTGGTCCATGAAGGAAGCCTTTTCTTAGTCCCGTGTGGATAACGAGAGAATGATGAAGCCAATGGTGGCTGAAGAGTAGGAAGCCTTGTAAGATGGCGTCTACTTCGGTGGTATTGATGTGCGCATGTGCGTCTTGAGCAAGGGCCAGTGAGGCATCATTGCTTGGATGAAGCTGATGACAATGGGCCAGCCAGCAGTCTGCTGTAGACTTGGATGAGAAGAAAAGCCCCTGGCCTGTATTGGAGGCATATGTGTAGGGATGTGTGATTGTGCGGCGGCAAGGGTCAAGTAGGAGTACGCCGTTGAAGAGAAACAAAGAATCCCTCCACCATTCCAAATCATCACGTACCTCGTAAGGTATATGGCGGCGCGCGCTTCTCCCACGTGGGAAAGCGGCTTGGAAGGTGTAAAGAGACTGTAGCCTTGTTCTTCCTAGCCGGACAACTCTTGAGCAGAAGGCTAATAAGCCTGTGAGACACTGTATTGTTTGAGGGAAAGACTCGATGCGCTGAGCGCAGCTGCGGCGTCCAATGTGGCGCGGCACAACTTTTCTGGCGGCAGGCAAGCTTCCATTGCAATATAATCCATCTGGATACCTAGAACTGTATTACAGGTCCCTTGATCCTCCTTTCTGGTGTTGCGTGGCAAACGTAGGTAGTCGGTGACTCCGTTTTTGACCTCATCAAAAAGACCGTCAGGGTCGGACATTGAGGGAGACTAAGGGCGATGAAGTCATCTAGGTAATTGTTGATGTGGAATGCAGGCAGAAGGCATTGAAGTACCCAATGGACAATTTACAGCGAACGTGTGACGGAAATGGGAAATTAGCCAAGCGACTGTCAATCATACGTGATTACACGTGACCAGACACTCGGCATTGGGATCAGCAACAGAGAGCATAGCCGTCATAACTAACTTATGGAGTTTTGGAGCAAGCTTAGCAACCAAATGAATGAAATCCGGATCGTTAACCCCACAGAGCACTACGCGACCGTTTCATATTTGCAAGTGCTAGATGTCAATGCACCTAAAAATGCTATTGATAGTTTGCTTCATTTGAGATATGTGACAGAATTCTGTCGGTACGACAACGTATGGTCAAAAACATATATATTTGAATCTCTTTCTAAAATGACAAAACCCGCGTTTTCAACAATCTGGGCGGACATAGATGACTAACTGTAATATGCACTTTTGTATGGTATGATTGGTACCAGTTGTCACATGATTTTCTGGGTATTATACCTTGTTTCCACCATGTATTCAATCTTAGTATTCGACAATATGTATTAGCTCGAAACCGAGTGCCGGTAGATAAAAGCGCTTGCAGCATCATACCTAACGGCGGCGACCAACGTAAATGCCGACAGCGATTCCAGCTGAATGGAGCCTTGTGGAGCACGAAGATGGTTCTTGTTAGTGTTGTGATATGAAGCTGGTGCAGATCAGGAACCAAGCCGCACCGTCGGAATTAACTCCGAGGGTCTATATGGACGACCAAGTTGATTTCCAATCAACTTGGCTCATTGTTGTATATATAGGCTCATGTATCCATCTGAAATAATAAGCAATTATTCCTCTGAAATACAACAGTTAGCAGAAAACACATCGCGGGTCGGCAGGAGAGTCTTGACAAATTCTATCCCCTTGGAACTCTTTAGCTCATGGGGCCATTTCCTGTTTCTAGGAAACTGAAGTCTGTCTACCCCTAGGATCTTCACTCTACGTTCCTGACTGAATACGGTACTGGCTTTGGGAACACATTAGCTGGATCTGGGAGCTATTGCGCTCCTGGGACCCTACTTCTGGATCCTAGAGTCAATATTCTGCCCTCTGAGGTCGCGGAAAGCCCTCACAAGACACCTTCACCAGACCTGAGCACAAATATGAGTCATTCGACCACTCCCAGAAGGCTTAGCCATAGCCCCAGGAACCGCACTTATGATTCTAGGAGTTAATAAAGCTGTCAACAGAAACATGACTTTGGTTCCTCGAGTGGATGTACAAGACCCCGGAAGCTACGTACGATTTCCGGGGGCTATGTGATTCCTGGACAGCTCATACTTTTTTGGGGTCGGCTTTTGAAGTCTTTACAACCACCAAGATTGATGGATATTTACACAGAGCAGGTCGTCAACCATCACCTCTCTGAATACAGCTCCAATATCGGCTACGATCGGCCGGCTAGTCAAATCAGGAGATGCACATGCTTTGATTTAAAATCTCGAAATTGCCTGGCTCGGGGGGTATTATCGGACGGGAAAAGTCCCAGGCCTGCCACCGCTCCTGGTACTCATCTTCATCAAAGTCATCGTCATCCATGGCACCTGGAGGGTACATAGGCTCTGGTCCGATGTGATCACCGTAACTAATATCTTTATACGGGATTATTTGTTTGCCCCATGGCCTTCTGGTCAAGGACTGATCCCAAAGCGGGATCGTTCTCGCGATGACCCTTTCGGCCGCATCATACAGTCCCCGATGCTCAATCGGGTGAACATTGTTGATGTAAGACCTAATGTTACAGCCAAAGTCTTTTTCTTTCGCAATGAAATCTTCCACAGTATCGTACAGCCCTCGATGGTCAATTGGATGAGTGTTGTCGACATAAGATGAAATTGATTTCGATCAGCAAATTCAATATCTAAATCATCTCAGCAACTCTGCAGTAAAATCCATTCCTTTGCATGAACCTATCCGTCGCATCTCTCTAATGTTTCTGGACTCCACCTCCCTCCCCCATTCGTCGAAAATAACCATGGAATTGTGCGATTGTTTTTATTCGTAATCCTCGCTGACTCACCCTTCACAGCCCTAATCTAGGAGGTAGTTGGAACCGCCACTTTGACTTTTCTGTAGCTCGGTGCGCGTGGTCTGCTAGTGACCGCGTAAGCCACGTACGGCAAAACGCAAGAGAGACATGATGACCACTAGAACTCCGAAAACGGCCTGGCCAACGGCTCCATAATACATAAACTTATAGTATAAAAAGTGGGCCGTACTGTCAAAAAATTCGAAAGATTTCTGAAAACCATGGACGTGGCTGGCAACATAACCCCCTAAGGAGAGAACGATCAAGCTCACGACGATTTGAATACAACCATAGTAAAATCGGGCGGCGCAGTTCTCTTGTAGCCACTTCGGGTAGATCAAAAGGACCAACCCGAACATGGAAAACAGGGCTGAGACCAGGGCTACAATCACCATGCCATCGACGACGTTGTCCATGAGGTTTTGGAATGTGATGTCCAATATAGAGTCGCTCGGGGTGACGAGGTCGGATTTTGCACGGTCTCGCAGGACGACCGCAAAGTGTACAGTGGTCGAACTGAGACTAGCAAGGGCCAGCCAAGTGATGGTAAGGTAAATAATGACAAGTCGCATTCGTATCATGGCGGTGGCAGTTCTTGGAGACATTTTGTGTCCGCAAGAATAGAGTTATCGAGTGTGAAAAGGTGAGGCAGGTGTCGCTCAAGGGAACAGTTGAGCAAAGTAAAGAGTGGGAGGCAGAAAGATGAAGCAGGTCATTATCTCCGGGTACTGTAAAGGTTATATGTGCTAGGTGATCTTCACGAAATGCTGCCTCTACAAAGAATGACCCAGCTGATACTAAGCGGCGCCGTATACCATTTAATTGAGTGTCTTAGTGGCATTCCACGGAGGCTTTTACTAGATAAGTATGTTTCAAATTGAAGCACTATTCCTATGCTCAAGGCCGATGGCCTCTACAGAAGTGTCTGATCTCTCAGTACGGATCCCCGGAAATCACCCGTTTGTTCCCAGGATTTACTTTCCTGCTACTATATTATTATCCTCCTTAATATGTGTCATTATTGCGCGTAACACTTCTCAAGATTGGACGAACACCGACAGCAGATTTCTGATACCGACGTAGTTTGCCTTGGTCGGTTTGCGATACCTCACTCCGCTATACTTGAGGAAACTACGGTTTGCTGTTGATTGAAAACCTACCCAACAGCCCCCAGAAAGATGTAGTCAACTCTTTTCTATCTTGTTGAGCTTGTGTTTAAAAGCCAGTGTAGGATGCGTCTCTAAGCCATGACAAAACCGTCACTGTTAGGTGAACCAACGCGGCCGATTAGGAAACGAGTTTCGAGTGGGAAATTTAACAAAGTCCCACTATTGGCAAGGAAACCAACATGGCTCAGATGGATATTTTCTATGGGCGGAAAACAACATGCTGCTGGTGTTCAATGGTGTTTTATGTTCAACGTTGATGTCAACGCTGATTCAACTTTCTGACACCATTCACTACCCTTACATCGCCAAAGGTGCTGGAATGAGAACACTCAAAAGATACTATCATATCGGCACAATACCAGCGGATTATGATCAAAGAACCTATAGCGTTCAGTGCTCCTGGAAGCACAAAACAGACTTTTGGCCAGTCGGATCTTTATCGTGGCTGCGCGGCGCGGCTGAATCATCGCCTTCTAACAACCCCCAAGGCGTGAGAAATGGAACTCCCTTCCACACGTTCCTATTCATGAGCAACAATAATTTGGCAGCCATGTTGCTCCTGGGAATATACTTCAAATCGATTGGTGGCTCCAGCACCATGTGGATATGACGACTGGATTAAAACATCATTGATTCGATCGTTGGTGTACGCACCACAATTGTGGCCACATATTGACATCCATAGTCCTCCTAGGAGCCGGTGCTGATAATGGTAACCCGCAAAATCTTGACTGTGGATATGGTGGGCATGACCGCTTCAGCCCCAAACATTTAAAAGGTCATGATTGTCCTCACGGTCGAAGCTCTTGTGTCTTTCTTTTGCTCCAATAACTTGCCAGTACAACACCATCACTAGCGAAGCCAATCAATCATGGATCACAACCTGTCACAGGTATCAGAGAGGTCCAATACCCCCGACACAGAAGGTCACAATGGACGTACGGGGCAAACTGGTATCGTTATTTTAGATCCCCTTCTCGAGAAATCCAACAGCTAACAAATCTATTTCATGAAGGCAATGAATCGGCTGAAAACTTCCGTCGGGTCGTTGGCCTATTCATCCACGGGAATCGCGGCCACACAAGCCAGGTTTTACAACCGCCTGTTGACCAGTCCACTGGCTCCGTAACTACAGAGGCAGTTACTTCCGTTGGTACCTCTCTTGCTAGCTCAAGGGCCCCTACGTTGCCTCCAAGCGTCATAAAGGCTGAAAGCCAAGACCTGCCCCCTCTGGACGCGAAAAAGAGAGCAGCCGAATCCTCAACCCTCCCACGAAAGCGACGCCGACATTCATACTCCACCTCTCAAATACCGGGCCGCTCACAACTGGTGCATCGAAAGAGACCCCCAAGCAATATAAAAATCAGTAGGAAAATGGTCAACGATACAATTCAATACCTACAAACGCTATCCGACCGCATCTTGATCTCCGACGCCATTCCCCCCAGGGAGTGGGCCACTATGCGTCTCGCCACCCAATTGCTACAGAGCAGGTACGAAGAGATCATCGCGAGGAAAGAGATGGAACCAGACGCTGTCTCCGATTTTGATTCCCCACCAACACAGCAAGAAAAGAAGTGCCAGAAGTGTGCTGCTGCGGACGAGGAGCGGCTGTATGACTAAGACGCTCCTCGTCCTTCTAATCTAGCTGGCTGTATTTTGATAGCATAACTGGGCCTTGAAAATTGACGGGGGAATATAGTGTTATATAACCAAGAATCGGTACATGATAACCTGTTAGCCTTCAAATCTAGCAGTCCATGACTAAGGGACTTTCAGGTGCGAAGATGGGTTGAACGATTTCCTGTGTGATGTTAGTCCACTCGACAAGCAAAGAAAAAATGCAAAAACCAGCTACATCTTGATCTCCAATCAATGCAATAGAGATTAGAGAAACCAGACAGCGTGTGCGAGACAAATCGGGAATAGCAATGATGAAGAAATACATTTTCGCATGTCGAATTGCCTCGAATATTAAAACCAGTCACTCTTTAGATTATTAAACCCGCTTCCCTCGTAGTGTTGCAATAGTTCTGTCCTCTACCATCTACAAGAATTGAAAAATTTGTGCCGTTCAGTTAATCGGCTCATGACTGCTGGTCCTTACAACTCGGCCGTTTGGCAGTCATTCTGGGTCTCAATGTCAGCATATTAATTCAAGTGACTCATTATGGCATCACTTGTAGACTCTATTAGAATCTAGTATTGGTAAGACAGGTAAAGCTAGAACGCCGAGACCCAAATCAGCCGTGCCAGTATTCGTCGGAGAATTGTGTGAGAGCGACTCGACGTGCTGAAAGGCGAGCTTCCAAGTCAAAGGCATACCTAACCATAACCAAGTCCACCGGATTATCTTTCCTCATCTGGCCAATATAGTCGTTGCAGCGTCAACTAGATGCTGGTCGTAGAAGTTGCGAGTGATCATTTCATGGCCATGTAAGTGGAACTCCCTCTGTGCAACGCAATAATTACTGGCAAGTTTGCCATTTCATGAGCCTATCAACTACTGTAATAACCATACCATGCCTGATCCGATGCGCTAGTTGACTCATGAGCGAAACATGAGGCCTCCATTACAAAGAAGCTGCAGCAGATTCTGGCTCGTTTGATAGCTTCCGTCTTTTTATTTTTGGCGCGTTGTCAGTCATAGGAAACCTAGAATTTGTCCGTGGACAGACAGCATTCCCTAGAGCCGTTAAGGGTAACAAGATTCTGAGGAAGTTGAGTTATGCTGAGCAGTGCAGTCATGTATCGATTCGTATGGAATTCTTAATTAGCTCGAGACTCATGTTCATGATGGCTGAACAGCTCATTGTCAGTTCTAAAAGAATACACGTGCCGTTAAAAGTTTGTATGTAAGCGCTGTGGCTCATCGGCCTCATCTTACGACAGTCAGTCGAAGCTGCCATCTCCTACCATTGCCGAGAGTCCAATCCTTAACACCGCGCTACAAATTAAATGGAATTCCACTTTCTCTCTTAATTCTTGCACGTATTGAATCCGAGAAAACACACTCTTCTCATCATGTCAACCAACCCATTCAAAGAAAACATGATATGTGACCTTGGCACTATAAAAGCTCAATCTCAGCTCCCCATCTCGATGTCAACCCCCATCACCTGCGAGAGTCAGACGGCGGCCAACACAAAACCAACCAGACCTCGCCGCCGCAGCAGATCGAAGGTTGTTACGGGGCTTCCCAAGAGCCTTTGTCTACCCCGCTTGTGTGGTCTTGAAAACATTGCATCCGTCTTGATCGTAAGGCAGGAGTCGCCGTGGGATACCTATCGGAAAGTCATTACGTATGAGATCGCTGGCAAAGTTACAATTGCCACACGCCGCACCCGTCCGTCTCGCATGGTAGCGATCCGGACCTATCGGAAAGAAAATGCTCGAAGATTAATCTACATATTCGGGCGTCTTGAACACAGGAACGTTCTCTCATTACATGAATGCTACATGCACGAAGATCTCGCGTTCTTCTTGGTTGACGACTTGCCGCTGACTCTCGCGCATGTTGTTGCTTTTCCATCTGTTTATCCCAGCGAGGCAGAATTGGGATCGATTATATGCCAGGTTTGTCCATCATGGCCCTATCGATGGAGTTGTCCTGACATTTTAGATCCTCGACGGTGCCCGCTGTTTAGCTTTATCTGGTCTTGCGCATCAATCTTTAGCCTGTGACGGTATATTACTTAGTATTGACGGGATCATCAAGTCTCTGAGAAATGTAAGTTCTCCTAGCAAGCTATCGTATTTCGCTAATTCCCAGTAGCAACCCCTCTTTGGCGGCGAGGCACCGTCCAAGCGATGATCTGGTCATTCTGGCAAGAGCAGCTCTACTCTCCAGTAGTGTGAATTGCATTTATAATTCCGAATTCAAGAATTGTTAACGGGCCAAGATATGGCGCACATTTCCGTGGACATTTCATAAGTTTTCGTCATGGTCGTACGGCTACATCGATATACAATATTCCACACGTCTCCTGCAGTCCCCCTTTTGTTATCAGTGTACTGTGTTTCCCTCACGTCATAACTCATTGTTTTATTCTACTCAAAGTTGTGCTGCTACTATCGCGTTCAAGTGGCCTTACTGCTACATAGTTAACTATACGTTACTCGTGCAGAATTAAAGGCTGACATTGAACATCGTGCCCCTGGTGACATGCGTTAACCTCGGTTCTATAATGAAGTCTCAAGCATGCTTTGGAAAGAGCGAATAATCGCTCTACTAATTATTCGCTCTACTAAAGAAGACCTAGCTCTTCAAAAAGCGATCTTTGAGATCGCAACGTTACTGAATTGCCAAATGTCCACAAGAGAAGAATTTTAAGCATCAAGAACCCAAGAACCAGAACAGAGAAAATGACCAAGATAATGCGAATGTCCCAGAAGTACTGTACATATGTCGCCCGTAGACTTCAATCACAGGGTGAATACTGGGAAGCGAAAACAAATGGTGAGCAACGGCAGTCACGGGTGAATACGGCTTCGTTCCTAATCTACACCAGCCTCATATCACGACAAACTTGCTAGACCAAAAATGACAGCATTCGCCTCACCTTACCTTGCACGCCAACCTGGCTGGCTGCGAAGGTGCGGCTCACTTGCCATGAAACAAGACAAAAATATCAGTGTTTCTCGGTATCTTTGAGGATGTCCAGCCAGTCCTGGAAAGAGGAAGAGCATAATCGGCCATTTCAAGGCGGAGAAAGGAGTAGCGGTAAACCAAAAATACATTGCCTTTCCATGGACTTTCTAGTTTGGTTCGTTTGCATACAAATGGGTTGGGTTAGCGTATATTGGACGGTAAAAAAGTTCAAATTCATTGTTGTCAGAGACACGAGGAAACAGAGGAGGTGGAATAAGGGCAGAAATTATCTAATGCCCTATATATGCATAGTTTATGCTCGACGAAAGCAATTCCAGGAAAATTCGTAGTTCAAGAAGTCCGCTGCCATCCAACTCTCCAACCACGTTGTCTTAGCAAAACCCTTTCAAACCCTTTCGAAGCACTTAACGCTTGTCCAATGCCGATCGCAAGAAATGCTAAACAACCCACCATGAGAAATGCGGCTTGGAAATCTGTGAGGCGTTCTTGCGCTTCATTTTGCTAACGCTCCAGTGTGATGTAATGCCAATCTTATTCCTTTTCATGCACCATAGCTTGGCGACCAGCCGGATGGGATAGACTCGTGTAGTTCTGGCGACCTCGCCCAGGTGGAATTCTAGTACATCCAGGTTTTTATGTCCTTGAATGTCTCGGTTTCTTTGCGTGGCATCTTCGGGCCTGCGTTGGTTCCTTTCTCACGCCAGGCCACGGCTTTACCCTATCAAACCGAAAACCGTGGCATGGCGTGAGACAGCTACTGGCCTGTGATAGCTAGAAAAACCCAAGAAACCGTCACGTGGCGCAAGACAGCTGCGGACAGGCCAGTAGACGATTCAGATTTATTAAGTTCGAATGATTGTGAACTGGTAAAGTATTCTATTTGCGAGCCAGCCTCCATATTTAGTCAGAGCAGGTACCTCAGCTTTTGGGCAGTTCATAAAAACGTAGACATGAGTTGGATCGCTGCCGAAAACCCTATATATTCCGAGACCGCACCATTTGAGGTATTTTTCGAGGATTGAACGAAAACGCTGAATAAAAGTCAGCAAAAATCCACCAGAGAATGAATCGCCCTTACAGTGTTGTCCAAGACAGTTTGTTTGCAAAAAGCAAGACCGCCGGCAGTTTAAAAGCACGCACATTCTTCAGGCAGTTTACAAGGATGGCTGTCGCGTTTCCGCTCTTCGTATCGTGAGTCAAAGAAAGGGACGTCTTCTTGCACGTAATGGGCAAGTGAGTCTGGACACCAATACAATCACTATTCCGAGTTGTTTCACCACTACGACATCAACCTCTACGACCACATTGCCAATCACTATTTTGCCCATAGGACCAAGAGGTCCCATAGGGCCCATTAAGGTGCCCATTCTAGGCCGCGGCAGCAGCAACGGCGGCCGCAACGATAATGTTTGGCGTAGTGGTTGATGTCGTAGTGGTTGATGTCGTAGTGGTGAGACAACTCGGAATAGTGATTGTATTGGTGTCCAGACTCACTTGCCCATTACGTGCAAGAAGACGTCCTTGAACTACCGCATTGTAGTCGCGGAGATAGATGTTAGTGCAATGATGGTTCCAACGAAAGTGCTTCCTGTTCTATGGTTGCAGAGCTTCCCACTTACCAGAAGTCATTGCAAGGGTTGGCACCAGTGATGGTAATAACTCGGGAGGTGCTTTGAGTATTGAGGGTGGGTACTATTTGAAAGATCCAAACCAAATTCAGGTTCTCTTTAGCGTCAAGCGTGAGTGCTAGTAATCCCCAATGGACCTGTGGACTTACAGGTACCATCAACGGGGTTCGGACCAACAAGGTTTCCAAAAACCCATCTCAATTTGCTCACTAAACAAAAGGTGCGGTCGGGGTGAACTGTCAAATGAGGAAGGGTGGGGGAAAAACGTCTCTGGAAGGAGTTGATTTCGCACCGAGCCAAGGTCTATTCTGTCGACCAGGGGTCACGGTTATAGATACAATTAAGTTACCGAGGTCCACATTCTTCCCGAATCTAACAACACGGCACATAGTTTGCCGATCATCATTACTATCAGTGTGGGCGATCAGCCACGAATCTCCGATCCAAATCGATATCATACAAAACAATGGAGGGCCAGCTAATAAGCCTCACACAGCTGGAGAATGCCAATGGCAGGTCTTTGAACCAATAGAGAACAGCACCCTTTCCACCCCGCGTCTGAGATTGAAAGAGAATTTTGGAGTTTTAGATCAAGGTATATATATAACCCCTCTTGTTTTCTATTTACAGTGGTATCATTTATTATTAAATCGTCCCCCGGATCCAGTTCCCTATTAGGCCGTCACTCCAGGAGAGGCTCGGACCATGCCAAGAACCAGTTTCACCCACAGGTCACAGGAACATGGCAAGACCCACGAGTCACGAGCCAAGTGAAAATTCGGCAAGTCTGCACCTTGGGAATGCTGGATTTTCTTTCACATGCCAATTACCATATCGGGACGTGGAAACCAGCTGCACTTGTACCGTCAGCTAGTTTAACTAGTTCAATAGAAAAGCGGGTCAATTCTTCGGTCGATCTCGGGATTGGTACCTAGTCAGATCGATCTGCCCCTCCCCTTGCATGATTACCGGTGGAGCCTCTCGGTCGTCAATTCCAATACCATACCTCCGGAGGCGGTATCCTGTCTGTACTGGAGCTAACACGTCTCCTGCCGCTGCTCTCGCCACCGCACGGAAGTACCTGTCCAGGGCTGAATACCGTATTAGTGTTCCGCCCGAGTTTATCAAAAAAGCCGAGCAGAGATCAATCCTTGGCAGCGTTTTGACCAATACCGGTAGCGGGCTACGTTTCCGCGAAGATATTATAACGCCGCTAACGCCTAGCGCGGGACAAGCGTTCGAAGAGCTGAAAAATTTGTTGCGGAGCCGCGAGGCGAGATCGCATACTGTATCTCTTTCATCGGAATTACTGCCAAGCGGGTCAATTGTTTCAGTGGAGAATCGTCGGTGGCTTCATGCCAGGAACGACGTGCGGGACCCTATGAGACACTTGAGGAGAGTTCGGTTTGCTTCCATGTAAGACTGGGTTCTGCATCAGGTCCAAGTTTTCCAATTCGTCCTCCTTACAGATCTACCCACGACAAATTATCTCCTTGCCAACCACGAACTTTCTTGCTACTTAACCTAGCTACCGAGTTTCATTATTGTAACTAGCTAATTATCCCGGAAAAGGTCTTCCATCCCACCGAATGTAAAAAGGCAGATACTACGGAGTGCTATGTCTAGAATCACCTAAATTTACATTTCCGCTGCTTATAGGTATCTTCCTGCTAGATTGGTGGAGTTACAGTTCTTCTGCAGGAGTCTATGGTCCCATCGCTATCGCATGGAAGACAGACGGGACGAATCCCTGCACCGCGCCCATCCAAACATGCGCAATCGTAACGCCTGTGTGGCGCTTGACGCGCAGATACACGATATGATGTCACAGGCCGGATAATGGCAAGATGCACACGCAGAGTAGGGCGATGCCAGCCATCTTATGAACGTACGCGACGTCGCTGGATTTGAAGAGGGGGAATTTGAATTGGGAATGGGGAGGGAGAGGGTGCTGCCTGTGGGGGTGGGGTGGCTGTTTGTTATCTACAGCTTTATTCTGTATTTTGATTTATTTCTATTATGTGACAGCTTGTTGAGATTATATTGCTCCCCTCAGTTACTTCATAGACAATTTGTACTTTATTTTTCAAAGTCATACTGCATGTATGAGGTGTCCAAGTCTGATCAAGGGGACAAGCTTGTATCATAAAGTGTGTATGTGTTGACACTTGATGTAAACTGCCGTTGGAATGCTGATAAAGAGCTGTAATGGCCATGTTAGAGTCTAGAGTCAAAGAAAGAAAAAAGGTCAGAGAGCCTAGATTTAGGATGAGGGTCTCTGAGAATAATAATGTGAGAACAGAAGAGAAGAAGCAGGTGCTATATCCAACACAGCTTGCAATGTGTTTTTGTTGTGGCATCCCCACCATAGCTTCAATTTAGTAGGCTGGCCAAAGTGCCAGAACAGTGCTGGAACAACACTCGGTAGCTAGTTTAACATGCTGGGAAACCTTTATTTCAAGATCTTTAATAATTGTTCTGTGATGGTAGAAAATTGACAGTCACATATAGGCTACATTCTAGAAAAGAAAATCACTGTCACTACAATTCATTCCAGCACATTTCAAAAATAAATTATCCAGTTCGTTACAATCAATATTGAAATATGCTGGGATAGTTAGTCCCAGCATATCACAGTAACTTGCCAAGAAATGCCCGGGCAATGCTCTCAGCCATGACGCCGATGCCGATGCAGCGTTTCTACCGCTCCGCACGAATTTTCGAACTGTTCGAAGTTCGCGAATTTCGGCGAATCGAATCGAATTCGAACCTTGGTTTCGGGGTCTCGAATCTATGGCAGTTTCGATTCGTCAAAATTCGCGAATTTCGAACAGGTTCGCGAACTAATATCTAGCCTTTTTAGGAAAAAGGGTTTGTGGAACGAGGTTTCGAGATGCCCGGCCCCTACAAGAATGCTTCTGCAAATAAGGTCTAGAATATCAAACACCTGGACGTCGAATCCCCAGCACATCTCTCCCACCATTGAACAACCTCTCAATATCTACCTCTGCTGCCGGTATAGCAAGGTGATCTTGTGCTACCTTTGCCATACAACTAAATTCAAGCATGTTGGCCTTCCACCAGTTTCGTATAAACTCGGACTGGCTCTGGCTTATATCGAAACCAGTGCTGATTGTCGGAGTATCGTAATACTTGTCGATATCAGACTCAGCGACGTTATACTGTGTAGGCTGAAATGCTTCCAGAAATCGATATTCGAAGCTCTTCCAATTGGTGCTTGGAGTAGTCGATACAGGCTGTTTTGGAGTGGAATATGTTTTCTTCAGGAACTCCCGGATTCGGTCAATAATCTTCTCTCCATCTGGTAGCGTTTTGAGCCACTTGGTCTTGATTCGAGGGTCCAGAACGCTTGCGATATAGTTTATGTCGTTGTCTTTGACGCAGTCGTGGTACTTCTCTAGGAGTGAGATTCCATCGGAAACAGGAACAGTTATTGCTGGTGAGACCTTCTGCCACTCTCCTCGTCGTTCCTTGATAGCGAGGAGTATAGAACGGAGCTCTCCAAACATACGCGCCGCCAGAAGAATTGAAGGGCTATCCCGAGAGACGTACTCGGTATATTCGTTGAAGGGAGCCAGTATCTTTTTGATATCCGAGAGCTGTCTCCAGTCGCTGGGTGTGAGACGTAAGGCTTCGGTATCTGGATCATCGTTGACTGTATCTTCGAGCTGACGGCGACACTCTTCGGCTCTCACAATCATAACAAAGGTAGAGTTCCATCGAGTATCAACATCATAGTTGATAGCTTTGGTACAGCCAGGCCGATTATCCCACTTCTGTACCCGCTAAGCAGATCGTGCAATCCAAAGGACAAGTAGTCGAAGCTTTGCAATAGGCGAGGTAGGAGGGTTGACCGTCTTCCAGCTCCGCTTAGCAACATCATCAAGGAGATCACAGGCTTCCTTATGCGAACTAGCGCGTAGAGACCTCAATATAGTTTTCATAACCAAGTTCAAGATGTGAGCAAAGCAGCGGATTTGGGAGTTATGGGTAAATTTCATCGTCCCTTCTCGGATGATAGTCTCGGCCAGATACTCATCGTACCGCTGAGACAGCTTTTGGTAGAGATATCGGTGTAGGGTATCGTTATTCGATGCGTTGTCAGCTGTAATTGTCATAACTTTTTCAGATATATGAAACCTCTCGAGAGCCGTCGCAACGATATTAGCAAGGTTCTCTCCAGAGTGGCTGCCTTCAATTTCAACGAACTCAATACAAGCTCGATATTGCTGGAAGGCAGAGGACATCCAGTGAGCATTAATGGCTAGCATTGGCAATAAATTCTGACTTGTCCAACCATCCAAAGATACCGCAATTGAGGATGCTGAAGACATTAAGATTCGAAGCTCACTGTCAAGAGCATCAAGCCGAAGACATAATCGGTGCGACACAGTATTCGCACTTGGTACGGAGTCCTGAAAGCCTGCAGACCTCAACATAGCCTTGAATGAAGGCTGTTCGACGCATGTAAACGGTTGGCAGGTTGATACAATCCAATTCAAGACAGCTTCTTCGAATGGGAGCTTCTTTTCCTTAGAAATCCATGAGCTTAACGGACCCTGGCACCCTGAATGGCCGTCCTGGAAGAGCTTGTGGGTTTGCTGCAGGTGCTGTTTCAACGCTGTGGTTGGAGATCGCAGTTTCGATGCAAATCGAAAGAATCGGCAGGTGGATGGCGACACAATACACAGGTGTTTAAGCTCGGACCACTCCTTATTTCCTAATCTCCAGGTACCAGATTCAGGTGTAGTAAGGTAGTGTTTCCAAACCCAGCTCCGCTCTTTCGACCTAGTCTCATCTTTCTGCTTGATTTCGACCATATTTACCCCGTATTCGACCTGAGATATTGATTGCGAAGGACGGATATCCGTATCAAGATTCGATAAACTCATAGAGACATTGCTGGGAGCTGTAGGAGAGGTTGAAATCGGAGGAGTCGGCGACTTAAGGGCGGTCCGGACCGCCATCTTCTTTCGGGGAGGCGGAAGTGGTATATCCTCTGCAAGGAGGCCATATTTATTAAGCGCCGCATAATCGCGTTTATTCCTCCTAGTGTTAGGACAGTCAAATGTTGTAGCATGTGGAGAAGTCATCTGTAACGTTATATTAGTATTTCAAGCTTGTGTCTTGATCGATCGCTTACCCTCGGGCACCCTGAAGTGACGGTTTGCGGTAGCTTTTAAATCCGATTTGGATGTTATTCTTGGTAAAAGCACGTATGCGCGAAGACACGTTCTTGGGGAGTCTCCGCTAACCCGATTAGACTATCCATCTACTCTTCATTGAAGACAAGTTCCCCACAAATGCAGACTATGCAGGCTCTGCATATTATGGATTGCCAACACTTGGCTCAGCCAGCCTCAATAGAATCTCGACTTTCATGAATATCGGCCATTATTCGTAACATTGATATTAAGCACACTTGCTGCGTATCTTACGGTTTCCATAACACCAACTCGGCTTTTTTCGAGCTCTACTAAGATGAAACCACCTAACCCTGCGCTCTCTTACTTTGCTGGGAGTTTTAAAAAACAAACAGTTGATTATAGTAGGGCTATCAGCGACCGGTCGAATCGGCACGTGGGATACAGTTCGGTTGTAGTTTCTCTTTAAACGATCAAGATACTGTTACGCCAACCATACAATGAGGTATAGGTAATGCGGAGGAGGTGCCTATGCACCACAGGAGTCGCCTGTTGATACATCACCTCGCTTAACCGCTTGCATGCGGACGGGGGAGATCCCCTAAAAAAGGAAAAGCTGGATCCTCTTAGGAGGACCAACGATTAGTCTGAATATCATCATACCCATATCAGGCACATCTCACATTCTTCACTCGTATCCATATCGTACCAGGACGCCCCCAGGGGACTGTCCTAACAGATACAAAATATTGTAACTGTTAATTTGGTATACCTGCTAACAAAGAAAGGCAAATTTGTGAAAACTTTCGCTGGTTACATGGGTTGTGATTCCCCACATGCGCAATTCCACCATCATGGTCCTGCATGAAGACCAACAGCAGTCTTTAATAGACCGCTGGTTGACAAATTCCAGAGCGGTGTCTCGGTCAGTGGCACATCATCAACGATCGAAGACAGTGTTTAGACAGATTTTTAAAAATGGCATTGACTGCTACCTGTGAGGGTCTTGCATGTAGGTTATTGACGAAGCATCTTGCCTCCTGGTATAGGATTCAACAGTATACGTGTGTTCTGTGTATCCAATGTCACTATATTAGACTATGGGGGATTTACGATCAAAGTGATGTGCTCTAGTGGATCATTGGTAGCAAGAACCGAGGTTCTAGACATCCAACAGGTACCGATGAGGATAGTACGGTGGAAAGAAGTAAGGGAGAGGCTGTTCAATGTGAGCAAAACAGGGCCTAGACAATCGTGGCGAGCTGAAGAGCGCTTTGACTGCAATAGAACTGCAAATTCGGCCGGGTCAACCAAGGGCTTCCCATAGTTGGACAGTGATGTGCGTTACTAAGGACGGGTAGCCAGCATAAAGCTATGATAACCCTGAAGGAAAAGGAAAAGAAAGGTATAAGAACCTAGCTTTTCCCGTCGCAATTCTCTTTTATCCATCCTCATTTCACCCCGTCATCTCCGAAGCAAAGCAAAGCATTTCAACGACTTTCACCATTATCACGAACCAAGATATTGTAAACTTTGCCGTTGAATATTCTTGAAGATTGGTTGCTAATTCTCGAACAGATCCGTCAAAATGAAGTTCTCCATTGCTTCTATCGCCGCCATCGCCACCACTGTCACAGCTCAGCTGGTGTACCAGCAGCCCCAGCAGTACAACCAACAGCCCCAGCAGTACCAGCCCCAGTTCCAGCCCCAGTACCAGCAATACACTCAGCAACAGAACAAGTACTCTCCAGCTGAGGCCCAGGCGTTCCACGGCTGCATCGATCATATGCTTGATCAATTCAACACTGAGAACTCGGGTAGCTCTGTTTCTTGCTCTACTTTCAAGTGCCTTGACCAGACGGCAAACCAATACAGCCGAGGCGGAGTCCTCGCTGGACTTGGAAACGTTGTCAGCTTGGCCTGCGGCTTTGGTGGAATCATTCCTGTAGGAAACCTCCCTGCTGGGCCCCAGATCTCTCTATGATTAACATAAACTGACTTCCACACAGAAATTCCTCTAAATGCTCTAGCGAGTGAGACCCGTTCGGGCGTTCCTCAACGGACCAGTCACATGGCCTGATTTCCATTCATGTCACCTGGTCTCTAGATGCAGATGAATTATCTGGCTGAATCTCTATTCGCTTCATGAATGGCGTCGGCTCAGATTTTTGCCAGATTGTTGTTTTTCTGTTTTCCCTGTGCCTCCTTGTGAATGCAGGGGCTGTCTTTCATTACGGGTCTCGCAGTTATGAAACATACAAATCTTAACAAACTTGCAAATCCTCGCAAAATCTCCAGCTTTCTGACATGGAGGGGGAAGTAGAGGAACTTTGGTTCGATAAGGATTCGTTGATAATGCTGAGCGCAGATTATTTCCATAGATGATCCTAGGCTGCGGCACATCCGCAAATGCGGAGGGCATTTGCCATCCACTCCACAAATTTGCGGATTGCGGATGGTCCGCGGATGTCTGCAAACTATCCGCACTAGCATAAATTTCGTTACTTTATCCTATTATGGGCTATCACATGATAAATATGTAGCTGACTCACTCTTGTTTTTAAATTTAATATACATACGTTCTGGTTATAACAGTACCAACCTTTGATTCATCCCTATTTCTACATGAAATAATCTGAAAAGTTACTGTATTTCCAAAGGGGTGCAATTAATAATAGAATTTACAAATTAAATCCAGAGCTTAGGCGTGGTGGTTGCCTGTAACATATGTTAAATGTTGATTGATAATGTTTTTACGGAAATATATATTTGGTGCCATAGGGAGCCAGTGTGGACTTTGCACGAAGTGTACGAAGTGTACGAAGTGTACGAAGTGTACGAAGTGTACGAAGTGTACGAAAACCAGCAGAATCTGTTAATACTTGTCCACGGCCATTGAAAGCAGTAGCAAAAGAGACTACGCGGTCTCTTTTTTTTATATTTCTGATTTTAATCTCTATTTGGAATAGAAATTCATCTCTCTATTCATGATCTGCGGAACTTGGGGGGCTTTTTTTGAACCTTTGCGGAGGACTGCGGAGACCTGCAGATCCCCAGCAGACATCGGCGGAGCATCCGCAAGATATCCGCACTACTCTGTCCTTGACAGTCTCCCTCCTTGCATTTGTTGCTGCCACAGGCAACCTGTTGAAATGAAAGCCACGCCGCAAAAATATGATTCCTACATATTGAATTTGCAATTGAATCGCTCAACGCGGTGGCAGTCTACATCTGCCCGTTCTAGCCACGGTCACCGTCTCTTTCATGAGGGTTGAAGTGCTTCAATAGATGCCGATATAATAGGTTGGAGACTTTGTGGCCGACAGAAACGCTGAGCTGTACCTGCAGTTAGCCGGAGGACCCTTTGGTCTCGCTAGAATCAATCCTGTTCATCCTTGGCCCCGCGCCGCTGAATGTTGTTTCTTTCCTGTCTACTCGCAGCCAGCTAATGTTGCATTTACTAGAATCTCTACTCCCTGGCCGCGCAGACACTGACATACTCCCAAACTCAGGATGAAGATTGTCTTTCTTTGGGAGGGCATAATCAAAATCCAGACCTTGTTGGAAAGCCTTCCAGCATACACCTGAGAGAAGAGAACGACGGTCTTCAGCTTCGCTACGACAAGCAGCTATCTCGATCGCGCTTTTTTGAGCAGGCAGTGGAATCATCTCGGGAACGACTGACTAGCATACTCGATGACTGGAACCACTTTTCCAGACTCAATCTGGCAGGGTTGCTGGAGAGAACCGGGTATTACGAAACATATTTTAAACAGCGCTCCTTTAAACCACAGGTAAATCAGTTCAAATGTATGTCGGTCGATATCGGTTGTCATCTGTTGTACCATGGGTAAAATGCCCAATCTCAATTTCAGACTTGAAGCAATGATCTGCGTTCTAGATAATCAAACTTTATAAAAGATATTCTGTGCTCGTGGTCGCAGTATGATGGCTGTGCTATGTCATTCTTTGTTAGATGTTGTAAAAAAAAAGAAGCCATATGCTTCTTCGTGATACTTATTTGGTGCCAACCTTAGACAATACTGCTGATATAGCTTCGGCGTCTTCGACACTGACTTTTGGGTATAAGAGCTGTAAAACAAATTTGTATTCACATGCCTCAGCCGATACCTGTTCAAGTCTCCTGTTCCGAGTTTTCAAGTATGAGTTTTGTTCGAGCTAGATAATCCCAATGGGTTTGATTTACCTCTGCGTTTCATCCCATTTCCTCGTTGGGTATTGACAGTCATGTTGTAGCATCGCACAACGCTGGCACTTAGGCTTTTCTCCGGTACATTTAGATTTTCTCGCACGGCATGGAGCACATGCACGTGGAATACGGCGTTGCAACTGTGCAGCTGGGGTGACCAAGGAGCAAACTGACCATTTCCAGGCGTTTGCTTTGAATGGCGAGATGGAGCGGCGTATAGCCTTTCCTGTTCTGAATGTCTAAATCCAGACCCTTTTGTCCGAGAAGCCGTTTGACAGCATCTACTGACCCATAGGATACTGCTTGGTGAAGAGGTAGCTCAGCATCTTGTGATGATTGAGTACCAAGAAATACCTCGGACTTCGGATCGTTTGAAAAAATCATTTCCATCACGGGCCTGTTGAAGCGACGTGCCCAGTCCCATGGCCATGCAGGTTCCTGGAACCGCAGGCGGTGGCCATGGACGTCGACGACCCTCAGGAGTCAAGTGACGCAGAATGCGCAACGTCAACCTCTGAACTCGGTGGTGAAGCTGCGATACTCGATGAAGATGCGTGCAAAGGAGTGGACCAGGCCTCCGAAGCGTTGTGGCACGCTCGGATGGGACATCTGAACCGGGGCGACTTAAGGGCGGTCCTCTGGCAGACCGGCACTCCGTACCGACCGCTGACGCAGGCGCAGCTGCTGGCAACGCCGCAGTGCCCAGCGTGTATGTCGGGTAAGCAGCATCAGAAGAGGAACTCCCGCGCAAGACGGCCACGTCTGCATTCAACGAGAATTTTCGAATTGATCCACTCGGACATCATGGAGATGCCGATTGCCAAAGATAACTCCAGGTACGTGATCACCTTTACTGACGATTATTCTCGTGGCTCGTGGGCATATGCCATGAGATGGAAGCATGAAGCGCTCCAGGAGTTCCGATTATTTGAGGCCTGGGTGCACCAACAGTTCGGCGCCCAGATCAAGAGGTTCCTCACCGACAATGGGAGAGAATACCTGCCGATCGGAACACACCTCGAGACCCAGGGAGTTGAGTTTGACACCTCGCCGCCATATTGCAAAGGGCAGAATGGTCTGGCCGAACGCACGAATCGCACTATCCGGGAGCGGATCAACACGCTCCTGTCTGATGCGAACCTTCCTCCTTCCTGGTGGACCGAGCTTGTGGACACGGTGGTCTATCTGAAGCTGCGCGCTCCAGCTTCGATTTTACAGAAGAAGACACCGTTTGAAATACTATACGGAAAGCCGCCCTCGCTGTCGCATCTGCGACGCATTGGTTCCCGTGCCTGGGTGTTGATCCCGAAAGAGCATCGAGCGAAACTCGGACCCCGGTCATCCGAATGCCGATTGCTAGGGTACTGTGAACCGAACCAGTACAAGCTGTATGAAAACCATTCAGGGAAGACAGTCTTTTCCCGTGATGTCGAGTTCGATGAGAGGACCCCAGTGGCGCCACTCATCGAGGGGGAAACAGGCAACGACCTCCCGGACAACGCTCCTCCATCAGCTGTCTTTCCATCAATGCCAAGTTCAACCAGCGGACTGCCAACACCACCTGCATCGCCATTACCTCCGCTGAATGAGCGAGAGAAAACGCCATCTGAGCGTGAGGAGGAGACACCTCCAGTGGTCAATCCAAGTCAACAAGGGACTGACTTGACATCGGATCTTGGGTATTCTATCTATGGTCGCAGACGAAGACCTTCATGGCGTCTCCTGGAGTCACTAGGTAAGTGTACTCGGCAGGCACATTGAATGCCGCGCCGGCCAGACAAGTCGACCCGGCGTCCTTTCGCGAAGCTGTGTCAGGCCCAGACCAGCTGGACTGGTGGGCCGCCATCCAGAAAGAATATGCGTCGCTTCTCGAACACGGAACATGGGAAAGGGTTCGGCGGGAGGACGTCCCAGCCGGAGATCATGTGATTGGCTGCAAATGGGTCTTCAAGACCAAAGCCAACGGGACTCGCAAAGCGCGACTAGTCATCAAAGGCTACCGGCAGAAACAAGGCATCGACTATCACGAAACGTTTGCTGCTGTGTCGCGAATGGACTCCGTCCGCTGCATTGTAGCCAGCGCCGTGTTGCGCGGATGGATACTCCGCCAATTCGATGCGGTCACCGCATTTCTCCATGGAGACGTCGATTCGTCTATCTATATGGAGTTGCCCGAAGGCTTTGAAAAGCCAGGATACGTGTGCCGGCTGCGCCGTTCACTGTATGGGCTGAAGCAGGCCCCGCGGATTTGGTACCAATGCGTTCACCGCGTCCTGGCTTCTCATGGCTTCACCATGGCCTAATCGGACAACTGTGTGTTCTACAAACCGGATTGCGTCGTTTGTGTTTATGTCGATGACTTTCTTGTTGCTGCGGCAAACACGCACGAAATCGTACAAGTGCAACGAGCCTTGCAAACAGAGTTCCGACTGAACTATCTGGGCATCCCTCGTTCGTTCCTCGGGATCCAGTTCGACTATCACATCGATGGGTCCGTGTCCATTCACCAACACCAGTACATCCAGAAGGTGCTCTCCGACTTTGGCATGGAGAGTTGTCAACCGAAGTCTACGCCGATGAATCCCAAGCAAATCCTGAATCATCGTCCAGACGAGGATCTCCGGACGAGGAAGCAAAAGCTCGTTATGCCACTGCCATTGGTTCTTTGATGTATCTGATGGTTAGCACGCGGCCGGATATTGCGTTTGCGCTGGGCATGTTGAGTCGCTTCACGGCTCAGCCGCAATCGCACCACCAAGTCGCTTTGCAGCGATTGCTTCGCTACATCAAAGCCACGCAATCCCATCGTATTACCTACCGCAGTGGGCAGCTGATCGGGTATACGGACGCCGACTTTGGTGGCTCTGTCGTCACTGACGGTGCATACTCGACGTCTGGCTATGTATTCCAGCTTGCAGGTGCGCCAGTTTCCTGGTCGTCCAAGAGACAGGGGGAAGTAGCCACGTCTACGACACACGCGGAATACATTGGACAGTATAATGCCATTCTGCATCTGCAGTGGCTCCGCACCTTTCTGGCTGAAACACAACCCTGTCGGTCTCCGGTCACCAACATCATGGCTGACAACCAGTCCGCCATTGCTCTATCTCGCAATCCCGAATTCCATAAACGGACGAAGCACTTCAATGTGAAATTCCACTATCAGCGAGCTGTGCTGAATACAGGAGAAATTGGCCTTCAATACGTTCCCACTGAGGAACAGGCCGCGGACGGTCTTACCAAGCCATTGGGACCTACGGCCTTTGCCAAGTTCTGCATTCTCTTAGGCGTCGACTTTCCAGAGACTCCAAGGCAACTTGCATGACAGCGCAGGCGCTCTTTCCACTTTCATTTCCCACGAAGGTTTTTTTTTGAGTGGTTTTACCGAGGCCTGACTGCTCTGCACAATTCCAGTATCGCCCTGCCAGCAAAGCGATCCTAAAGGGGAATGTTGTGATATGAAGCTGGTGCAGATCGAGAACCAAGCCGCACCGTCGGAATTAACTCCGAGGTGTCTATATGGACGACCAAGTTGATTTCCAATCAACTTGGCTCAATGTTGTATATATAGGCTCATGTATCCCTCTGAAATAATAAAACAATCATACCTCTGAACAACAACATGTACGATCCTATTACAGACGCTCACCCGTATTCATATTGCGGCATCGCTATGCGCGGCACAGTTGATTGGAACGGTGACTACTTTGGTTGCCAGTGCTACTGCTCCAGATCGCGATGGACCCGGAGATGTCTTTCCGAATTTCTCGGAGGGCATAGTGGAGGGTATCTCGAGGCCATGGTTTTGGATTGCATTGAGCTGCCAGTTGGCAACCCCTATCGGCTTCTTCATGTTCTTTCGCAACGAGCAATTGAACAAGCCATGATCCGACAAGTTTTGGATCCAAAATTTGTCGATTCTGTTTCGCCTTTTGATTTAGCTCAGCTTCCCGTGAGATATATATCGGAAAGAATAACCTTGCCGAATTCCAATAAGTGCAGCCCCAGAACATGGCTTACAGCCCCAGGCGTAACAAACAACAATTGGCCGCTGAGCCGATATAGAAAACTCATCTAAACCGTATTTTCCGGTGCTGTCCCGAGTCTTCTTGCTCTAAAAAGGAGTTTTCATCAGTCAGAGCTAGCCTATCTACCTGCCAAATCAAATCATGGGGTAATACAAGGGGCACTGCAACCTTATTGTACAGTATCATTCCAAGCTAAAATTCTTAGCCCCTTAGCATGTCTCTTCGACTAATCGGAGATAAATTTACTAGCTCGACTGCTTTCCTTTGTACGTTATCCAGTAGGGCTCTCTTTATTTGATTTACTTTAGGTCGGCCGAGTAGGTTTGGCCATTGTTTAAAAGTATAACCTTTCTGTGCATTCCATCGCTAAATATTCTTATCTCACCGAATAGATCAAGTAAAACCATCGATGTTGGCAGTATGAGAATTAACTTAGGCAAGTCTTCAAGTCCCATTTCCAGGAAGTATCTAGCCTTGGAACAAAGGTGGCTGCAACGGAGGGTGTCTAGACCAGAGAGCTTTCAGTGGAAGCTTCTTAACCCGAGCCCCTCCCCCCCTTACATCGGCTGTTGAACATCGGTCACTCCGCACTTCCTGGAATTCTGCAGCAATCGGTCTAGGCTAGACCTTCTTTTTGCCTCATTTCTATTCTTTCGATTCACACATTCTTGGGTCCATCACAAGGGCAACTCCGACTCGAGCTCCCTGCTTCTCTCAAATATGCTTGTGACGGGAAATCGGCGACTCAAGCCAGTCGACAACACAGATTCCAGGGGCCTTGCATGCGCCGTCGTTGAACATGTGGCTCGAACTTTCTATCATGGGTCCAGAGCGAGGGGACCATGTTGTGAGGAAGAATGTAGACACCGAAGCTCTACAGAAATAGGCCGAGCTACCCGGGCCTCAGCCATCCTCGATTTCTTTAAAGGCCAGAGATCTCAGAGTTCGACAGCGACCTTGTAGGCTGATTACAACAAGAAGCTTCCTCGTGCATATCATCGCCGATCACGCCGATCGTTTGATTTTATATTCCTATACAAAAGATCTGCGCAAGTAGATCCTTCACTCAGCCCTATACATGACTCGCTTTTTTGGTCTTCGAGGCAACAGCCTCAGTATAGTAGCGATCCTTGGTGTTTTCTTCGGAACGCTCTCTTGTATCTGGCTAGGCGACCGACTGGGCCGCCGACGTACGATCATGGCTGGAGCGTCTATTTAGATCGTCGGATCTATCTTGATGGCAAGCGCATGCTTCCTTAGCATGTTGATCGCCTCTCGAATAGTCCTTGGTCTTGGTACTGGCGTGCTACTAGCCATCATCCCCCTTTGGCAGTCTGAGAACTCTCCTGCCAAAAAGCGTGGAGCGCATGTCGGCATGAAAGGAATCTTCAGCGGCCTCGGTTGTGCTCTATCCCTTTTCCTCGATTTCGGGATGTCCTTCACACGGCGCAGTGCTTCTTGGAGATTCCCATTTGCTTTTGTGATGTTACTTTCACTTGCTGTTTTGGTTTTCATAGTCCATCTACCAGAATCTCCCCGCTGGTTGCTCCGAGAAGAACGCATATCTGAAGCTAGTGAAGTTCTTGCTGCTCTTGGTGACACTTCTGTCGACGATGAATCTGTGAAATCACAAGTGAAGGACGTCCAGATGTCACTGGATCTGGCTGGGAAAAAGTCACTTGGACAGATATTCCACATGGGTCCCCAAAGAACCTTCCATCGAGCTATGCTTGCTCTAACTGTCATGCTACTCATGCAGCTCACTGGTTCCACAGTCATTACCTTTTACAGTAAGTTTATCTACTCTGGTTGTTTGTACATGGGTCTGACTGTTCTTGTTCTCATCTAGCAACCGGAATCTTTGAACAGAACCTCCACCTTGGAAACTCAACGTCCACAATTCTAGCAGCCGTCTACCAACTGGTCGGCCCACTTGGTGGAATCTTCTGTGTTCTTAAGATCAAAGGGCTTGGCAGGCGTGTACTGCTTTTAGGCAGTGCCATCGGCAACACCGTCTGCCTAGCATTAGTAGCCGCATCGGAACCCAGACACATAGCCCAATCGCAATGCGTTGTGCGGTCTTTTTCATCTTCTTGTTCCACTTCAGCTATATTATCGGCTTTGGTGCGATACCATATCTCTATGCTATTGAGATCACGCCTCTGCATCTGCGAACAACTATCAACAGTTTCAGCACAAGCAGTTCCTGGGCTATCAGCATCTTGATCACCCTTGTCACACCCCTCGCATTCAACAGTATGGGACAAACATACTTTGTGATCTTCGCCGGCTCCAACGCTTTAATGGTACCCATCATCTATTATTTCTTTCCCGAGACCGCTGGCCGGAGTCTTGAGGAAATGGACAAGATATTTGCTCTTTCAAAAGGAGTTCGCGATTCTGTCAGAGCCGCACAACTTCTTCCCTGTGGACAAGACACTGAATTATTGTCTGAGAAAGACCTTGGTCCAAATTTCAAGTGCCCTGAGCTTCAACTTCGCGAAATACATTCGGCATGATCGGTACATGGTTTGAACTATATAATTGCAATGTTTAGCCATAATATATGACGAGGAAAAGAATATTTATGAAGCAAAACAAAATCACAGTCATCCTACCCCAGGCCATTCCATAGACTCCTCAGAGTACAACACGAAACAGTCTCAATTCACCCAATCTCTCAATGCGCACGTGAAAATTCAATACCAAGTGGTTCTATCGGATTACAATAATTGCCCTTCATCGCAGCATTATCTGAGTTGCAAAAAATCCGAGCATTGAAGTTCTGTGTGAAGGGACGTAGCCAGGTTGATTCAAGCTAGCTAAGCCGTTTGCTGTTATCTAAAAGCTTAAGGAGAAAAGAAGGAGTTTACGGGGCCGAACGTAAACAAAAGGGTGTGTGGTGAGGGTCACGTGCACGCACGTGATGTTAGCCGGGCACTGGCCCGTTACATTCTGGCTGACATCTCTTTTCGTTCGGCTTTAGCTGTTCGGCCGTAAGCGGCTATAAGCGGCATTTTAATTACCGATTACCGAAATCCCGAGCGTCCCTTTCGCGTGACCCCCTTCCATCTAGCAGAGTATGGAGCCTCGACCACGCCGACGCCGCCGAATAGCTCGGTCTTGTACTGAATGTCGCCGCCGAAAGATCAGATGTGACCGAAAGGACCCTTGTACGCACTGTGTCGCCACACAGCTGCGATGCACTTACAAGGGTTACGGAGATCAGCCGGCCCCTCTCTTGGAGGCTACAGAGGAAATATCCGATCTCAGCGTTCTTACGCCTTCGTCCTCACGGTTAGTTCAGCAAGTGGGAGGAGGCCGATCAGCTTCGGGTCATGATGCCTTGCCGAGTCCCCTCGGTCCCGCAATAAGAGCGCCGACACCCGCGGGCACAACAACACAAATTGATCCTAGCATTCCTCAGTACCGGAATGAGCGACAATCATCAGTCTGTGGGCAAAACTTCCATGCAGATCTTGCCGATCTTCTGAACCGAGTCCAGGCCCTTGAGCGATCTTCAGTACACAAACCGGCCGATGGCTTATCTGAGACAAATCAAGCAATCCTCGAACGCCCGTCTCGAATAGAAAGCTCCGAGTGGATTTTCTCCAAGACAAGGATTATGAGATGGAGCTTGTGGATGGGGACAGCCAAAGAGGTACTGGTGCATCTCAGCTTTCGCCTCGAAGCATCCCGCTGACTTAGTATATCGCAAGTTTGATCCATTCCTTGCCTTTTATACCGAAGCTACTAGCAGAGGCACAGGAGACTCATTCCAAGGCCGTGAGACTCGGATCCTACTATCCCAGGTGGGCGACCTCCTCAAAAAGTGCAAAGGTATAGCGAGAAGCATTAAAGTCTGGCGACCAACTAGATCACTATTGAACCCTCAAATCGGCCTTGAACCTCCATCCCGAGAGCTGGCAGACACTATGGTAAACCTTTACCTTGGAGCTTTTGAATCAACCCATCGGATTCTTCATATTCCTTCTTTCTGGGCCGATTACCACAAATTTTGGAACAATACCGCAAATGCCTCAACCGAGCTACGTCTCAAGGTTCTTCTCGTGATTGGGATAGGATCAAGTATCTATAAAGACGACATAGACATTGGCTTTCGTCACACCGTCCATCGCTGGATATACGCTGCTCAGGCATGGCTTTCGGGACCAGTGGAAAAGGACAGACTTAGTATTTCTGCGCTACAGATTGATTGTCTCACCATTCTGGCTCGGCAAATTTACTCGATTGGCGCTGACCTGGTTTGGGCTTCAATGGGTACACTGGTTTACAAAGCCATGCAAATCAATCTGCACCGCGACCCCAAGCACCTTTCGGGGAGATCTGTGCTACAGGCCGAAGTCCGCAGAAGGCTTTGGGCTACTATCATTGAACTGATGGTACAGGCGGCTTTAGACTCGGCGATGCCACCCAGTATTCCAGAGTCTGACACTGAGCCTCCTTCCAACATCAATGATGATGAGATTGGGGAGTCAACAAGTGTCCTTCGGTATCATCCCAAGGGTACATACACTGCTACTTCCCTGCAGCTTCTTCTCCTTGAGTCATTACCAGTTCGTTTACGGATTCTGCATATACTGACCAGTCTGAGCTCGGAGATATCATACCTGGATGTGATTGCACTAAGCTCCGAGCTCACAGACGCTTCGATCTCTTACTACAACTTTCTAAAGAAGAATGCAAGACCGAGTATCACGCCACTCCACCGAAACCTTCTCGACTATCTCGTTCGCCGTTTCATGATTCCTTTGCATTGCCCGTTCATTAACAAGGCTCGCACAAACCCATTATTGACCTCCTCGCTGAAAGCCAGCCTAGACACAGCCATGGCCATTATGTCACCTGAGCCCGATGAAGAGTTCTCCAGACTAATGGCTACTGGCGGAGGCCTCTTCAGAGAAGGGATATGGTGTGCCATGACCGTCATCAGCATCGAGCTGTTGGCGCAAGTTGAGGCCCAATGTCTTGATGGAACACTGCACCGCAATCACAGGTATATCGAGCTGCTCAAAAGGATTGTTCATAATCTACTTGCTTTTTCTGCTGAAAGAATCCGTCAAGGCGAGACAAACATCAAGAGTCACATGTTTATGAGCATGATCATCGCCCAGGTCGAGGCGAAGGAGACGGGCGCCGATTGCGAACTGAGCATTGCCCAAAGTGCCAAGAATAGTCTCGAGTTCTGTCATGGTCTGTTACTGGTGCTGACTGACACTGCTTCTTTGGCGCATTCGAACGACGGATTCGGGTCAGGGGAAAGTTTCGATGGCGAATCTGGAGAACTTGGGACTGGGTTTGACTTGGACTTGGACTGGGATTTCCTTCTGCCAGACGCAGGGCTCTGATGATTCCAACGCGAAGTTATATTCTTGGTGTAACCAGCACTTGAGCAGTCGCCTGCTTATGATATTTTATACACTCGTGTATGTTGTCTCGAGCGGCCTTTGTACGGACTTATGGGTCTATCTTAACTTCGAGAAGACCTAAACAATACGCATCCGAGGTTTCCAAAGTACCAGAAAAATCACGTCTGGCCGATCAGTGTTCACGATATCAAGCTTTGCTCCGCGCTCAAGCTTTTTACTCTCGGTCGAAGCGACGGTGTTTACGCGGACTTAATCGGTCTAAACCAGCTAGGTAGTACTTGTAAGCTTATTATATAACGCAAGTGGTCTCTTCTTTTGAACAAGGATTCAGCACACTTTCCATTGCTTCCTCTTTTTTTTACCTGAGTCGATTCACGAAGCTCCAACGTCATGACTCAAATGAAAATTCTCATCAGCGGTGCAGGCGTCACTGGCAATGCTCTCGCCTTTTGGCTGACGAAGCTGGGCCATAACGTGACCATCGTGGAGTGCTTTCCCGACCTCCGAGCCTCGGGCCTCCAGATTGATCTCCGCGGCCATGGAGTTGAAGTCATGAAACGTATGGGCCTCGAGCAGGCGTTTCGTGAAAAGTCCATACCGGAACAAGGCATGCAGATGGTGGACAAATCAGGCAGAATAAGGGCTTATTTCCCAGCAAATGACTCTTCCAATGTCAAGCTGGGCTTCAGCTCTGATTGGGAAATAATGAGAGGGGATCTGTGTCGAATCATGTACGAAATCACCAAAACTCGAGCAAAGTACGTTTTCGGGGTATCGATCGACAGCTTCGAAGAAGAAGAAAACGCCGTTAAGGTCCAGTTCACAGACGGCTCAACAAACCAATTCGACCTTGTCATTGGTGCTGATGGTCAAGGCTCACGAACTCGAAAGCTGATGCTTGGACCTGATGCCCAAGACCCATTTCGTCCGATAAACGATACATATGTCGGCTATCTCATCATTCCTTGGCCGATAAAAGAAGGAGAAAAATACATCGCGACGGCCTATATGGCACCCGGAGGACGAGGCGTCATGACACGAAGACACAACGACCACGAAATCCAAGCATACATCGGCGCCCGGACGAATTCAGACCGACTCAAAGCCTCTTTGAGAGGTGATAACAATGAACGGAAGGAGGCTCTGAGAGAAATGCTCCAGGGTGCAGGGTGGCAGACAGATGAGATCTTGGAATCGCTCAAGACCGCCGACAACTTCTACTGTGAGCGCATCGGCCAGGTCAGGTTGGACCACTGGTCTCGCGGGCGGGTTGTTCTTGTCGGAGATGCCGCTTACTGCCCATCTGCGATGACCGGAATGGGGACCACTTCTGGTATTGTCGGTGCTTATATCTTGGCTGGTGAAATCGGTAGACACTGTAGTTCTGCTGGTGTGGACGTTGCAGTGACCGGTGCCCCGGATTCTCTTCTGGCTGCTCTGGAGGCTTATGAACAGAAGTTCCATCCTTTCATCACCCAGGTCCAGCAGGGAGTGTCACTTGACGGGGGTCGTTGGGATGGGCTTTTATCCACGGCGTTTGGTATTGCTGTCATGAACTATCTGTTGGGAATTGCTTCCTTTTTCAGATTGGATCGCCTTAGCAGGTTCACTTCCGACCCTGCTAAGGGCTGGGAGCTCCCTGAATATGAAGAATTGTATCGGAATTAGAAGTAAGCCTTTGAGAGGCTCTGCCTTTCTTCTCATAAGTTTTCAGTTGGTTTTAAGCAAATTGGTCATCTCTACTCCTACTTCAGCTGCATTTGCTCTCTTTCTCTTACCTTACATTAGAAAAGGATTCTATATTTAGTTTGTGGTCTTATGATCCTTGTAAAGGTACATGGGGTCTAAAAAGGCTGGAACAGCGCCGATATCAGCGAATAACTAACCACTCCTAAATTTAAGTAGATTAGAAAGAGATTAGAAATAATATGATTAAAGAAAAAGACGAGTAGAAAGACGTATGCTATCTACTGTTTATGTGAGAGTTATACCGACTTCGGCTTCGTCCATTCCAAGGCCCAGGTCGTTAGGGCAGCTTACTATCTGCCAGGTGCGCTAAATGGGTCTCTTCAAGTTTGTACCACCAACACATTTCTCCTTTAATCTTTTCCGCATACTTCTGCAACACCCTAAACTTCCATATTCCTCCGACATCTGAAAGGGTTTAAAGTCGACGTCCACTTGGGTTCACCCCCTCCGGACCTTCCACACCACAACTATTCTACCCTTCTCCATGAAGCCACTTCTCTCCTTCTTTTTCTCTGCTTGTTACTTCCTTTACTGCCTCCGCAATGTCAACCAACCGATACATCGTTCCGATCCCCGAGTCGATGATGGTCATGAAAACCCGCAAATACCTCAATGACTTTGCAGACCACCACCAGGATGGCTGGATGGACATTCAGAATGGAGGCTGGGTTTATGTAGATGGCAACGAGAAGGTGCTAGCGGTTGCATCTGACTCCTTGTGTTGTGAAGAGCTTGATGTGAGAGAGGCTGAGATTCAGGCTTTGGGTGATGAAGATGGTGAAGATTTTTGCTGTTCGACCGAGCAATCCAACCCCGACTTGTCAAACCAATGCAAACATCACCGTTGCTTCAACACCGTGATATGCGTGACTTACAACGGCTGTCACGTTTGCTCGCGAAACAACCGCTGCTTCTGAGCTCGAGAGGAAATGACAGTGTGCCTTGAACTACACACGGGGATGTTTCTTTGCTGCAGTCCTTTCAATCATTTCACTTTCGAATCAGTCAAATTGAACTTCTATCGACGGTAGCACTTCACTGGTCCCACATCTGTAATCTCAAACCTGCATTCCCTCGCTGGTCGTTCCCAGTTCTCCGGCTTTGATAGCCATGCTGTAGCATGGAGGAATCCCTTCATCGCCTGCGAGACTTCACTCGCGTGTAGTCGTGCGTCATCCCACGTGGTATTTAACTTCAGCGTTGTGTCAGACTCCTTGAGCGAAGGGTACCAGACGTATCCGAGGTCAGTGCGACTGAGAACTTCGAGCATTTCGATGGATGGGGATGACTGGTCCGCATTTTTGGCGCCGGTGGATTGAGCCGTTCGAATATCCGGTAGCCAGTCGAAGACCTGACGATTGAGAGTGTTTCGCACGACTTCGCCGTCCGCCTTGCTTGCCGGTGACGGCCCGCCTGGTGTCAATCAATCAATCAATCAAAGTTCAATTAATCTGTTGCAGTCTAACTAGTTGCGTATGACTATGCAGGCGCTCCATCCAACTGAAGCAAGAACTCGTAGCCAAACGCCAAAGCTGGAATCACATGATGTCCTAAAGAGGAAACAGAGGCTGATTTGAAAAGAGTGCGGAATCAGCCCATTTCCCTGAATCCAGCCCGTAAACCCATACAAAAACCCGATGAACATAAGAAATCACTAATGAATGCCATGGAGTGCACCCTCCATCCCTCAACCCTCATTTCTCACTCTCTCATCCTCATCCCTGCATCCTCCCCTGCCTCAGTTTCAATTCATGATGTAGATCTTGCTGGCCAGTTGGTTGGCATGCTTGTCGACTTTTGCTGAGTTTCCCGTTCCCCAGCCTTGTTTGTCGTCATTGGCTAATACCCATCGTCTTCCACACCTAGGTCCATAGCCGCGAGGCCTGTCGGTTCGTCGTCTTCCTCGAGTTCAACACATCGGAATTGCTGGAGGAGACCTGTTTGTTGCATGAATTTGACCACGTAGCGGGTGGCCTGCGGGTGCTGCATAATCTTGTCATAATCAGTCTCCACCTCGACCTCGTCCTTGGCCAACCACATCCAAAATTGCCGCCGAAGATCCGTATACAATGGGCATTGTAGTAGGATGTGCTTCGGCGTCTGAAAGCCCTCCCCGCAACTGCAATTGTCCGAATCTGCAGCTTGGATTCTCTTGTCAGTGTGCCAATATTCAAAGTTGCCAGGAACGGCCCAGACTAGACTCATGCTTAGTCTCACGCCAAGTGGAACTGACTTCCTTTGTGGAGTGGACATTAATCTTTCAAAAGTTACTTAGGACGTGTTTAGTCGTATTTAGGACATGTTCGTGCAAGGTTCATACATCGTGGCGCTAGTGGATCTGCAATCGTTGCTCTTTCAGGTGTCAAATGTCTCGACGTGAAATAATCAGCCGATTAGCCATCTTATAATAAACATCACCCGTATCATCGTTACACAGCAGCCGCCTTGCATGACGGCCCTTTTGCAAAAGGAGAATAGCGGTGGCGCCACTACAGCGTGTCTGCCATTTTGTCGTGACTTAAGTATAAGAGGATTATAACTCTCCCAATAGATACGATTTCAACCGCGACAGAGATAGACATCATGAAGGTCGTTATTGTTGGCGCAGGCTTAGGTGGCCTGGCGTGTGCGATTACCTGTTGCCAGCTGATTCATTGCCTTCATGAAATAGATTTGTTAGTCGGTGGATACCTAGAGAAGGGTATTTAAAATAATGATACCAGTTTGACATGTACGTCCATTGTGACGTTCTTTTTCTAGGATATCGGACCTCTTTGATACCTGTGATAGGTTGTGATCCATGATTGGTTGGCTTCGCTAGTGATGGTGTTGTACTGGCAAGTTATTGGAGCAAAAGAAAGACACAAGAGCTTCGACCGTGAGGACAATCATGACCTTTTAAATGTTTGGGGCTGAAGCGGTCATGCCCACCATATCCACAGTCAAGATTTTGCTGGTTACCATTATCAGCGCCGGCTCCTAGAAGGACTATGGATGTCAATATGTGGCCACAATAGTGGTATGTACACCCACGATCGAATCAAGGATGTTTTAGTTCAGTTGCCGTATCCGCATGGTGCTCGAGTCACCAATTGATTTGAAGCATATTCCCAGGAGCAACATGGCTGCCAAATTATTGTTGCTCATGAATAGGAACGTGTGGAAGGGAGTTCCATTTCTCACGCCTTGGGGGTTGTTAGAGGGCGATGATTCAGCCGCGCCGCGCAGCCACGATAAAGATCCGACTGGCCAAAAGTCTGTTTTGTGCTTCCAGGAGCACTGAACGCTATAGGTTCTTTGATCATAATCCGCTGGTATTGTGCCGATATGATAGTATCTTTTGAGTGTTCTCATTCCAGCACCTTTGGCGATGTAAGGGTAGTGAATGGTGTCAGAAAGTTGAATCAACGTTGACATCAACGTTGAACATAAAACACCATTGAACACCAGCAGCATGTTGTTTTCCGCCCATAGAAGATATCCATCTGAGCCATGTTGGTTTCCTTGCCAATAGTGGGACTTTGTTAAATTTCCCACTCGAAACTCGTTTCCTAATCGGCCGCGTTGGTTCACCTAACAGTGACGGTTTTGTCATGGCTTAGAGACGCATCCTACACTGGCTTTTAAACACAAGCTCAACAAGATAGAAAAGAGTTGACTACATCTTTCTGGGGGCTGTTGGGTAGGTTTTCAATCAACAGCAAACCGTAGTTTCCTCAAGTATAGCGGAGTGAGGTATCGCAAACCGACCAAGGCAAACTACGTCGGTATCAGAAATCTGCCGTCGGTGTTGGTCCAATCTTGAGAAGTCTTACGCGTAATCATGACACATATTAAGGAGGATAATAATATAGTAGCAGGAAAGTAAATCCTGGGAACAAATGGGTGATTTCCGGGGATCCGTACTGAGAGATCAGACACTTCTTTAGAGGCCATCGGCCTTGAGCATAGGAATAGTGCTTCAATTTGAAACATACCTATCTAGTAAAAGCCTCTGTGGAATGCCACTAAGACACTCAATTAAATGGTATACGGCGCCGCTTAGTATCAGCTGGGTCATTCTTTGTAGAGGCAGCATTTCGTGAAGATCACCTAGCACATATAACCTTTACAGTACCCGGAGATAATGACCTGCTTCATATTTCTGCCTTCCACTCTTTACTTTGCTCAACTGTTCCCTTGAGCGACACCTGCCTCACCTTTTCACACTCGATAAATCTGTTCTTGTGGACACAAAATGTCTCCGAGGACTGCCGCCGCCATGATACGAATGCGTCTTGTCATTATTTCCCTTACCATCACTTGGCTGGCCCTTGCTAGTCTCAGTTCGGCCATTGTACACTTTGCGGTCGTCCTGCGAGACCGTGCAAAATCCGACCTCGTCACCCCGAGCGACTCTATTTTGGACATCACATTCCAAAAGCTCATGGACAACGTCGTCGATGGCATGGTGATTATGGCCCTGGTCTCAGCCCTGTTTTCCATCTTCGGGTTAATCCTTGTGATCTACCCGAAGTGGCTGCAAGAGAACTGCGCCGCTCGGTTTTACTACGGTTGCATTCAAATCGTCGTGGGCATGATCGTGCTCTCCTTAGGGGGTTGGATTGCCAGCGGCGTCCACGGCTTTCAGACATCCTTCGAATTTTTTGGCAGCGAGGACCACATTCCATATTACAATATTATGTATTATGGAGCCGTTGGCCTGGCCTCTTTCGGATCTTTAGTGGTCATCGTGTCTTTCGTGTGTTTTGTCGTACGTGCCTTACGGGGTCACTAACAGAGTACGCGCACCGAGCCTACAACACATACAAAGTGGCGGTTCTAACCGCCTACTAGACTAGGGCTGTGAAGAACGAGACAGCAGGTATTACGAATAAGAACAATCGCAGAATTTTATGATGATTTTCGAAGAATGAGAGAGGTGGAGTCCATAAACATTAGAGAGGTGCGACGGATAGGGTCATGCAAAGGAATGCACTTTACTGCAGAGTTGCGGAGATGATTTAGATATTGAATTTCCTGATTGGAATCAAAGCATGTTCATCGCTTGATCGGACTAGCCGGTCGATATTGGCCGATGTTGGAGCGGTGTTCTGAGTGGCTTGATATAAAAGACAAGTGATGGTTGACGATCTTCTGTGTAAATATCCATCAACTTGGTGTTCGTAAAGACTTCAAAAACTGACCCTGGGACATGTCAGTAGTCCAGGAATCACATAGCCAGAGGAAATCGTACGTAACTTATAGAACTATCCATCTTTACTTTTAGAAATTTAGTCACGTTCCTATTAACAGCTCTATCAGTGATAGGAACTCACATCCTAGCCCTAGGAGTTATCTTGCTCCCGGATACTTTAGTGCGGTTTCTGGGGGCATACAAGCGGCTTCTAGGAGCCACGTAGGCCCCGGGAAGCCCGACGTAGCTTCTGGGGCTTTTACCTGTACCTCGGGGAATCAACGTCATATTCCTGTTGATAGCTTATTAATTCCTGGAGCCTTGAGTCCGGTTCCTAAAACCATAGGCTAGGCATCTGGGAATAATAAAGTGACTCGGATTTGTGCGTAGGTCTGGAGAAGGTGTTTTGTGAGTTAGTACCCTACGCTGGGAGGCAGAAGATTGATTTTAGGATTCAGAAATACGGCCCTGCGAGTGCAAAAGCTCCCAGATCCAGGCAATGCGTTCCCCAAACCAATTTCGTGTTCATTCAGGAACGTAGAGTGAAGATCCCAGGAGTAGATTAGTTTCCTGGGATACACAGCTCCTATAAATGCTTTTGAGGTTTCCAGGATCAAGCTCTATCAGCCCTGGAAATGATGGCTTGGCCCTGGGAGCAAGGTAGCTCCCAGGGGCTTCAGTGCGGTTTCTGGGGGCAAAGAAGCCGCTTTCAGGAGCCAAGTAGCCCCCAGGAAGCCCAAAATAGCTTCTGGGGTCTTGTACCTCCACCTCGGGGAACCAAAGTCATGTTCCTGTTGACAGTCTTATCAACTCCCGGAACCTCAGGTGCGGTTCCTGGGGCTATAGCTTGCCTTTCCAGGAGTCGTTGAATGACTCATATTTGTGCGCAGGTCTGGTAAAGGTATCTTGTGAGGGCTTTCCGCCACCTCAGAAAGCAGAATAATGAGTCCGGGATCTAAAGGTAGTGCCCTGGGAGCACGGCAGCTCCCAGGTCTAGCCATTGTATTCCCAGAGCCAGTTTGTAACCAGTCAGGATCGTAGAGTGGATTCCCAGGGGTAGACCTCAAATTCCTAGAAACAGGAACTGGCCACAG